CGCACCCTGGTGGTCAGCGCACTGCATAGCAACTGTTTGTTCACTTGCTCTGATGTTTGTCTATTTGAATATACCCTTTTATTATATAGGACATATAAAAGCCTAAGCAACCGGTAGGATGGAACAGCCAGTTGACCAGTCACTATGATGTGCTCTGACCACCAGGGGGCAGATGCTCAACGCAGGAGTTTCCACCTGATGGTCATTGCACTCCCACGGCCAACCTCCCACAGCTGGCCAACCTCCCATGGTCCCTCCCTGATTGACCTGATTGCAACAACCTGTGGCTCCTTCCCTTCCCCACCTCCCCCTCCCCAAGCCAGCCAACCTCCCTCAGCCCCTCACACTGTCTGGCCGGCACCAATTAAAACCCATTAATTTATATATTTATTTCCTATGAACATAAAAGGCTTTTTTAGATTGAAATATTCAGCCAGATGTTAAATATTAAATACATAGTGATTTGGTAACTATTGCTCATTTACTAGCAACTGCCATAAATTATACAGATTGTTTATCTATATGTAAAAACCACCATAGTTGTGTTTCCTTCAGTTTGTTTAATATTCTAAACAGCAAGTAGGTTATTTTTATTAAACATTTCTACTGTGTGCTGTGAACAAGCTTACCAAAGAAAATAAAATCCATTCTCAATTCTCAAGGAGAGCAGTTCAGAATGCTGTTTTAATAAAGTCATAGCAAAATATGAAGGGGGCTTTGTGCTTTTTTTATGGGCATAAACTTGAAAATTTAAAAAGAAGCCTTTTGTATGATAACATTAAATTATAGTTTTTACATGTGTGATCCCTTTAATTTTTGCTTTGCTTTTTTTTCCCCCCACAAGATTTATTTTTTAATTTTGTGTTAATCCTCACTCAAGGATATTTTCCCATTGCTTTTTCAAATTAACTCTTTGTTATATTACATGTCTCCCCCTCCCCCATTGACCCCTTCTAGCCTACCCCTACTCCCCACCCAACTCTAATAGGGCCTTCACCACCCTATTATCTGTGTCCATGGGTTATGCATATATGCATACAAGGTATTTGGTTGATCTCTTCCCACCCATCCATCCACATCTGCCTTCCCTCTGAGATTCCACAGTGTGTTCCATACTTCTATGTCTTTGGATCTGTTTTGTTCATCGGTTTATTTTGTTCATTAGATTCCATGAACATATGAGTGAGATCCTGTGATATTTTCTCTGACTGGTTTATTTCACTTAGTGTAATACTCCATTTTTGTGAACCTCAAGGGCCAGGAGGAGATAGGAAGAGTCATTAACATTGGCTAAACCTCTCACATATTTGGAGAAAACACTGATATTTAACACTTTTATACATATTTATATAATAACTAGTGGACCGGTGCACGAAATTTGTGCACGGGGGCTGGGGGGTGTTCCTTAGCCCAGCCTGCACCCTCTCCAATCTGGAACCTCTCGAAGGATGTCCTACTGTCGGTTTACAGGGATCGGGCCTAAACCGGCAATCGGACATCCCTCTCACAATCCGCAATTTCTGGCTCCCAACTACTTGCCTGCCTGTCTTCCTGATTGCCCCTATCTGCTTCTTCCTGGCAGCCTGATTGATGTTTAACTGCTCCTTTGCCAGCCTGTTTGCCCCCACCTTCCCTCCTCTGCCAGCCTGGTCACCCCTAACTGCCCTCCTTTGCAGGGTTCATCACCTCCACCTGTCCTTCCCTTGCAGGCCTGGACCCACTCAACTGCCCTCCCTTGCAGGCCTGGTGCCTCCCAACTGCCCTCCACTGCTGGCCATCTTGTGTCCACATGGGGGCAGGATCTTTGACCACATGGGGGCAGCCATATTGTGTGTTGGTGTGATGGTCAATCTGCATATTATTCTTTTATTAGATAGGATAGAGGCCTGGTGCAAGGGTGGGGGCCAGCTGGTTTGTCCTGAAGGGTGTCCCAGATCAGGGTGGGGGTTCCCTTGGGGTGTGGGGTGGCCTGGGCGAGAGGCCTATGGTAGTTTGAAGGCTGGCCACAACCCCTGGCGACCCACATGGAGGCCCTGGTATCTGGAATTTATTTACATTCTACAATTGAAACTTTGTAGACTGGAGCTGAGCCAAGCCTTATGCTTGCTCCATGGCTGCCGCCATTTCTGTTTGGATTTGTTTACCTTCTATAATTGAAACTTTGTAGCCTTGAGTGGAGGCCTAGGTCAGCAACGGCAGGCGGAAAGCTTGGCTTTGGTCATTGTCTGGGAAACCTAAGCTCTCTCCTGCTCTCTCTGGTAACAGCCATCTTGGTTGGGGTTACTTTGCATACTCGCTCTGATTGGCTGATGGGTGTGGCGGTGAGCATGGTTTGTGGGTATAGCAGAGGTATGGTCAAGTTGCATATTACTCTTTATTAGGTAGGATATACTTGCTCTGGTCCTATAGCTTTACCCTTAGCATGTCCTTCCATTTTGTCTTACATGTATCAGAGCTTATACTTTATCTGCTGACTTCATATGGACACACTGTGTTCTTGGAATGTTATTTTCCATTGGGCCTTACCATAGTAAAAATCCAAATATTTTTCCTATGAAATACCCTGCAGGCCTTAGGTCCGGGTGTGTGGCATCTTCAGCATGTCAAACACTTCATTATGCCATCTGCTTCTACCTGAGCAGTGTACCTTCTGCTGGCAAGCTTCATTGAAGTGCCATGGCTCAGGATAAAAAAAATAGGCAGGTTTGGCATAAGAAGCTTGTTTTTGAAAAAATAATAATTGATCGTGTGCCTGCTCTAGATTTAAAATACCCATTTGAAAGGATTCCCAGAAGCCTCTTCTAAGCATATTGATCTCTTTTTCATCTGTGGTTGAAGATAGCAATTATTATGGTTGAATAATTGGTAACTTTGGTAAGTTGTTGAGTTTTCTGTTTTATTTTGAAGGATATGTAAGTCTTAGGCACAGATTGGTGATACCTGGTGAAATATTTTGATAACTTCTGTTGATGGCAGCTCTTTATCTAATATTTTATTTTCAGAAATGACAAATGATTTATTTCTATATATAATACAAAGATGATAAGAATGCCATGATGAAAAAAAAGCTAGCTAACTTATACTGTGTCTGCTATATACTGTGTGTGACTTTGTTAATTTTGTCCCTTGTAAAATGAAAATAAAGTTATTTGGATGCTTGTTGGGGAGATGATATCAGAGTAGGCCCTTATAAAATCAATAGACATTTATTCTGCAAATGTTTGTTGAATGTCAACTCTATGTATGCACTCTTCTAGATAATGAGGATGTAATTCAGAGTAAAGTAGTCAGATTCCTCTGCTGGAGAATTCCACAGTCTAGTCTGTCTTGACAGATGGGATGAAAGCTTTGTGGCAGTAGGGTACATGCTAGGTGGCAACAAGCACCATGAAGGAAAACGGGGCCGGGCAAGCTCCTGGAATACAGTGGCGCAATGCTTATTTAAAAAGAGGTACCAGGGAGGACTTCTGTGTGGTGGCATTGAGCACACTTGAATGGAAGAAGTAAGCCTGTAGATAGTTGGGAGAAGGATGTGCCTGACTGATAAAGGGGGCAGCATGGCAGTTTGAGGAAGGGTGAAGTGGTCAGTATAGCTGGAGCTGTGGGGACACAGTTCAAGGGGATGAGTTCAGAGACTGATTCTGAAACACAATTGGTATCGCCTTACTGATAAGTAGTTACAGATAAAAAGTTAGATTCCAGACAGCCTATAGAAATAGGAAATCATGATTGGTTGTTTGCACTCTTCTGTCAGTTATTTGGCTTTGACTTGGGGCTTCTATAACAGGCACACAAAAGTAAGCATAGAAAGAACACTTTTCCAAAATGGAATTATTTGTCGTCGTTGTTGTTGTTTACCTTATATCATCGTATCTGGAAGTTGCCAGTGTGTGAATTTTGAAGGTACGGTCCTCCAGATTGGCATCGCTGCCCAAGGCCTTTGAGAGCAACAGCAAAGGAGTTAAACTCCAAATACAGAGTTAGACGGAAGACCCTCCACAAGACAGAACCAATTGCCAGTTTAGGAGGTTTGTTCCCAAAACTACCCTCCAACATTTAACAAGAAGGACCAAAGAACTTACTGAGCTACTAAGCTCCTGGGTGTGGTCTGTTTTAGGGAAATGATACAGGTCAGATATTAGCTAAAGTAAGAGACACATAGCTCAGTCTGATAGGGTTTCAAATCAGAGCTTTTATTTTTCTTAGGAAGCATCTTCCCCCAAATCTATGCATGGCAGCATGCGTGGAGCATTGCCAGCCAGCAAGCTCACCTGAGCTCTGTGTTCGGAGTTTTTATTTGAACATCATTTCATAGGTATGATTCACTGATTGATTGCCCAGGTGGCTGAACAGAGTCTAGAATTGGAGCTCCTATCTCGTGACCTTGAGGCCTCCCATGAATAACAAAGACACTCCTATTGTCTGGGAAACCCCAGGAGTTTAGGATTTACCTCCTAGGAGCCAAAGACAAAAGGCAGACTGCTCTTCAGGGAAGACCAAATTCTTTGCTACACACATTGCTATAAAAATTCACACAATATGGAAAGGAAATGACCCCCTAGAGTCCCATGTCTCTGGAATAACTAGTGTTAGTATTGCTTGTTTGTTTTATATTGTTCCAGCGTTTAATAAAGTTCATTGAATTGTACATATTGTACATATAAAGTAGCTTTTTTTTTTTTTTTTTTTTTTTTTTTTTTACTTTAAGGTGTATACGGGTGTGTGTATGTTTTTTCATGTAATTTAACAAGTAACCTGAAGTTGAACACTGGATATAATTAGTTTATAAATATTTTGTCATCTAATTAATAATGGTGCATTGCACATCTACACAGTTCCTTGCATGTTATTCTAATTTTTCTCATTGAAATAAATTTTTGAAATAGAATTGCTTAATTAAAAGGCATGACCACTAATTCATTATTTCTCCTCGGGTTGTTTTCTGTTTTTACTAGTTTATGGAATGTTGAAATTGTTAATGATTTTTATATTACTCTTAGGTAAACATTGCAACTTCAGCAATTTCAAATGTTGAATGTACCCATATTCCACATCTCAGCCCGGCTGTAATTACTACTCTGCAAAATGAATCATTTTTGTCATCCCAAAACAATGGGAATCTGGAAGTACTTACAGCTTCAGGTACTCCAACCATCAATGGGAAAACTGCTTGTGATGAATTTGATCAACTGATCAAAAATATGGCCCAGGCAAGAACATTTTTTCTGTTTATGTGATAGAATGTATAATATCAAATTATCCAAGTCCTGGATAATTTGAAGAATATTTTATGTTTATCTTATATAACACGTTAAATATACATTAAATATATATGTATTAAATGTGTTAAATATATTATTTATTAATACGTTTATAAAATCTGTAAAATAATAGGAATGAAAATGAAGTAGATTTTATGTGTTTGGATGGCTCAGAGATTTTCCTGTTTTATTTCTTTAAATTATCACATTTTCAACTGAGTAATATATTTTATGTTTTAGAAATATTCTGCAGGATAAATAAAATGTCTCATTCTAGGTGGTGAGGGACCAAGATTATTTTAGGAAAAATATTATTTTTTGTTGTTTTTTTAAACCAAGTAATGCCACTAATAAGATGACTGTAAGTGCAAGGATTAGCTTTTAGTTTTATTTCTTGTTTTGCTTCCTATTTAGGGTCGCCATGTAGAAGTTTTTGAACTCCTCAAACCTCCCTGTGGAGGCCTGGGGTTCAGCGTGGTGGGACTGAGGAGTGACAACCGGGGAGAGCTGGGGATATTTGTGCAGGAGATCCAAGAGGGCAGTGTGGCTCACAGGTGAGGCTGGCGGCCTGCTGGTCTGGGTTTGATACTGTATTTGGGAGGTGTTGATCCCCTTGGGACAATGGTCAGCAAACTCATTCGTCAACAGACCCAAATATCAACAGTACAATGATTAAAATTTCTTTTGAGAGCCAAAAACCGTCTTCTGCGCATGGGCCACAAAATCTTAACACAACAGTACCTGCACCACGCCCGCACGTGGTATTTTGTGGAAGAGAGCCACATTCAAGGGGCCAAAGAGCCGCATGTGGCTCACAAGCCTCAGTTTGCCGATCGCTGCCCTGGAAGAATGTAGAGAAGCAAAATGAGTGAAAACAAACAAGAATCCAAAAATAAGGATATTAATCAAGTTTTTTTGTTTGTTTGTTTTGTTTTACATATTGGCATTGCTATGATAAAAAGTAAGTCCTTTTGAAAGAAGAATACCTAGTCATTCAATATAGTCATGACTTAATCACTTTTTAATAAGGAAAGAAAAATTCGATGGGGGCATGTTCTCAATGTTAATAAATGATTAGATCTTAAAATTACTTTTTAGAAAACTATGCATGTAACCCATGATGATTTAAAAAGAGATTTTATTAATATACTCAAAGCAACAAGTAAATCTATGCCTCCTTGCTTTTATTTGTAGAAGACAGGAACATCCAAGATACAATGCAAAGGTTGGGTAGCTGAAAGAAGAGGCTCTAAAATGGGAGGTGGTGGGGAGTTCCTTAGATCCACTGGAGCCAGAGTATATGCCTTTAAAAATAGAAGTCCCAGAAAAAGCTACTTAATTGTGGACATTAGTACATGGAGCTAAAATAATCTGATACTACATGCCAGGAAAGCTGTCATTGTCTTGGGAGCCATCAGCTATCTTTTATCTCCTCTCTCATTCTTGATAGAGATGGGAGGTTGAAGGAAACTGATCAAATCCTCGCTATCAACGGACAGGCACTTGATCAGACGATCACACACCAGCAGGCCATCAGCATCCTGCAGAAAGCCAAAGACACTGTGCAGCTCATCATTGCCAGGGGCTCCTTTCCTCAGCTCATCAGTCCCATAGTTTCCCGCTCCCCATCCGCGGCCAGCACCATTTCTGCTCACTCTAATCCGGTGTGTATGTAAGATTTTCACAAGGAATAGAACCCGTTTTTCTACTTCTTTTTAAATTTTTTTACAGGTTTCTAGATGACTATTTTACATTTTTCTTAGCTTCTTGGTATCCCTTGAGTTTTTGCCTTTTTATCCTTTTATCTCTCCCTTGCACGGATAGTTATTATTTAATTTTGATAAGTTTCTGGCTTTTAAAGCAATTTTTGCCATCTTTTTTATAGTTTCTTTTTTATTTGGTAACATTTCTCAAATAATAAAAAATAATAGACCTTTTACAAAATTAACTCTATCTGCCAACAGATATTATTTTGAGTTTGCTTTGTAATTTGTCAATTATACTCTGATTATTGTTATAGTTACCTGTCTATGATGGCTTTAAGAAGTAATTTGGAATCTTGCAAGGCAGAATTATGCAGAAAAAAAATAATACATAAAAGCTTTTTTCCTTGATCTTTCTTTTATTAAAGAAAAAAGTTCTACAAAGAATCTCCCAAATCAGTGCCTATCTTTACTTTGTTAAATGTGGTCTCTGTGATGATGTATTGATAATTTCAAGATCAATTATGCAGTAGCAATCTTTTGAAAGGGAAGTGTAACTAAACAAAAGAGTCAAGTCTTGTGACTCATTTTTATGTTTGAGCTCAATTATTTAATACTATTCATAAATAATTTCCACAGAAATCTCAACTGTAATGAAAATTTCATGTTTTCCTAAATATGTTCAGATTCTTATAGGAGCTTTGTTTTCAGGTTCACTGGCAGCATGTGGAAACTATTGAGTTGGTGAATGATGGATCTGGTCTGGGATTTGGCATTGTCGGAGGAAAAGCAACTGGCGTCATAGTAAAAACCATTCTGCCTGGAGGAGTGGCTGATCAAGTAAGCTACTCCCAACAGGCGTTCATGCTGTTTTATTAAATAACACGGCTTCATTTTTTGCATTATCTGCCAGAAAGAAGAAACTGTGGCCTCAGACAATATCAAAGAATCAAGTTAGGCTCTTCTGTTCTGCTGGCCTGTCCCTAAATTGTATTTTTAGAGAAATACCATTGAAAGGAGAAGATTGATCTTAAGCTAAAGGAATAGATCCCCAGACTAAAGCCCAAGTTATGGTTTTGATCATTGTAGAGGTAGCAGTTCTTTATTTTTTGATCGTAAATCAAATTTATAAACCTAGTCAATTGTTTCATGGCCATATGATTCTATAGGGAAAAATATAAACTTTGCTGTAGTAGGAAAAAACACAAGATTTATCTGTCCTTTTAGTGATGGGTCACTGATGTTGTCTTTGTCCATGAAACCCGGCCTGTTTTTGTCGCTGAGAGTTGTACATTAAGGAATTACCATTTGTGCTGGAAATGCATGTTGGCATATGTGACAAATTTTAGTTGCTTATTATAATTTATAGTTTACTTAGACAAGTTCAGCTAATGCAAGTATATTTGTGCTTTGGTTGTAACATTTCATAATGATGTTTGCTTTTACAGGTGTATTTGAACTTACTTAGGAGTCATGTTCATCAAATATTTGTTATATGCATATGTGAAAGTCAGATTTATTGGCAGAGATATTGACAATAACACAATAGCTTGACAATTAAGAAAATATTAGCCAATATCTAGTATATCTGGTGAAATCCTCTTCATTGTCAGATTTGTGATAAATAAGTTTTATCTCCATTATAGAGCCACACTGTTCAATACTATGGGTAATTGCCAGATGTCACTTTTTTAAATTCAAATTTAAATTAATTAAACTAAATAAAGTTACAAGTTTAGTTCCTCAGTTGGTCTGGCTACATTTCATGTGCTCTCTAGCTGCATGTTGCTTGTAGCTGCCGTATTGGACAATACAGGACATTTTCATCCTTGCACAAAATCCTAGTGGCCACTGTAGAGAGGCTTATAAGACCGCTTGCCACTCCCCATCTATATGAATTTATACCTCACCATGATATCATCTGAAGATGAATTCTTTAGAGATATTTATAACTTAAATGGCAAGGCAGAAAATTGAGGTGTTAATTCATTGCTTTCTTGTGGTTGATACTATATTTTGTGTAATATATATTTATATAGTGACTTTTACTATATCTTTATTTAATGGCATTTTCTTCCTCTATCCCTCAAAAAACTCACAAAATTCTAATATTTTCCTATATGTAGTAGGTAGAAATCAAATTGAAAAGCTTATGTTGACTATCAATTTAAGGAATATTTGTGAATTTTAGTTACTTATATCACATTGAGTGATATTAGGCTGCTTCAAAAATGTAGTTTAAAAAAAAAAAACAACAGTTAAAATCACAGCCACATGTCTAGTGTCCTATGATTGATATCTCGTATCAGTGATTGTTTTTTATTTCCTTCCCCTCATTTAAGACTTCTCTGAGGAAGGTAATAAAAGTAAAGCCTGATGAACCAATCTCTCTTTGTTCAGCATGGGCGGTTGTGCAGTGGAGACCACATTCTAAAGATCGGTGACACAGATCTGGCCGGGATGAGCAGTGAGCAAGTAGCACAGGTCCTCAGGCAGTGTGGAAACAGAGTTAAGCTGATGATTGCACGAGGTGCCCTAGAAGAGCCGGCGGCACCCCCCTCCCTGGGCATCACTGTGTCCCCGTCCCCATCCTCTACGCCGGAGATGCGGGTAAGTAGGTGAAAGTTAACGGGGCAGGTCACAGGCAGTAGCACCTACATGATAGGATGTTTGTTTTGAAACCAGATTTATTAATGTTTGTGTATTCGTGATAGATGCACAACCAATTGACCCAGACACTAGTGTGGTGAAGGCCTTAGGGCGGGGTGGCGGGTCTGGGCTAGAAGGTGGTCAGTGAGGAGATAGAGGGGACATTTTTAATACTTTGAACAATAAAGATACATTTTTTAAAAAAATGAAACAAAATTCAAATATAGAGATGTTTTGGCACAGTATGTTATTAATTGGGAATAACGTGTAAAGATGAAAAATAGATTGCTTAAAAGATTCTAGATGACTCTTTTGCATTTTTCTCTAAGCAGTATATTTATGAGGATAATATTCTGTAGTACAGAAAAGTTTGAAGGAATTATTTGCTACTAATACCTAAAATGTTGGATGCTTTCTCTTACATTGAAGGTCCTCAGTAGGGTGTGGTAAATAAAGCTTACTAAAACCTTTTAATATTGTTTTATGTTCTATCATACAACTGTTATCAAATTTATAATGACGACTCATTATCTTTCACCCAGTTACTATAAATTTTTAAACACAAGTTATGTTTTTGAAATTGTAACGAAAGCTTTACCCATATGCGTAGCCTCCCATTTGTTTGTAACTGTATAACAAGAGCTAGAAAATTTCAGAATTATTCAAATGTGGTGGTTATTACAAATATTTCAAATCACAACATGACTGTAGTGCATAAAAAAATCAACAAAATCATTTTATCTAGAAATCATATATTTAAGGAGAGAATTGCACTCAATTTTTAGATTAGCTTTTTAGCAAATGTAAGTTCTACATTTTTCTCCAGTAGTTCTAAAAACATCTGATTTTTTTTCTATTGAAATTTTTTTTAACCAATTGCTTTGAATTCTTTTTTTAGTATCCTAACCTCCTCCACAAACCCTTTTAATCTTTATTAGAACACTTGAAATTTCCATCATTCTCTTGTTTTCAGGATTGAGTTTGGTTGCTATTTTTTGCAGAAAGAAAGAAAGCTTGTTTATGAAAGTATTTAAGTGGCATTCTTTTGTGGTAAACAAAAACATTTTATTCAGCATATATAAATGAATGCAATACCGAGACCCACTTGATGTAATTGAAAGCTTAGAAAAATATCTATTCTGTGCATATCATCATTTCTGAAGCTTGTGCCCCTTTTAAAACCATTCGATAGTCAAATTGCCACCCTCTAAAATAGCACTCGCATAAGTCTTATTAAAAATAGAAAACACATTTGTTTCCATTGAAGCAGATTTCATCCTGTCATTTTCTTGTAATTATCTAAACTTTAAACTTTTTGCTAAGTTTGCACAGATAATTATGTGCAGTGAGAAAAACTAAGTGAAACTTTACCATAAGATTATATCTCATTTAGGTGAATTATCAGTGAGATATAGTCAGAGTTTACTTAAAAAAAAAAACAACAACAACAACCAGAAAATAATACCAGCTAGCCCCAACCAGCATGTCTATTCAAACTCATAGCCTGAATTCTGTCCTGATCTTCTTATGGTTATCTGTAAAATACTGACACCCCTTTAGTATATGATGCCAATAGCTTAAGGAGAACTTATTGCATTAATCCACTAATGCTTAATTCAGGGATTCTTGCCCTTAGGCCCATATAGAATTAATAGCAATGCTCTATGTTAGAGAAACTTGCTTTCAGTTCTCATTGCAGGAAGTAAGGAAGTCATAGCAGAAAGGCATTCTTTCCTTACAAATAGCTTTTACAATTGAAGTATGAATTTACAGCACAAATACAGAGACCATTTTAAATGGTTCATGGATACATTTCACTGATTTAAAAAAAAAAATAATCATCAGTCCTAGCTGGTTTGGCTCAGTGGATAAAGTGTTGGCCTGTGGACTGAGGATCCTGGGTACCATTCTGGTTAAGGGCACATGCCTGGATTTTGGGTTCCATCCCCAGTAGGGGGCGTGCAGGAAGCAGCCATTCAATGATTCTCTCTCATCATTGATATTTCTCTCTCTCTCTCTCTCTCTGCCTCTCCCTTCCTCTGAAATAAGTAAAAGTATATTTAAATAAAATACTCAGTCTATTAAGAATATTTCTGAAGGATAGATGAAGGCATACTTAGAATAAACTACTAACTTGGGATAATAGTAGCAAAGTGTCCTGAGAGAACACAGGGGCCCCATCATTCCCTGGGGCTTTACATTCTGCCAAGCATTTAAGAGCTGGGGTTCTGCAACCAGCCGGTCTGCACTGAATTCTGCCTCCGATAGGATGCTTCCTGTTTGTCCTTGGAAAGGTTTCTGTTCCTCCGTTTCCCCAGAGAAAAGTTGGCAGCAGTTGTGCCCACCTCAGTAAATGTTAGCTGCACTTGTTATCCTTATTCCTGATAGACAGCTGAAAATTAGAAAAATTCAGTAGTAAAGCCAGATTTGAACCTGATCTGAATTAAAAATGTGAGTTCTTTAAACCTTCTATATCCTTCTATAACAAATGCAGATGAGCATGTTGGAGAATGGAATTTGATAATAAGAAACTATTTGATTTCTGGAGTTTTGTATACACAAACAGTATTGTATTTCTGTGATAGGGGGTGTGTTTCCTGCTGACATTCCCTTCAGCACAAAGGAATGATGCTCAGTGCATTGTTAATAAGGTTATCGAGACGGAAGTAGTAATCTCACCATGACCCTCCAGCAGAGTTCTCTGGCAGCTAATTACACCTTATTTCAAAATAAAAATGTGGCTTTTGAGTTACCTTGTTTATTTACCTGTTTACTTTTCTGTGTATTTACTTACCTATTTTATTTTAGGTTGATGCTTCCACTCAGAAAAGTGAAGACAGTGAGACATTTGATGTAGAACTCACTAAAAATGTCCAAGGATTAGGAATTACCATCGCTGGTTACATTGGAGATAAAAAACTAGGTAGTTTTAAACATTGATATACATTTTTTAACTTGACAGTTGCCTCTAATGCAATTATCTTATGAATTATTGAATCATGTTTGTATATTTTTATATTAATAGATAAACAGATTGAACTTTTCCAGGAATAACTTAATGTATGTGAATGTATGTCATTGTGATTTTGTATTTATGAAACAAAACCATTGGCTCATCCTCTGGCCTGTTTCTACTGCTGGTTTTGTTTGTGTGGATTGCTGATTTATATTTCCTCAAAATTAGGACTTTATATTTGGGTATTAGAGGTTGGATATTATTTATTTGAGTGATTTCTCATAAATAGTAAAAAGAAAATAAACTATTTCCAATCTTAGAACCTTCAGGAATCTTTGTAAAGAGCATTACAAAGAGCAGTGCTGTGGAACATGATGGCAGAATCCAAATTGGAGACCAAATTATAGCAGTAAGTAGCACATTTAATTTTGCTGTTAATTGTCATCTTTGAGAAGTGCATTCTCTTCCTTTACTCAGTTTTAGAACTACATTTAGCTTGATACTAATTTAAGCTTGCTTTGTTAATTTGACTCTCATTACATTGACCAGTCTTATTTTATTTTATTTTTATTTTTTGGAATTAAGAGCATTCAATATAAGCTTTACCAATTTCACCTCTAAAGGTGGGGCTTCATTTGCGAATAATTTGTGATATATCTGATTTCTGGTTGTAATATGAATGTAATAGTCATACATTAGTTACATTCATGTCATAGTTAGACTTTTAGCTGCAGACACCAAGGTAAGGACCAGTTGTCATAACTCTAGTTTGCTTGAATCTGAATTTGGGATGTGTGCATTTTCTTCCTAGAACGACATGGTTATTGATGTTTTTTAAAAATTAATTAATTTATTTATTTATTTTAATATATTTTATTGATTTTTTTGCCTCCTTCCCTCCCTCCCACACATACCGTCCCTCCCCAGAGTTTTATGTCCATTGGTTGTACTTATATGCATGTATACTAGTCCTTCGGTACGACACGGTTATTGTTGATTCCATCACCAAGGCTATTTTTAGCTCTAAGACTATACAAGAATAAAGAAAAGGTCCAGCCCCTCTAATCAACCCATCATTCTTATTGTGGTAACATCACTAGGCTTTGAGCACATGGCTATTCTAGGCAGCGTACAAAAGAATCTAACTTCCAGTTCAGTGTTCACTGGAAACAGGACTACCTAACTCCTTCTTAGAACAAAACCCAAAAGACCCTACAAAAGGGACTTCCTGGTTAAAAACGTCAAGAAAGACTGCAGGTGATATATTCTCTTAGGGATTCAAAATGTATATGGAAAAATCAAAGGCTGAGAAGTTCTGCAATAGAGAAAGTTATTTAACTCTTTTACATCAGTGTTTCCTAAATTTCTCTAATAATGTTTTTTTTTCTGTCTTCAAACACATGTTAATATCATTTGGAAGATATTTTGAGGAATGCCAGTTTAGTTTAATACTAGAGGCCCAGTGCATGGATTTCTGCACATTGAAAGGAAATTAATTAGAAGATGGCCAGTGGGGAGAAACTGGGTGAGACTGCCTGGACACGCCCTGGAGCCAACCTCCTGCAGTCTTTTCTCCTCTGGCTGCACCTGGGGTGGCATTGAGGCTCGAAGGGTGTCTGCTGAGTGAGCGGTGTCCTTCAGCCTGGTCTGTGGGGATCAGCCAAATTTGGTAATGTGACATCCACCAGGGGGTCCCAGAGTGTGAGAGGCCACTCTGTAAAGATGCTGTTGCTGGGCAGCTCCTGAGTTGAGCATCTGTCCCCTGGTGGTCAGTGAGTGTCAGACCTACAGGCAGTCGCTTAACCATATGTGTGTGTGTGTGTGTGTGTGTGTGTGTGTGTGTATCATATATATATATATATATATATATATATATATATATATATATATATATGCCTGGTGCACGGAATTCATGCACTTGGGGGGTGTCCCTCATCCCTGCCTCCACCTTCTTTCCTTTCTGCCTGCCTGCTCGCTGTTCCTTTCCACTAGGCTGGAATGCTCCTTAGTGCTGGTGCTGCTACAGAGGTGGGAGAAGCTCTTGCCACTGCCACTGTGCTTGCCAGCTGTGAGCCCGGCTTCTGGCGAGTGGTGCATCCCTTGTGGGAGTGCACTGACCACCAGGGGACAGCTCATTCATTGAGCAGATGCCCCCTGATGGTCATTGCCCATCATCATGACCGGTTGTCTTGCTGGTTTCGCCGTAATGGTCGCTTAGGCTTTTATTATATAGATGTGTTTGTTTAAGCTTAATTAAGTATCTGGGGTTGTCTTGGGATTATAAGAAAGTAGAATGTTAGGATAGAATAGTTCTTGGTCACAGCAGCATTATTCACAGTAGCTAAGATAAGGAAGTGACAATTGGTGTCCATCTATAGATGAATGGCTAAACAAACTGTGATGTACATACACTGGAAAATTAATGATACATAGAAGGAAATTCTGCCACATCCCACAACATTGATGAACCTTGAGGACATTATGCTAAGTAAAATAAGCCAGTCACAAAAAGATAAGTACTTTTTGATTCCATTTAGAAGAAGTGCCTAGAAACCTCAAAGTCATAGAAGCAGAAGGCAGAATGGTTGTTTGGGGGGAAGGGGGTTGGAGGGGGAAATGGGGAGCTGCTGTTTAATGGGTACAGAGTTTCACTTTGCCTGATGAAACATCTGGAGATCTATTGTATGACAGTGGGAATATACTTAACACTTCTGAACTGTATGTATGTTTAGAAAAGGTTAAGATGATAAGTTTTATGTTACGTGTTTTCTACCATAATTTAACAGGAAAGGTAGAAATGTCCTTTATCTCTGACATTTGCTCCTGTATTCAACTCCCTGAGTTCTGGGGCTTAGTTCTGTACTACTCCCAACTGCACATGTTCAGCTGATAATCTACTCTAAAGATCAGATGGTGCTTGCTGGATCCTATAAGGAGCCTTCCCATTGCATCTTTATTTTAATGTACAATGAAAATTAACTACTTTAAGTTTTGTTTTTTGAGGAAAGGAAAGGAGAGTGAATAGATACAGACTCTAAATACATATTTGATACTGAATTAAAAATTGAAAACACAGCTCCTTATTTTTTCCCCTCAGCTGTATAATTTAACTCATTAGAAAGCTTTTTAAAATTCTCTTGAGTTATAAATCACATGACAACCAATTTACCCATTTAAAGTGTATAATTTAGTAGTTTTCGGGTACTCACAATTGTGTATCAATTATCACAATCAATTTTAGTATATTTTCATTATCCTAAAAAGAACCTCCTTACACATTAGCAGTTACTCCCTAATTCCTCCATCATCTCAATGCTAGACAACTGCTCATCTAATTTCTGTGTAGATTTTCCCATTCTGGACATTTCATGTGAATGGAATCATACAGTAAGTGGTCATTTGTGATTGGCCTCTTTTGCTTAGCATAATGTTTAAAGGTTCATCCAAGTTACACCATATAAAGAAATCCATCATTTCTGAATGACAATCCACTGTATGGGTAGACCACATTTTATTTATCTATTCATCAATTGATGAGCATTTTGGTTGCTTCTTCTTTTGGGGGGATAATGCCTCTATAAACCTACATGTATAAGTTTTGTGTAGATGTAAGTTTTCATTTTATGGGTATATACTTAGTGGAATTGCTAAATCATATAATACCTTTTTGTTTTAAGTTTTAGTTAGCTTCTTTCACCTACAAAATTGCAATAATAAAACATCTCTTGTATAGTTTTTTAGGAAAACCATATGAAATAATATGTAAAATTTATTATTTTAAATACCTAGTGTAATACTTTGCACCTAAGTGCAATTTGATAAATTAAGCAGGTATTTATTAAGGGCCTGAAATAAGGCTCTTATATATTTGAAAGAGTCTCATAGTAGCTTCCCTCCTCCTTGTCATTCTTTTCATTCTTATATCAGTGGAACTTTAAATATAATTTTGCTTAGGCAAGGTCAGTGATAAAGGAAATTGTTGACCCAAAAGTGGAAGCAGCCTTCTTGTGAAATTTTTTCTTGCAATGAAGTCACTTGTATTCATCATCAATGTTTTGATTTTTAACTTTTAGCAACATTTTTAGAAGCACCTTAAATGCTTAACGAGCATCATGAAATGCTTTGATTATGCCTTAATTTAATGTAAAATATCACCATCTTGTGGACTTTTGAGATACTGATAGTCAAGTTCTTCACACCAGTTGTATTTTCACAGCTGCATTTGTTTTTCTCAATCTCTGTTTTGGTAACAGCTATTTTGAACTATACATTATTTTCATTTTATAATTGTTGAGGTGGTGAGAAGATTAATAAATTATCTCTTACTATTTTGAGGAATTATTATTTTATAACATTAAAATTTTTTTTGTAGGATTCCTGTTTCCCAGATTGTACTCTGTGGACACCTAGGGTTTCACTGTAGACTTTACAGGGGAAAATAATAGAATAAATGAACACAGTTTCCCCCACTTTATTAGTATGTAAGAATTATATGATAAAAGGACTCTACTTTTAAAGTTGGCCAAACTTGTCATTAAATAGAAATACATACACTCCTCCTTTTTAGATTGAAATACAGAGAACTTGGCTGAAAGTGGTATGAGGTTATGATTAATTAAAATATTATTAAACAAACATGTGAATATGGAAAGATGTCAGATGTTGCCTAGTATGTTCTGTGACTTTTTGCACACACTAGAGACTCATTGCATGAAGAGATTCATACAATAGGCCTTCCTTTCCTTGACTTCCTGCACTGGTTTTCCTCCTGTACCCGGGACCTAGGCCTTAGCTCAGGCTGGAGTCTGCCATCTTTGTCTTTGCTGCAAACTCCAGAGTCTGCAGTCTTGTCTTCGCTGTGTTACTCGCTCCTGTAGATCCCTTCGTCCTCGCCCTCCCTCTCATAGCAGGTGTCCTGCCCCACCTGGCCACTCTGCCCTCCCTCTCATAGCAGGCGCCGTGCCCCACCTAGAGTAGCTGGGCAGCCTTCATCTTTGGCTTTCTAATTTGTATACTCACTCTGATTGGCTCTGGGCATAGTGGAGGTACGGTCAATTTACATGTTTGTCTATTATTCGGTGAGATAGGTATAGGCTGTGTTGGAGGAGGGCTTGGCCAGCTAATTGAGCGTACTAAGAAGATAGGATTTTTGGCTTGTTCTAGCTAGTTTTTTTTTTTACCTATAACTGTTCCTGTTAATTGATACATCTGTACTGTGTACTGTGAGAATGTTAGATCTTTTCTTGAGATAACACAAAGGCAATTTTCTGATACTGCAGTCTTGTCCATGGCATCATTGGATGTGAAGCCACAGTTTAACTCTCCCTTCTATTATGAGGGACCAGAGGTGGTCTGGGGCCTGGTGTAGGCTCTGGTGATCTTGTCTCATAGGTATGATGGGTCAAATTATATGGAACAGAAACTGCTCCCATGAAAGCTTGGGATTTTCATGTTCATTAATCACTTCTTCACTCTGCTACTAATCATATCAGCTGATGAGTATTTTCCTGGTCCAAAGTGCCATGCACTATAATTTTGGGAAGTACCATTAGTCCCTTATTACAGATGGAGGTACTAAGTAATTTGAACTGAAGTCTGAAATTAAAAAGTCCATGATTATTTCATTATAGCAGTTTCTTTGGTGCTACTACCATCTCTGACATTTGTTTTCTTGGGAGATCCTTGTAGAAATATTTGTAGAGATATTTACATAGCAAATGGTGATTTTTTCATCCAACTGACTCTTCCCCTTGGCCCTTTGTTTCTCAGCAGTTTACTCCACAGATTCTTTCTTTTGGGTGCCATTGTTCCTGAGGGGTACTGTTTGCCCTTGGTGGGTTTCAACATGACCTGAGCCTGACTTTCCATGGCAGTGGCATTCCTCTGGTATCTTTTCCAACCAAGTCAGGCTGTTGAGCAGTCCCCAACATAACAGCAATTTTCTCTTGCTTCACAGTCAAAGCCTTTTTCTTATTCTTATAACAATCCCCTGCATCCTTCCCTCTTTGAGGTGACACAGCTCTTCTGATTTGGGGTCAAGGAAGAACCATCTAAGTGGGTGTGGTAAAGACTCAGAACTCTTCTCTCTTTAAAACAAAAACAGGCCTCTTAAATTTTCCCTTACTTTAACAACTCAGTTCTTTCATGTCCTAAATGTACACAACGTTTAGTTGTTAACCACTTAATTTAAATTTCTTCTTGATGGCCCGTCTCACAACTTAGTTTAGCATGGGGATATGGATAAGAGTAGCATCTCAACCATAATTTCATTTTCACATATATTACACTGAGTATAAAGCTCCCAGTTCATCATTTTTTCACCATAAGTTCTCTGGATAGCCTGCTTATTCTGCCTCTAAGGTGGATTCTTTTTTCTTTTAATCTTTGATATCCAAGTATTATACCAGGATATGTACAGATGTTAAGTGTTTTCGTTTTTCATTTTGTGTTCTGGTTTTTCATGTACCTCTTTGATTTGTAGACTCAGGTAAATTTCCCTATCTTCTAATCTGATTTTTCCCCCTCACTTATTCTTTTCTTGTGAATTCTTTTCATAATTATGTTAATTTATTAGGATTAGCCTGTATTATTAGTCTTATTCCGCTGATGATTTTTATCTCTTAACTCTTCCTCTAAATATGGAAAAATGGTATGTTCCTGTCGTCCATTTTCTGTCAATTCTATTGACTGCCATCACAATAAGTTATGTTTTTCATTTTAGGTAGATATTTTTTTGTAACTATAATCCATACTTCCATAAAAATAAGGAAATATGAATCTCTTTGAAGGGAAGTTTCAGGAAATATACTTTTTTTTTCTTTTCACTGCAATAATGACTTCATTGGAAGGCACTTGCATTGAAGCTTCAGAGCACTCACCCTCTTTTGGACTGGGCCATTAATTCCACATCTTGTGACTTTTAGTCACTGTCAGTAATAAATATGCTTGTATAAATGGAAGCTGAGATGGGTCCTGGTGAAGACTGTGTAGGTTTTTATCCAGATGGCTCAGGAATTGGCAAATCAAGAAGGAAGGGGAAAGTTCAGATTTACCGTTTCACTTAAGATTAATAAAATAGAGAGAAAGCCAGTGCTCGAGCATCATGATGGGGCCTTTGCCCTTTGTCCTGGGCGGTTGTCTTCTGTGTTTGCTGTGTGGCCAGGAGTTGGTTGGAATTGTGTACATATACACATTGTGTATGATGTGATTTTATAACATATATGTAATTCTGTGCTGCTGCATGCTCCTCCTAGCTTGGAATGGCCTCCTGCATATAGTGTATACTTTGGAATTACTAGTTAGGGTCTTTTTATTTGGGTGGGTGGGGACTTGATTCTGGGTTTCGTGGAGTGCCTCAGACTCTGACAGGAGGAAGATTTTCATATACATTTTACTAATTTTGTTTCATATCTGACACTTCTATTATAGAGAAAGGGCAAATAGCAATATTAATATTAGATACACACACACACACACACACACACACACACACACACACACTCTAGAGGTCCAATGCACGAGATTCTTGCATTGGGACAGGAGGGCTGGGTCCCTCAGCCCGGCCTGCACCCTCTCGCGCTCTGGGAAACCTTGAGGGATGTCAGCCTGCTGGCTTAAGTGTTATAGAACTTAGGGGAGTAGGCCTAAGCCAGCAGGCAGACATCCCCCAAGGCATTCTTAGCCCTGCTATGGAGGCAAGAAAGACTCCCACCACCATTGCTGCGCTTACAAGCCATGAGCCCAGCTTCTAGCTGAACTGTGTTCCCCTTGTGGGAGTGCAGTGACCACCAGGGGGCAGCTTCTGCATTGAGCATCTGCCCCTAGTAGTCAGTCAGCGTCATAGCAACCAGTCATTCTGCCATTGGGTCAATTTGCATATTAGTCTTTTATTATATAGGATCTTTCTAAATGGGAATCAACAGGGTGGAGTTATGAGGAAAGAGGAGAGAGTTAGACTTTTGTTCAAGTTTTTATGTAGCTCAGAAATATTATACAAATTTAAATAACTTGCAAGTATTAACATTATGCCATCCTTCTCTTTTCTCCTCTCTTTGTGTATACATGATATACATTGTTTTATATGTGTACTATTCATTGTTTCATATATAAAGAATATGTACATTATATGTGTGTATGTAAAACAAATGAGATTTTTAAATGTTTAATTAAAAGTTTTATTACCTACTTCTTAGAACTTCTGCCATAAGGGAACTTCATCTTGGAGACTGCTGATTTATGTCTTACTGTGATTCTCATTTGTTTAGTAATATTTGAGTGTCAGATGTGACCAACACTGTGCTTAGAAAAGCTTGACACCTACACAGCCATTTTATATCCATTTCATAATTCAAAATAAGTGTCAGCGACTTTAAATTTCAACATCGAATGTATTGTTCCTCTTTTCCTAATTGTTTTCAATGTGACTGTACAAATATTTATTTTTATTTTATTTTTTTTAAATATATTTTATTGATTTTGTACAGAGAGGAAGGGAGAGAGATAGAGAGTTAGAAACATCAATGAGAGCGAGTCATCGATCAGCTGCCTCCTGCATACCTCCTACTGGGGATATGCCCGCAACCAAGGTACATGCTCTTGACCAGAATCGAACCCGGGACCTTTCAGTCCCCAAGCCGACGCTCTATCTATTGAGCCAAACCGGTTTTGGCAAATATTTAGAAATAGGTATTATAATCTGCTTTTACTTATTACAAAAGGCAATCTGCTTTACAAATCAATATTTGACACCAGTTAGTGGCTCTGCCTACTCAGGGGTGAATATAAACTGGCAGGTGGCGCTGTGTTTTGGTGACACACAGAGTCTGTCCTCTTGGAGCATGCAGTCAGAAACCAAGTAATAACTGACATTTAAAATTAAAATCCTGTGCTGTGAAGGAGAAATGCTAATGGGGGGCTTTAACTATAGTCTGGGACAACAAGCTAAGTCAGTTGTGGAATAACCATTGGATTGAGACCTAAGACATGGTAGGTGTTTTCTAAGTGAGCAGATAAGAAAGACCATGCATTGAACAGACTGCCAAGAGAATCTGATCTGAAGAGTAGTGCATGCAGAGGCCTCGTGGCTGAGGGCAGCCCCTTGTGTCAGAGGAAAGGAAATCAGGCCTTGGTGGCTGGAGGACAGAACAGCAGGCACATCGCTCAGGATGAGGATAGGGATGGGATGTGAGGACAGTGACGCAGGCCATTCTGAGAGAGAGAGATGGGAGCACCGATTGTCCTATGGAGTTTCTGTGAAAGGCAAGTAGGTTCATATGATTATATCTTCAGTTTGGAAAGCTCACCGGGGCCTCTTCAAATGTCTTGTCATTTGTGAACTAGAAAAAAAAAATCACATATGTTTTTTCAAGAGGCAAGGAAATAAGGAAATTAAAAGGAGTGCAGTTTTGTTGCCTTTCCTTTTTTAGACTGTGTGTGTAATGATTTTGGAAAACATTAGCAATCCAAGTGACTACTTTTGTCGCGCTGTCTCCTCTGTTTTTCTGTCCTGCATAAAACTGGGTTCCAGACTTGACTGTGCATCCAGATCACCTGAGGAGTAAAACAAAATATTTTTAATTATATAGAATCCTGGGGCCCATGCTAGACCTGTTAGCTCATAATTTCTAGAAATGAGACCCCATAATCTGTAATAAGCAAAACAAGCAAAACCCTCCTGATTGATTCCAGTGAATGTACACTTGTACTAGGCCCCAAACAGGCATTAGCCCGTTTCCTTCCAGGGGAATCCTCACTCCCTATTCTTCTCATGCCGACTGGCAGTAACTACATATCTGGTGAACCTTAATACAAATATCCATTCAATTTTTAACATGCCTCGTTCTTACCAGGTTGATGGTACAAACCTTCAGGGTTTTACCAACCAACAAGCCGTAGAAGTATTGCGGCACACAGGACAGACCGTGCACCTGACGCTGATGAGGAGAGGAATGAAGCAGGAAGCTGAGCTCACGGCAAGGGAAGACGTCACAAAAGATGTGGTCTTGTCTCCTGCTAATGCTAGCGTCAGCAAAGGTAATTCCGTGTTGCCTGGTTTTCAGTTACACCCTTACAGCGTTTCATTGTCTTTCTAATTCTAAAATCATTTAAAGAATAGTTTTTAGTCTTCACTATTTAGTATGAACCAAGTTAAAAGGAAGTTTAATAAAGTTGGAATGAACTGGAAACATGTGTGTTCACTAACTATAGAACGGACTTCAGAATAAAGCGGATTACTTCCAGTCCTTTTTTTTTCAGTCACCACTTCCGAGTTGGAAACACACACAGTCATTGACCTTACTGTCCCTGCCTTCCTTTTTCAGTGTCCTCATCCTGTTTTCTGCTTAGGCGGAGCCTATCTGCCTGGATTATGCATGTGAGCCCCAGGATGTTTCTGACTCCTTAGTCTTTCTTTGAAGGAATGGATTTTTAACTTCCCAGTTAGAAATGTCATTCACAACCTGCTTACACATGAGTGTTTCTGGGAAACACTGACATCCCTATGAAGCTCCCGGGCTCAAGGTGTACTGGCAGAAGTCAGGCTGTTGGTTGGAAAGTGCTGCTTCATTTCTCAAACTGCTAACCATCCTGGTATTTGTGGTGTAAACTACCTATCAGTACAAGGAGACAGGGAGGCCAATCACAGGAGGAATTTATTACTTCTTTGTTCCATTAACACGAGAACATTTCTTTAAGAATAAGTGGTTATTGAAGAGTTTCTTTACAAAAACAACTTTTCATTTAGGCATTCAAATATATATAGTAGGGTTTGAAAAACTCAAATGTGTGATTCTATGACAGATATAACTACTAAAACATTCTTCTCTTTAAGAAAATTATGAAAAAGATGAAGATTCTTTATGTTTGAGGAGAAACACCAGCATAGTACCCATTGAAGAAGAAGGTAAACACCTGGAGCCAGGCTGTTTTGTTCTTTATATACTTTATAGATAAATGACTTTCATAAATGTGCATAAGCCTCTATGGACATATTGAAATTATAGAAAAACACTTTCAAAAATTGAGGTGTTTGTAAATCCTCATTTATACATATGATTAATTGCTCTAGAAGATTAAAATAGTTCATTTATAGCTGGCGTATTTTCTTACTGATCTTTTCTTCTACATTTTTTTAAAACTAACAACCCTTTGGGACTCAATCAGTAAATACATGGTTTTTATTTCAACCCCAGTATGTCTGTACAGCCAAAATATGTCTATCTTAATGAATAAACAAACATAAAATTATAAAGCATATTTAAAATAAATACAAGGGAATCTGTAAAGCATAAGCTACTAGGAACGAAACTTTCCAATTTGGGGAGGCTTTTTCTTCTCCATTTTTAAAAAAAGTTCTGAACTTTAATATTAAGAAATTGGTTCCAAAGGAATATTAGAGAGAAATCAAGGCTTTCTGAGATTTCTTTCACTGATAAACCAGGTTTCCATGACTCTGTTTAAACATTTTTTAGAGCAACATTGTTTTAATATGTAATTATGCCAGAATGCTGTGGTGATCTTTTTACACTGTGTGCTTTGTACCTCCCTTCTCTGTCAGGCTGTTCTTGGTAGTTTAGTAGCTTAAATCCACTGAACAAAGAACAAGACTACAAAATAATTTTCTTGAAGCTTTGTAGATCTTTAAAATATCTACTACTCCATTATTAAATTATTTTTTGCTGAAAATTTTATTTACCTTTATTATTTTAAAGCAGTATTTGTGTTTGCAAAGATATACCTGGAGGGAGATGTGTAAGATCCACTGGTGTTAATTGCATTCTGCCATTTTTTCACTAATAGGTGAAGAAATTATTTAGGCTACAGTGTAAGTGAGTATCAGGAGTAGGGAGAATGGATAAAAATGAGGCAGTAAGTGGGGATGGGTGCGGGCTTTGTCTGGAAGCTCAGACCACCTAGTTGGCTCTGTGTGCAAGGATAGACGGGTGAGGCTCTAGACTGAGAATCAAGACTCCCAAATTCCTTTGGGAAAACTTGTGTTCTAATGCACCCACGCTAGTGCTTGGTCCCTAGACAAGGGAGTAAGGTGCCACCTCCACAGAAATTTGACTCATTGTGTGAGCCGGGACAAGTTATTTGGCTTCTCAGTAAGATCAGAGGACTGGACTTCATGATTTTTTAAATCTGTGTGAAATTTTGACTTGGGGCAGTTGGGGAAGGAGGAAAAGGGAGGATTGTGCATGTGGGTTGTATGAAGACAGATCTCAAATTTGTTAGCAGCAGCATACAGATTCCCCACTTTGTGCACTCAGGAGCCCACCTGTTTGAGTTACTGCCCAGCTCTGGGTGGACAGCAGAGTCAGAGAAAGGGTGAGTGAGGAGTTAGGGCTCTGAGCTGACTCCTCTGTCTAGCCCTTATCAAGTTCAAAGAGTCTGTGTTCACCACTGCGTGTTGATGCCTCTCTGGACTGAATTTAATTTTGAAAAGAAAATACTCATTTGGTTGGGCTAGTCTCCAAATTAAAAAAAAAAAAAATATATATATATATATATATATATATATATATATATATAGTTTATTATTTTCAGTTTTTCAAAGAGAAATCAAATCGTTTTATTAATTCAAGGCATAAGATGTGCAGAATAGACCTAGAGTGAAAGCTCATTAATTCCATTAAATAGGAGGCAGTTAAGAAATTTGAATTTTACAGCACTCTTTACATTTGAAATTTGAATGCTAAAAAAGATAAAAAAGTTTTAACTTAGCGTGTGCCTTGTAGAGATTTTTTAAAAGACAACCTTCATGAGGAAGAACTATGCTGAAATATGGAAATATTTGAATATGACTTGCAAATTCTTTTCAACCAGTTTCTTACTTTAGCTAAATATTTTAACTCAATATTGTTTACATAATTTGTTTAGTGAATTTATTTCCAATTTTTTTTTCTTTTTACCAATTAGTGCAATTCCAATTATGGGGTTTTATTTTAATGTGCATTCTGTTTCTCAAGTTTTTCTTATTTTTGTACTCATTGTACATGAGTTGCATATATTATTTGTTAATTATTTCTGTTTTTGTGAAGGTGTGGCATGGTTCTTCTTTACTCTCTAGAACCAAATGAAAATGAAATAGATAAACTAACATAAAAGGCAGCATGGTTTTTTACTATAGGGACACCAAAAACCACCAAGTGAAACCTGGAGGGACTCGGGGTCCTGGTTCTTTTAAATAAATGTCAGATAATATATGGATACTTTAATGGAAATGTGGTCAAGATTTAAAAGGCTTCTCAGAAAAGAAAATAGTGTTTGAGCATGCAGATGTTAGGGTTCTAAATATGAAGAGAAGTAGGGTACCTCGTCTGTTGGATGATGAGTCAGACTTTGTATGATAGACAGGTTCTGATCTCCCCTGGTACTGAATGTTAAAATAAGGATAATTTTTGTGGGTTTGTCACTAACTTAATTGTGTTGACTGTTTCAGGGTATCCCTTACTGCTAGCTGAAATAGAAGAAATGGAAGATGCACAGAAACAGGAAGCTGCCCTCCTGAAAAAGTGGCAAAGGATTATGGGAATTAATTATGAGATAGTGGTAGGTTACCATACCCTCCCTAACTTCCTCATTTGTAACTATTTGATAAGAAGTTCTTGAGAGCAGTAAAAGTGTTGGTCATAAAGAGTCTTTGAGAAGTAGCAAATGCCCAGCGTTTTTTTCAAAGATCTAAATGTGCTGACTCAGATATTTAAAAAATTCAATTTGGAGAAAGTTTGATAGTAACCAGGAAACTGAAATAAATGGCATTGAAGTTTTAGAACTCATAAATCATCAATGTTTTAATATTCCTTCTGGTAGTATATCTTATACAGATACTAGGAATGTTGTTTTTCTGATTATTAAATGGGATTCATAGAAAGAATCAGAAAAGAATGACAATATTTACTTAAAGATAAAACAAAAATGAATCATGACCTATAAACAAAATTGTAAAAATACTTTTCCTGTTACCACTCATATATTTACTTAAGAGGTATGTACCTATCTGCTTTTTTCATATTACTAATGCCATATTGAATGTTTTATATTTATTAATAGTTTTCATAGCTAGGATAGCAATTGTCATTTGCTTCCTAAAAAGAGGTTTAATAAAATGACACACATTATTAGCCTTTAGATGTATACCAGCAAATTTTAGGGATTTTAAAAGGAAAAATGTAATATTAGGTTAGGTTGAATTTATATTATTGCTTATAATATCCAAGTAACTCTAGATTAGAAGAGATAAAAGACAACAGATTTCATATATTATTAATAATTAACATTTTTGGAGCACTTTGTGCCAAGCAATATGAATACTCATGACAAGGACCATTGAATACTCATGACAAGGACCATTTTTTTTTAAACATTCAAGTTGTTTAACAGTCAGTTAAGAAATGAGTAAGTACAGCTGCTACTACCATTCTAAATGGCATTGAGGTAAAAATACAATAAAGCTCGGCTTCATTGTGGTTAATTTAACACGAAAAGAAAGTTGAGATGTTCCGTCTTTGAGGAGGCTTGTTTGCATAACTGAGACTCCACCTCTTCTGCTGTTAACTGAATAGTGAAGGGGACCTTTTGACTAGCCAAGTGTTGACTAGTCAGATGTCAGACCTGAGACTGGTCTTTAATTGCCTTTGTGCACATGGCACTCCCAGTTTGTCAAGGGCGGAAGTGTGCTGTAAGTAAAAAAGATCTAAGCTATTTACTGGCTCTCAAAAGTAAATTAGACATAGATCTGACTTTAAATTGTTGGCTGCGTAGTTGAACAGCATAAACGTAATCATAGGGAGAGTGGTGCAGTAAAAAGGAGGATTGATGGGCATTGTGAGTGGGGTACTAGGAGACTTCTCAGGGGAGGTGATATATAGAATGGGATTTAAGAAGTGAGAAGGATTTCATCCAGCATTAGATTTCAGCATCAGGTTTACTGCACACTTGCATTTGCGTTCCACACCCTGTAAGACAGCAGCTTTGCGGAGTGCCCTCTGGTATTCCGGAACCTCTCAGGGGATGTCAGAGAGCGGGTTTTGGCCCAATCCCTGCAGGCCAGGCCGAGGGACCCCACCTGCCAGAAGGACCCCGCTCACTCAGTAGAAGCCCTTTGAGCCCCAGCGTCGCCTCAGGTGCAGCCTGCAAGGAAGGAACCAGGAAAGGTTGGCTCCAAGGCGTGTCTGGCCCATCTCACCCAGTCCTGCCCTGCCAGCCATCTTCTAATTAATTTCCTTTCAATGTGCCCAAATCCATGCCGTGGGCCACTAGTAAAATACACATATGAAAAAAGAATATTAGAATTGTGATGATTTTTCTTTTTTTAGGTCGCCCAAGTGAGCAAGTTCAGTGAGAACAGTGGTTTGGGGATAAGTCTGGAAGCAACAGTGGGACATCATTTTATCCGATCTGTTCTACCGGAAGGTCCTGTTGGACACAGTGGGAAGCTTTTCAGCGGAGATGAGCTCTTGGAGGTAAGGAGCTATGCCATTTTACCCTCCCTCCCCAAGTAGAATTCTTAAAAGGCTGCAGGAGGTTTCATGGTAAGTAAGTTCTTATTTAAATTTCCCCTCTAAAGGACACTCAAGAGAGATTTACACATAAAATTCCACCCAAAGCAGACATTTCAAATCTGTATATGAACTGATTTTCAGACCTAATTTTGTGCTGAGTTTGTTTGTTTTCATTACAGAGAACTATAAAAACTTCTTTAAAAATTGTAAAACATTTATTCAATTTTTAGAATATGTAATACATTTACATATTTCAAAATCACAAAGAATGCAAAAGCTTTACAATAAAAAGCCTTTTTTTCCTATTCCAATTCACCCAATTTCTATCTCCTTTCCTTCGTTAACTAATTACATTTGTTTCTGTGCAACCTTCTGGATATTTTTAATTCATAAATACTAAAATTTGAATGTATTATTTTTCCTCATTTTTATAAAAAGCATGCTACTGCACAATATTTGCCATTTTCCATTTTGACATTTTCTCTTAATAATAATATAAAATGTAAATTTAAAAAATAATCCATTTTTCCCATTCATCCTTTGAGGAAGTTTTTTATTAAGTCTTTCTTCCAAACTACTACTCTGGGAGATCATATGTGGATGCAAAGCTAGTGATCATTCAGAGTGCTGCAGAAGGTCCAATTCCAACAGACTCTAGCCTTGTGTGTAAAACGTTTGCAGTAGTATTGTTACAAGTCTAAACTACAGTTCACAGAACTGTGGTAATAGTAAAAATTTGTATTTACTTAGTGCAAAATTGTTCTCTAAAGAATATTCATACTATGAGAAGTTCTTCCTTGGACAACTTCTCTTTTTCCTCAGGTGAACGGCATCACACTGCTTGGGGAAAACCACCAGGAAGTGGTGAACATTTTAAAAGAGCTGCCGATAGACGTGACCATGGTGTGCTGCCGCCGCACTGTGCCCCCCACCGCCCAGTCAGAACTGGACGGCCTGGACCTGTGTGACATTGAGCTAACAGAAAAGGTATTAGATAACGGATAGGAGGCTAATCTGAATATACTGTATAATGGAAAGGATAAATTGTGTTTGAAATTGTCTTTTTAGGCCTCTTTCTTTTATTTGGTGTTTGGTTTCCTTATATTGCGCCATGGCTTATCAAGATAGACCTCAGGGTCAGACAGACCTGGGTTTGAATCAGGCTTGGCACTTCCCAGCTCTGGGACCTTGGGCAAGTCACTTCACTTTTCTGAATCTCAGTTTTTTTCCTCTGTGCAATGTAAGTCATGTTGCCTGTCTTGGAGCATTACTCTGCAGCTAAAATAAGGTCATGTAGGGATATTTTATTTCATTGCCCACTGCATGCTTATATAACTTATTCATACTACCAGTATGAAGTCATTACTTACATTGTCCCCATTCATGGTGGAGAAAATCGAAGAATGTAAAAGTATATACTATCTTTGTGGTGAGTGATACTTTTATGTAACCTGCTGAGCTCAGGGCCTGGCACACAGTACTGCTCAGGGAGTGGTTAAAGTATGGATGTACACAACATTTCTGCATATATTGGTCTTACTTGCACACTATTGATACGTGAAAAAGTGAGAAATTTGAGCTCGTAACATTACATGTCAGATAATACTCTGTGATATCCAGAAACTCCCATTTTTCTGTTTGCTCATTTTTTTTCCATTCAGATCAAAATGTCAAGAAATGGAGCTCATTAGTTTTCCTGAAGACTCACAGTAGATACCTGAAGTTATGATTTTGACTTTGTATCTTTGCAATCTAAGTGAAATCCCATTTAAGATACAGTGAGAGATGATGTTAGGATTTGATTTACATTACACTGAAGGAATAATTTTGAAAACTTGGAAGAATAAAGTGTATAGTTTAATATTCAAATGGGTGACTAGAATAGGGTAGAATAATAAATGTAAGTCTAAATTGTGTAATATCCCACATAACCATACACATTTATGCGATCATTGCAATAAAACAGGTAAACAGATTTGCATGCAGTGCTTTCAAAAATAAACATAAATTTACAAAAAAAGAACCATATAATTTTAATGTCTGTTATAAGTTAGGTATTTCTTCTTGTCTAATAACTTTAATTCCTAAGGGTTTCCTGATAAATTATTGCTGCCCTTACTTGAGAGTGTTTTTTTTGTTTTTTTTTTCTGGAAAGACACTAAGAATCTCCCTTTTTCTTGGAGTGCTGTTATTTGTATCGCTCATCTAGTGCCTCTGAAATAAGAACTGTCTGGTCTGTCACCAGCCTCATGTAGATCTCGGCGAGTTCATCGGGTCTTCGGAGACTGAGGAGCCCGCGCTGGAGATGCCCGATGTGGGTCAGGATGCAGCCCAGGTTCACGGACCTCTGGCCATGTGGGAGGCAGATGTGCAGCACATCGAGCTGGAGAAAGGCAGCAAAGGACTTGGCTTTAGCATTTTAGATTACCAGGTAAATCTATCCGACTTGTAACAGTTTTTTTTTTTTTTTTAAATAAAAGATGATATATACAGAGGCATGTTGTTGATAGCAGAGAAAAGGCAGATACTATTTTAGTCATCAAAGGCATTTTCTTGTTCCTAGTAAAACCTTCAACTAGTACTTTATATGCTTCATTGATTATCATAAAGAATTTTTTTTTAAAACATTGAATTCCTTGAGCTCTTTTATATTGTAACTCTTGAGGATTTGAAGAATACTCAGAATACATTTTAGGAATTTTGTAGAATATCGTGGGGTTTTTGTTTGTTTGTTTGTTGTTGTTGTTGTTTTGGACATGAGGGGGTTATGTCCAAGCTATTGTTATTTCCATGCACTTAATTGATGGTTCATATTTTATTTTATTTTTTAATTAATTTATTTATTTATTTTACATATTTTATTGATTTTTTTTGCCCCCCTCCTGCCCTCCCACATGATGGTTCATATTTTAATGGTAAGACAGAAATTATTAGGTATTTATTGTGTCTGAAGTAAATAATAGATTTGTAATTGGCTATATTATAAATTTCAGTATTCCTATCATTTGACTAAATTTGTGAATAAGCTTAAATTGGTCAGACGTGACCTGCAGCCTTACCAGCACTGTGTTCTGTGGTGTGAGTAGCTGAGGGAATGCTGTGGCCCGTTGGAGAGACACAGCCGTTGCTCCTCATTAATTAATACTGAGCCAGTGGCCGTCTCCGATGTCTCCCGCGGGACGTGTCGTTCATGCGGCCTGATCCTGGAGCCTGTGCGAATGCTAACGTCACTGTATGTCTTCCTCGGCATCACCAAACTCTCTACCGCCACTCCTCCCGCTTCCTTATTTCAAGAGAGTGGTATACTCACAACTACTGGTGCTCCAGAGCAGTTATTTTCTATTACACAAATGCTGGTGTTAATGATTCATATATCTGACATCTGTCTGCCCTCAGATGATAGTTATAAAATTTGACAAAAGTTAAAATTATTTTAAACGTATCGGTGCAATTTGAAGGGTCAACTCAGGAACGATGCCAAGAGAGGGGAGCTTTGTTTGGGGTGAGTTCTTCCTAAACTCTAGAGTGGAGGGAACTTTTGCCCAGATAATTCATTAGAAGGGTTAAAGGAATTTTTTCAAAGACACTGGGAACAGTTACCCATCCATCACAGGGCAGGGGGAGCCGCCTGTAAATGAATTTCCCAGTGTGAAATGAAGCTGCCTGCTCTGTCCTTTCTCCATCTCGTCTGTCAGGACCCCGTAGACCCAACGAGCACTGTGATCGTGATCCGTTCTCTGGTTCCTGGCGGCATTGCTGAGAAGGATGGGCGCCTGGTTCCTGGTGATCGCCTCATGTTTGTCAACGACGTGCACCTGGAGAACAGCAGTCTGGAGGAAGCTGTGCAGGCCCTGAAGGGCGCCCCGGCAGGAACGGTGAAAATAGGAGTTGCCAAGCCTTTACCCGTAAGAATTTGGATTTTACTGATTCTTTTCAGTATTTGCAAACAAAGTAGCTTGTGCGCTTATTTTTAGCTTCACATGTTCTTAGGATAGAACATGACTTTCAGTACTTTTTTATCAACACAGTTGTTACTGGCTTTTGAGAATAAAGGTTTAACGTTGAATAATATTTATTTTAATAAAAAGGAAATAAGACAGGAAGTTCAGAAATAAATCTGTAGTATTGCTTTGTGCTTCACTTTTGACCTTTTGTATTTGATGATGATGATGTCATGATAATATAGAATTGAAATATTTTCAAAGAAATAATGCCTCAGAATATCTAAACCAATATAGTAGAATATTAGAGAAATTAATAGCATTAACAACTAGCAGCGGGATCTTTAATTTGGGTGGGATAAATAGAATCTCTATAGAGTGGCTTGCATTTTGTCAATTTCAACACATTTGTTGTCTAATTACTGGGAAGCAAGAAAATGAACTTCCCAAAGTGATTCATCAACAGGTGGCTTCCTGAGGGAGGGAAGACCCCTTCTGTCATTAATTATTGCAATATTAAAAATAACTAATGACATGCTTACATAATGTCAATACATTTAGTAGGTATAGTGATTGCAGCACAGCACTTTAGACTGAATTGCAGTGAAATCTGAGAGACATTCTCACTCTGGGAGATTTTTTTTTTCCCCCCAGTATATAAGTATGTTCTTAAATGAAAGGGCAAATATACCTTCTCCTAAGAAACCAGAGAGACACAGATCTATTTGCATAAACATCAAGGAAAAATTTGTTGACTGTGAAGTAGTAAGCTTTGTTAGTATGTTTTAAGTGTTAATTACATTTTTGTGTCTCACGTTTTACTCCACAAAGAATTGGTAACCTATGAAAATATATTTATAAAAAAAAGAAAGGGAGGAAGGGAGAATATATTTATCTAACCTGAAATCAAACCAGAATTGTAGAAATCACAACAGAAGATCAATATGAAGGTAATGTAAGATTGAAGATAGGCCATTGGGACTCTGCATACATAGGGTGTGGCAAAAGTGGGCTTCCAATATTATAATCAATAAATAATAATATAAGAAAAAACTCTGTGTTTCACGTACTCATGTCTGTAAACCTACTTTTACCCCACCCTGTGTGTTACAATTGACCATATATTTGGTTCTGGTCTTTTTGTTCAACAAAGAAAATGGCAAACAATTCCATATATCTTTTTACTGCCCTTAGAAGAATCCATGCCAGTTATTAAGAAGCAGACTGTTTTTTTTCTAGCTAGTTCCAAAATAAATTTCTTTCATGAGAATGCTCACTATTTTAAATTTCATATGCATTGCAATAATAGGAAAAATAGCTTTTATATATAGTGAGGCTTATTATCTACAAACTTATATTTGTGGAACAAAAAGAGAAACTTTTTCCCCCCAAATACTTTGGTATGTAATTGATGATACAGGCTGATGTAGGCATGACAGTTATCTATAATAATCCATAATAATAAAAGAATAATATGTTAATTAGACTGACATCCTTCTGGACCACCTTCCTAGGGCTGTGAGGGAAGCTCAGATCCCTGGTGCCGGAGGGAAGCTGGTGCTGGCAGCCAGGGGAAGGAAGGCCTCTTCTTGCATGAATTTCGTGCATCGGGCCTCTAGTCTAACTGTGTTGGCCTATTTTCTCTGAGGTTGGAATACAGATGTTAGGTTTCCTGTCAGTGTGATAAAAGTTGCCTTATTTTTATGTGAAGAAGTTGTTGAGCCAGAATATTTTTCAGATAAAAATGACCAGATGTTTACTTTAATATAAAATATTATGTTGTTATATTGTTGATTTTGATCAACTTTTATGAGAAGAATGAAAAAACTTAGTTGAAAGGGATTCTTACCTAGTAGATGATGTTGGTATTTGAATAAATATCCTCATTGTATCTTAAATACAAATGTTAAATACGAATATAATATTTATGTTCTATGTTAAAGTCATGTGGTTTCATTTAAAAACTTTCCCATTTTTTTTTCTTTCCTCCTTTACCTTTTCCTCTCTGTTCCCTCTCTCCTCTTCCCTCTCTTTTCGTTCTCTTTCCTTTCCATGATCTCATCCTCACTCTCTGGACTTCCTTTTCCCTGCAGCTTTCTCCAGAAGAAGGTTATGTTTCTGCCAAGGAGGATTCCTTCCTCTACCCCCCACTCTCCTGCCAGGAGGAAGGGCTGGCTGACAAGGCCCTCTTCAGGGCTGACTTGGCTCTGGTTAGTGGCCACAGCTTTTCAAGCTTTCTTTCAAAAATCTTATGACTTATTTTATCTTGCAAAATATTCTAAAGTCTTACTGTATTCTTTATTCATTATATTTGTGAAACGAAACATTTCTCACCAACTCCAATAGTTCTAATAATTCAAAATGTGAAGAAAAACAAACCTATGTGAAAACTATTTGTTGGATTCGTGGAAATTTTATTTAACAAGGCAAAGGTCAACAGTAGAATTAATCTTCACATCATACCAAATATTTGTTGGAGCACTTGTTTACTCTCATTTCATACTGAGTCTTTCTAGGCATTTTTTACTATTTAGTATTTAGCCAGAAATCAGCATTTTGCCTACCTTTTAAGGATATAACAGGTCTCCTTGGACATTATACTAATACTAGAGGCTTGGTGCATGAAACCCTTGCACTCGGGGAGGGGAGTTCCTCAACCTGGCCCACGCCCTCTCACAGTCTGGGGGCCCTCCAGGGATGTCCAACTGCCACAGAGGTGGAAAAGGCTCCTGCCACGACTGCTGTGCTCGCCAGCCATGAGCCCGGCCCAGGGCTTCTGGCAGAGTGGTCTTCTCCCAGTGGGAGTGCAGTGACCACCACGGGGCAGCTCCTGCATTGATCATCTGCCCCCTGGTGGTCAGTGAATATCATAGCAACTGGTTGTTCCACTGTTTGGTTTATTTGCATATTAGCTTTTTACCAGGTGCACCAGTGAATAATGCAGATTTTATAATAAAACAAGATAATTTCAAAAGAAATATCAAAGGTTCCTTATTCAAAGTAATGTCCATTGCTAGCTACACATTTCCAACATCTTTCATGTAATTTGTGGATATTGTCCCAATAGAACTCTTCTTGTTCTGAGGCAAACCATTCAGAGCCCCAATTTTCCACTTCTTATGTTTTGAATTGCTGCTCAGAAAGTGTGTGTGCCATCAATCAGAACAAGTGGTAATCTGAAGTAGCAAGGTCTGGGGAATATGGTGGGTGGGTTAATGCTTCCCAGGCAAATCTTGTAAGTTGTCTTTAACTGGTTTTGAAGTATGTGATGGTGTGTTATCATTAAGCAAAATTACTTTGCCATGTCTTCTGGCCCATTCTGGTGGTTTCACAATCAAAGCTGGTTCATTTTGATTATTTGTTGTCCATAGGGATCAGTAGTAACCATTTCCCTGTTTCACACCTTCCTGATTCCACAAACGCAGAGCATTGTCTTCTTCCTGAAGTGATTTGGCTTTGCAATCCATGTTAATGGTTGATCTGGAACAACCCATGATTTTGTGAATTTTGGATTCTCAAAATAAATCCACTTTTCATCGGTGGTCACAATTCCATGCAAAAAGACTCTTTTTTTGTGCCATTGAAGCAGCATTTTACTGATGACTTTTCTGTTTTCCATTTGTCTTTTGTTCAGTTGATGTGGCACCCATTTTCCTTCCTTTAAAATCTTTCCCATTGCTTGTAAACAATCAGAAATTGTTTACTGACCAACATTTAATCTTTCTGCAAGTTGTTTTTGAGTTTGACATGCACCTTCATACAATAAAATGCTTATAATTGTTGGTCTTCAGATCCTTTCTTTTGACCTGGACATTGTTTATCTTTCATATCGAAATCATCATTTTTAAAGCATTTAAACCAGCGTTCACAAGTATCTTGAGATGGAGCATGTTCACTATAAGCTTCCCAAAGTATACGATAACTTTTCTGCTGCACTTTTCTTCAAAATGACGAATTAAAACTTCCCACAAATGCTCTTTTTTTGGCATGAAATTCAACATTTTTAATCATAAAAATATCTGTGATGTTAACGTCTTCAGAAAATTTGACCTATGAAATACTGAAGCTTGCTAATCAATACAGCAAAATAGCATACATATCAAATAGCATGTATATCAACATATGCACAACTCTTATTGAAAAAAAAATATGCATTACTATCTGGTACACCTGGTATTATGTAGGATTATGTTAACACTTCAAAACTAGATAGTTTAGAACTCTATGAATTATATAAAGTACTCTGGTATAAATATGTAAAATAGTCTCCAGCCATAGAAAATTCTTTTGAAATGTTGCAGGTCACAAATGTACCATTGTCTCTAAAAGTGTCCAGAGAAATACAATTTTTTTCTGGAGTTGACACAGTTTCGTTGAATCTCCTTAAATGAATACCAAAGAGAAGATTAGTTCCACTTTTCTGTGAGCTCAGCATCTTATGGTAGGAAATGTCCTGGGTCTTCTCCCTAACTAGCTACATAATCTTCTATTAGTCACTCAACATTCGTGGACCCTGGTGTTTTTATCTTGACAATAATTAGATTAATTGATTGTAGGATCTCCTTTAAGATTCTGAGGCATCAACTAAAAATATACAAATTATTTTGAGTCTTTTTTAATGTTACTTATATTTTTCTATTATGATATATGGCCCAAGGCTTAGTTAATACTATCTGTGAAGATAGCAGATGTTAAATATTTAATGTTTGGATTATGATACATAATGTACATTCATAAAGGATAAATATCCATGTAGATACTCAATAGTGAATTTGAGCATGTATTGAAAAAATGTTTTAGAGAAGTTCATTTTGAAGTTGTCCATCAGTATTCCTTTCATGTTTTTTGCAAGAATATGATCTGGTGTAATGTTTTAGTGCAACTTCTCCTGGCTAAATGTGTAAGTTGAAATCACAAAAATAGACAACATATCAGTTTTTGCCATTAAAGCAGAAAATGGTGGTAGTATTGTATAAGGATAGTATTTATGTCTGTTCTACCTATTCTGAGATGTAATAGTGAGTGAATTGTAAGGAGAGCTTCAAGCTTATCATGCTTTATAAATCTTTCACTTAGTTCTGCCACAGAAGTAGTAATAGAATTTTTAGGTAATACGTAGTGAAATTTGCTACTTCCCTCTATGTGAGTTTTCCAATAGCTGTTTATAACTTATAGTTTTACCATAACTAGATCACAGTTAGGCACCTTGTTTGCTAGTGTAATTTCAGCATGAAATGCCAGATTTTTCTCTTTGGTTTCTGATGATCACCATTAAGTTTTGTGTCTGCACCTTGAATGATTTTTAAATCTATTAAAAGGCATTTTAAACAAAATATATAATCTCGATGCGATTTACGAATAGAGGATTGTTTGGCAGTCCTGTTGAAAAAGTTTATGTTAGTTGAATAGGAAAAGAGCTGACCTCATTCATTTTATTATGAAAATCTAAAATTTGAGTGGGTATTATTTTAAAATAATGTGACCTTGGAAAAAGGCAAATATTTCCCTTAATTTATGACATTTCTAAACTTAGAATTTATCCAGGTCCTTTATTGATTGTTACCTTTAGCCCTCTATTGGTGGAATAAAATAGCCTTTGATGCCAGCAGGATAGGCTACAGGTGAGTAGTTCATCCTTGTACTCTTGTATTAGCCTCGGAAGTGTTGAAGAGGGTGAAGAGGTCATGTAGAAGATAGCAATGACAAAGGAATGATACTAGGGACCTTTTGGTCTCAAGTGGAGACTTTGCAGTGGAACAGAATTTCCAACTGACATTATTGTTTTTATCCCTAGGTGGACACAAGCAATGCTGACTTAGCTGATGAATCTGCATTTGAGTCTCACTACTCTCCCGATAATGACAGTGTCTACTCTACTCCTGCCTCTATTTTGTCTCTTCACAGCAGTGCTTGTAGTGATGGCCTGAACTATGGTCCCTCCCTTCCATCGTCTCCTCCCAAGGTACAAAGGGATGCCATCTCCGTTATGGGAGAACCTTGTGTGTACTTTTCCAGAGGGCACTGTGTATGCAGGGTTGAGTTGTAGGAGTAGCAAGCTAGAGACATTATGTTTCCCAAGTCATGGATTCATTATTGGATTAAAGTTCAGTTTCATTTAGGTGATGTTGATTGGGTCATTTGTAGACTCCCAGGGACTGTTTAATTATAGGGTCTGTTATGCAGAGTGATGGAAACAGAGGTTCAAAGCTAAAATTAGGATTTTCTTGTTAAAATAAAAAAAAAATTGGTGAAACTTATCTCTCAAATTGTGTTTTTAACTGTGTCTCCTTTGGAAAAATTATTATTATTTTGTGCATGCAGAGTTGGATAGTAAAATATTTCTTGCATTTGTTTAATATTTACTAGCTAAGTTAAACATAATGCTGTCATATGGTTTTATGTAAAATGAGACCAAAGAATACACAAAAATCATCGTGAATAGCAAAATATGTTTAAATCACTGGATATGGCCGAAACCGGTTTGGCTCAGTGGTAGAGCGTCGGTCTGTGGACTGAAAGGTCCCAGGTTCAATTCCGGTCAAGGGCATGTACCTGAGTTGCGGGCACATCCCCAGTAAGGGGTGTGCAAGAGGCAGCTGGTCGATGTTTCTCCCTCATCAACATTTCTAGCTCTCTATATCTCTCCCTTCCTCTCTGTAAAAAATCAATAAAATATATTTTTTTTAAAATCACTGGATATGAATGAAGAATTTGGTTGCTATTTGATATATCTGTGCCATTTCTATATTAAAAATAGATTATTGATATAAATGCTCCAACTTTGTTCATTTTCTTAGTGACATGATCTATAATGTTTAAAAACCTACCAACTCTTTTGGGTGTTAAATGGTATCTTACTATTTAATTTGTGGTTCCTGATTACTAGTGGAGGTTGAACACTTTTTCATATATTGACCATTTGGGTTTCACTTCTATCAGTGGCCTCTATGTTTATAATGGGTTGCTTATCTTTCCATTGATTTGTTGGCATTGTTTATATTTTCTAGACATTGATATACAAAGCAATTCAGTGTGTTTTTATGAGTATGTGTATGTGTGCATGTGTTAAAAAATACTTAACAAGTGTAGGAATAGTATCTTTCAACTTCAGGAAAGAAGTTATTCTTAAAGATAAAAGGAATCATGGAATTTAGCTTAATACTTTTATTGTTATAAGTAGAGTGATTGAAGAAAATATGGCAAAATGTTAAGATCTGTTAAGTCTTGGCAAAGCTTTTATATGTGGATATATATGTGTCTTTAATTTTCTATCTTGGAAATATGCCACCAATAACAGTTAAGGTAAAAAGACTGGACAATAATTCTTTCTTGGATATGTGAAATATATATTTTCCACATAAGTTCCGTGGGGAGGGAATTTGAACCTAGGAATAAGTTGGAAAGTAGAATTTTCCTGTCTAGTACAGTTTTCCTGAATTAACAAGTTTTTTTGGCCAGAACAATCAAAGCATTTTCTTTTATGTTTGAATTACACCTGTTATCCTTGCAAATGATGCTGGGCAGTCTCTTTGAATTGGTTTGCAAGGTATAATCTTGAATGGAGCATCTGCTCCTCTCTCTCCCCACCTGAGCCTGCCTCTGTGACTGCGTCCTGTCTGGACCCTGTTCAGCCTTTCCTGGCCTCGGGGCTGGAAGCTGAGTTCATCTCCTAATGGGACCTCCTAATCCACAGCATAGCACAGTTCTTGCCAGTGGGACAGATTGCATTGTTTAACTTTGTAATTGTTACTTAAAGGGATTACACAATCTGCATACTGAGAAGCATATATTTTACAGGGCAAATGCTGGCTGCATGCAGCACAACATATTGGCTTACTGAAGTCTGTTTGCCTCCTATTTTTTTTTTTTCCATTTCCCAGGCAGTTTACTCTTTTGTTGAAGCAAATTTTTTGGCACCCTGGCTTATCAACTGAAATATTTAAACTGCAAAACAACAAAGAAAGCATTAATGAGGGTGTTTTAAAACAAATTGTGAAACTCCTGTGTGCTTTTAGTTTTCTTTGAGAGCAGCTCTGTCCCTAGGAAGTGGTGAATCTCTGCGGCGTTTTTTGTTTTGTTTTGTTTTGGTTTTGGTTTTGGTTTTCTGTGGCATTTTTTTTTAGCATGTAGATATTTACTAGAAAATTGTGTGTAAATAAATAAAAATTAGAAGATGCACACATCTTTTTGTCTCTTTGCACTAAATTTATTTTCAAAAGACAGAATAGCAATTTGTTATGAATTTCTAATGGACTGTTTATCTTAAAGTGAGCTCAGACTGCGACTTTTTAATTGATAAAATAAGATTGGATAGCATATGATAACTGATGTGAAGAAGGATGAAACAGAGTGTGAGGATCTCAGTGATTCCTCAGGTTTTTGACCTTGCCAACTATGTAATAAGTCTTAAATAGCCTTACATTGTGTCTGGAAGCACACAGGGAATTTTACCTGCGTCCTACATCGGTGAGAGGTCTCCTCACCGTGGTCAGGTGTGCTGGAAGAACTGGTCCCCCAGAGCAGGGACCCACCCTGAAGGGAGCACTTCCCTAGTACAGAGCCTGGGCCCTGCAGCAGCTCAGACCCTCACAGACAGCCTCAGGTGGAGTGAGCTCCTCTGTACAAACTATATCCTAAGGCAGCCAGTTCTGCTGTCTTTTCCTTTTAAAGAAGTGGTGTCTTCTTACTTTGATTAATTATCATATCAGGATTTAAAGGAAATAACCATCACTCACAAATCTAGAAAAATATATCTGCTTCTAGGGCAATTGGATTAATAGAAGCAGGCCATTGAAATGTGGATCTTAAATACAGAAAGCCAGTGGGATTTTTTCTTTTATACTCTTCTAGATTTTAATTTTTTTTTATTAATCTTTCTTATCCCCTTTTCCTCATCACCTTCACAGAAATAAACAAATGCAGAGATAATTGTTTTCAAACTTAAATGCTTCTAGACTTTTGTTTAAAAGCTCGATATATTTTTGGGGTGAGTATGCTTTCATTTGTTTCTTTTCCTATTTTGGCCGAAAAATTACACCCAATAAAAATGTAATTGCTGTGTAATGAGTTTCCCCTTCTCCTAATCCTCACCTGCAGGCCCTGCCCTCGCTCTTACTCCAGGCATGAAATGATTACTAGTTGTACACGCCCTCAATTTCTTAGTATCAGTCCCCTAGGAGATGCTGTTGATTCTGGTGTCCAGTGAACTTGGTGTTTGTCAAGATAGAAACTCCTTTTTACACCTCCTACACCAAACACATCTCATGGATTCTGTAATATTAAAAAAAAAAAATTACCAAATCTTCACTTACTGTCATTCTGTAGCCTAGAATATTGCTATTTTTACATCCTTGTTTAAAATATATGTAATTTTTGAAGGAGAAGGTTAGTGTCAAAAACTAAATCACTTTAGTCAAGGTGATGAAAGTGGTTAAGGAGATCCTAGTGACAGAACTGCACATTTTCAAAATATAAAAGATGTTGCCTTTCTGCAGAGGAGGGCCAGTGCATAAACAATAAAGGATGAATACCCTATCTGAGAAAGAGTGGGAATAAGGTAAGTTGGAGTAGCTGTGCTTATGGCACATTTTCCAAACGTCTTAAGAAGCTTTCAGTGGTGGACTGCTTATTAGAGAAAAGCAGCTTGTGTCCAGTGAATGTTTAAATTTAGCCAGCCTATGTAAAAATATATTACCTGGGTAAATACTGTGCCCAAGTATAATCTCAGCTTATTCATTACACTTAAGAAATAGACCTGTTTCAAGTAACTTTGACATTTTTTATTTAACCTCTCTCCCATCCCCCCCCCCCCCCCCCCCCCAGAACACAAGACTATATCAAGGGGAGGCACATGTTAGTTGGATTTTTGTATCTCAGCTTCATTTAGATACCAGGTTGCAGTTATTTTTGGACATATATGGGAGAAGAACAGTTTTTCTTTTAGATCCATAAGACTTTTAAAAATAAAACTCAGTTGGTTGTTCAGCAACCAGAAATGTTTCTTAAGTAGGCTTATGTTGTCTGCTGTGTTGATTAGCTCTTTCTTTTTGTGTGTCTCTGTTAACTCCTTCATGAATAATGCATGGAAATTTGTTACTCGATTTACAGTAAACCCCAGCTAAGGAGGGCAGCTTGAACTCTTTTTCTGATGAAAAGTGGTTTTTGTTGTTATGTTTCTTTAGAGATTGGGAGAGATGACTTACTGCTAGTTATGATAAATTTAGAATACAGAAGCTAACCAATTGCCTTAGTAAGTAATCTGCTATTTTTAATAAGACTGAAATAATCAAACTTGGGTGGATGAGCTGACAGGTTATTGATTAGGTTCTCTGAGTGCAGAGGAGGATGTTTTTCTGTCATTTTTTCCCTCCCGAGGATTCTAAAGATGTTATTTGCTTGTTTGGTATTTCCATTTTTCTCAGTTCTTTGTACAATGAACATGTTAATTCCAGAGAGATGAAAACTTTTTTGAGGGAGAGGAAAGATAATTGTGTTGGAGCAATTGATTACCTGCTTAGAAAATATGAAAAGAGACCCCATATCTCACACCACACCTGAAATAAATTTTAGATGGATTAAAACCGAATCTGAAAATAAAGCAATTATAAAATAGAAGGAATATACTATAAAGAATTTTGTTAGCTTTGTGCAAAGGAATGACTTATTAAACAATATTAAGTAAAACCCAAAAATACACAAAAAATTTTTGACAAATTTAATTGTGTAAAGAATTTCATTAAAAAATACATAAAGAATTCTTGATTACATATAGAATTTAACTACTGCATGTATAGACCCTACAAACTTAGAAGTAACAAGCTGGGGAAAGATTTCTAGTGTATATATCACCAAGGCCTTATATTCACAATATGTCATTGGCCACAGAAAGTGAATACCATCTGAGAGAATCCTTGGTAAAGTATACCAACATAAAGAGAGAGTTCAGCTAAAACCGGTTTGGCTCAATGGTAGAGCGTCAGTCTGCAGACTGAAAGGTCCCAGGTTCGATTCCAGTCAAGGGCATGTACATTGGTTGCGGGCACATCCCCAGTGGGGGATGTGCAGGAGGCAGCTGGTCAATGTTTCTCTCTCATTGATGTTTCTATCTCTCTCTCCCTTTCTCCCTGTAAAAAATCAATAAAATATATTTTTTTAAAAAGAGAGAGAGAGAGAGTTAGTTCACAGGAGGCATACTAATGGCATGTCCTTTCCCATTTTCAGGGGTGCACATAGTAAAGTAGTAAAGCACTGAACCCCTAATTGGAAGCCTATTTGATATGCACAGCATTGCATACTTGCATATCATTTGAACAACAGCTCTAATTGTAGGAGTTTATACCAAGTAAATTTTCACAGGTCCAGAGAGATATGCAGTAAAAATTAGTAAAAATGACTAATACTTATAAGGCCCTTTCTAGTAAGTCAGGTATGTTTTTAGTACTTTGTAATTTTAACTCTCTCTATCCTCCCACCATTCCTGTACTAGGTCCTATCATTTTCCCTAATTGATGGAGGAGAGAATCAATGCACAGAGTACATACAAGTAACTTGTCTAAGCTGAAAGCAGTACCTCCTGGTGGAACCAGCACCTCACCTGAGGCAGCTTGGCGCCAAAGTTTGCACACTAGGCCTTTCCAGACTTCGGACTATTTTGTAGCTTTAAGAAGATTGAAGTTGACTTTTATTCATTGACATGGAAATCTCTCATGTCAGGGTATAAATTTACTTCAAAAGAGCAAGTAGTGCCCTGGCCAGGTATTTCAGTTGGTTAGAGCTTTGTCCTGTACTCCAAAAGGTTGAAGGTTCAATTCCTGTCAAGGCACATACCTAGGTTGCATGTTCAATTAAATGCACAGGAGGCAATTGGTCTCTTTGTCTCCTAAATTGAAGTTTCTCTCCCTCTCTTGCTCCCTCTCCTTCTCTTCCTTCCTATTTATTAGTTCTCTAAAATCAATAAACATATCCTTGGGTGAGGAAACCCTGGGTAGAGTATGGTTCTGTTTAGGTTTTTAAAAGTATATATGTGCTTGGATGTGTGAGTGTGTACATTTGGATATATATATATGTGAAAGAATTTTAAAATCTGACTCATAAACACACAACTGAAGCCAACCAGTTTTCCTGTGGAGAGGACTAGAAGTAGGAGCCACACAGGAAGACTTTAATATAGTGCGCATACACACTCTGCACCTCTATGGCTTGAATCTTTTTCTGGTGACGGTGTATTCATATACTACTTTTATACTTTCAAAACATCCATCGAAGAATTGAAGAGAAAATTGATAAGTTTATTCAACAGCATCAGTTCATGGAGCTATTGCTTTCCCAAAGCATATAAGTGATATATTATAGTATCAATATATCTATATATATTTATGTAGAACTATAGAATTTTAGAGTTTAGGGAATTTTAGAATTTATGTAAAGCTAAGAGAGGTTCCTTAATGTACAGATTATTAATGAGAGAGCCTGAATTAGAACCTACATCTTATAATACCCCATTTTAGTGTTTCTTCTGTTATATTTTGCACAATATTTATGAAAAATTTCCCTATAAATAATATGAATTGTGTGGCTTTCTGTTCTTCTCCATAAATACCTATAAATATCTGTTGAAATAATTTTCCCTCCAAGGTTTTTGTGAATCTGAATCAATTAATGTCATTCTCTGTATGCATTTGATCTTACAATATTTAAAAACTCAGGCTGCTCTTTAAATAAGATTTGGAAACACACTAAGTGGCCAGATTATTATGATCTCTGAATGCATAATAATCTGCTCACTCAGTGTGTGTGTGTGTGTGTGTGTGTGTATGTGTGTGTGTATGTGTAAATATATATGTGTGTGTATATATATACTAGAAGCCTGTTGAATGAATTCGAGCATGGGTGGGGTCCGGCCAGCCTTGCCAGGGGGAGGGGACATGGACAGTTGGCCTGCCTGTTGGTCTGACTCCTGGTCGAGGGGACAATTTGCATATTAGCCTTTTATTATACAGGATATACACTGAGTGGCCAGATTATTACATATTCAGAGATCATACTAATCTGGCCATTCGGTGTATGTTACTTGCTTTCCCATTTAAATTGACTCTGAATGATTTTATTTGTGAATAGAACATGCTAATGTATCTTAATGATCTCATATACAGTATAGTGTACAGCATGAGATGTATGATTGCAGAAAATGTATTGAAAAGCATTTATAAAAATAAAGGTATGCAGAATATCAGCTAAGTGATGAATTTGTATGTTTGCCAATGCTTTTTAACTAATGAATAATTAATGTTGAGTTTAGGTTTCTTCCCCAAGTCGTTAAAAAAGGATCCTACAAAATACATTGAAGTAATTCTGGCCATCGTTTTTTCTCCTTTTTTATTCTCTCATCATCAGGATGTTACTGACACTTCTTCAGATCCAATACTTGATCTGCACGTGCCCTTGGAAGAATTCTACACCCAGAACCTCCTGCAAAGACAGGATGACAGCCCACCTTCCATAGACTTGAGCATGGGGACTACTTCTGGGTTTATTGTAAATGACTATACCCCTGAACAGCAGTACGGATGTGAGAACACAGGCGTGTGGGCTGAGCCTCACCTACCCAGTGAAGTTATATCAGGTGCAGAGCTTACTTCTCTGCTGCCGGATCCAACGGGACAGGTACTATTTTAAAGACTCGGTGTGTGTGTGTGTGTGTGTGTGTGTGTGTGTGTGTGTGTGTGTGTGTGAGGATGAGGTCCTGAGGTCAGGGACAGGGAAGTATTCTGGCTCGGCTCCCCACCTGGAGCTGGTGCTCTCCTGACGCTGCGGTGTTCCAGAAGCCAGCCTATGCACTGGTCTTGGTTATGGATCCTCATGGAATCAAGCACAACCAATGAGAGACCATGTGTGATGTTGAAATCATATTCCAAAGTCTAGTTTCCCTTTCCATGTGCCTTTTTTTGTTTTTCTTTCCGTCAGGGTTCTGAGTTCCTAAATCAACAGAGCTCTCTGGCCTCTACTGCTGAGCGTGCCATACTTCAGAATATGTCCAGAGAATTTTTTGAGAAGACGATTACCATAGCAAAAGGCAATTCTAGCCTAGGTAAGTCCCTTATTTTCCACACATACCTCCCCAACAACTCCCTCCCAAAGAGGAAAAACTGAACCTGTTTTGATATTTTCAGCCATAGATAAGAAAATAGATGTCCTAAATTTTACTGTTGTTTTTATGGTTTCTCTATTTATGTACTCATTATTTTTCCTGAAATGGTTAACAGGTTTGTTTAGTTCAGACTAGCTTAAATCCCTCTCTCTCTTAATTACTTTTAAGTATGTAGTGGCCTCATTTACATTCAAGTAAAAGATACACGGAATTGTTTGTGTATGAAACAGCAAATCAGAAAAGGAATTCTTAGAAAATGAAAAGTCAGCAATTTGGAATTCTAAATTCTTTTGGAAAAGCAAATTATTAGCTTTTTTGAATGTTACCAGTTATGCATTAAGCCATTTTGTATTTAATTTCTTTCATTCACTGGAAGAAAGACAGCCAGGTGTGCCACTACCAAAATATAAATGCGGGTTATAATAGTCCTTCCCAGGTGGCAGGAGTTTTGTGTCCTTTCTTAGCCAGCAGGGGTTGTGGCTAGTTAATAATCATACAGCCTTCAGAGTGGGGCAAAGAAAACTTTCTGTAAAAATGAAATCCTAATTTTAATAACTAAAGCTCTATTGAGGCAGAGCACATTTGTTTTTTGTTTTTTCTTTTTTTCTTTCAAGTTACGCTGTCATGTGACTCAGCTCTGTCCCTAGTGCTGCGGGTGGGAAGTGGGATGTAGGATGTTAGAGCAGGTGCTCTGAATGCAGAGTGTTGTCCAGGACTCTGGGCAGCTCTGTATCAGAGATGCCGCTCCTTCTGGGATGTGACCAACCAGTGCCCTTGACATTGATATCTCAAGGCAGGGTCTTGTTTCCTTGTTAAATTTGAGAGTTGGCAAAGAGGTTCAGCAGGGCTTACGTGGTGAGTGGGATTCTAGTCTATGTCTCATGCTTGATTCTGTTCCATTTGGTGGTGGCTGGGTCCTACCAACAGCACTAAATGGAGAATTATAGGAGAGGCTTGCTTTGGCTGATAGAGGAGTGTGTTATGAAAGGTCTATCAGTGAATAACTGAACACTTTTTCCTAGATTCACAGTCTCCCCTTCACTTACATGAGCTTGTGTTTAAGTTTTGTTTTCTGGATAGGTTCTGTAAAAGTTGTCATAACCCATTTGCTTTGATTTCATGAATCACTTTTTTTTTTTTTAACTCTGTTAAATTTAGTAAGGAAATGCCATACGCAAATATATGCACATATGTACACATGCATATAGTGACCTTTTAAACTTTTAATCTTGATGATTTTTGGTAGCTCTGTAGTCCTTTCTGTAGTTACATTGTATTAGGACTTGAAGGTAATAAAGTAGGAGGGAAAGAAAGGTCTATCCTCTCTTCACAGATTAGGTACAGAAACACAAACAGACTCACTCATTTTTCTGAAAGCGCTCAGTCTTTAGGAGATGGAAGCAGAATTGAAACCTCAGTCTCTCTCTGCTTTTCACATACTACACAATACATATCAGTGCTTGAGTTACCCAAGGCTACATGGAAATTGCTGTGATAACAAGTGTCATTGTGAAGGTGAATTATGATTTCCTTTAGCCCTTACAGAACAATGTAGCTTTCGATTAACATAGAGATGCATCTTAAATATATTTTGTGAGTTGTGATTTGTTTATGTTTTGTACTTTTTGGGCACTTTGGGCCAGGCACTTTGAAAGGTATTCTACGTAAGTTTTTATTATGTATTTATTTTCTCATTTAATACAACCCTAAAATAGGCATTATCCCCATTTACAGATGAGTAAAGTGATAAAATGAGGCCTATTGGGAGGTTAAGTCAGTGACCCAACGCCACACTGATTAGAAGTGGTGGAACTCAGATTTGGAACCAGTTCTCTAGTTCTACAGCATATGAGCCTAGTCTAGAGTTAGTAAGGAATTGGAGAAAGATGAATGGACTTAGGATAAGTTCTGGAGATAGAAAAAGCAGGATTTGGTGATGGATTAATTATTAAGGGTGAGGAAGGTAGGAATCAAGATTGATTTCAACATGTCTGCTTTAAGCAATGGAGAGCAGTATTGTGGTATCAACCCCCAAAAAGAGGAAGACATGGATAAACAAGGGTACGGCAAAGCTTGGGAATTCAACTGTATGCATACTAAGGTTGCATTTCCTGTTATTTATGTATCCAGGGAGCATGTCAGAAGGGCAATTAAATATCTAGATCTCGAGCTTATAGAAATTCAGATTTGGAGATAAAATGGGAGTAGATTAGTATTAAGTTCACATTAGCTTAGTTCAGTAGGCACTGTGATGGGCACTGAGGATAGGACTTAATACATGCTTCATGATGTTAGGAATTCTGTTATGCTTTTTTTATCTCAAGCCACCAACATAGCATTTGGCACATAGTAAGCATATAAGAAGTCTAAACTGAATGAACAAATGACTTGGGAATAAAGTAGTAGCACAGAGTTTCTCGATGTTTTGAACTAATTTTCCATTCATGGTTCTGTTTTTTATTCTCTTACACATATAAGATGGACTCCCATTGTGAAATTGATTTGATATTGTGAAAACATGTCCCCTGGGAGAGCTTTCTACATTAAGGGGTAACACATCAGTTTGCCTAAAATACATCCCCTTCAGTGTAGGCCTGTGTGTCTTTCATTTTGATTGTTTTTTATTGGCTTGAAAAATGAGTGCTAATTCATAGGGATTTTTGTGACTTTCAAATGAAAGTGAATTTGAAAGTCGCAAATGTAATCCACATCTGTGTTCCTCCATTACCACAGGGATGACAGTCAGCGCTAACAAAGACGGCTTGGGGGTGATTGTCCGGAGCATTATTCACGGAGGTGCCATCAGTAGAGATGGTCGGATTGCTGTTGGGGACTGCATCTTGTCCATTAATGAAGAATCCACCATCAGTTTAACCAACGCCCAGGCCCGAGCCATGTTGAGAAGACATTCCCTCATTGGGCCTGACATTAAGTAAGTATCACTGAGATTCCACTTTGGCTTGGGAAATTCAGGAATTTCAGTTTATTAATCAGAGGTGTGTTTTTTCCTCCAGATACATCTCTATTAGATATACAAAAACTACCTAATTACTTAATATAAATCACTTACGGATTTGACTCTCCCTGAATAGTTCTTGATTTTCGATCGTTTTTAAGATAACACTGCTGAAATATTTTAGGACTGCGCATGCATGCCCACACTCTCAGCTCCTGGATGGGTGGCTTTTTGCAGGAGGATGCAGCTCCTTCCTGTGGGGGCAGCTGTGGGCATGAGGACACAGTGCTGTGTCTGAGGGCTGCAGGCCATAATGGACAGCAAAAGCTTAAAGGTCATCCGCGAGGGGCCGCGGTTCAGACCCAGGTGGAGATTCCAGAGAGGATGTGCAATGGTCAGGTTGCAGTACCAGGGGCAGCAGCAGTAATACCGTGTGCAGTGTGAGTGTGGTTGTAGAAGGGAGATGACTAGCCGACCTGTTACAGAGACCTTAGAAGGCCCAAAAGCTGGACCCTGCATCTCAGCCTGGTTGTGCAAAGACAGTGGAAGTGAACAGAATGGAGGCCAGAGAGTCTGCTAGCACTGAAGCCCTTAGGAAGAGAGAGGAAATGGAGAACAATCCCACCCAAAAGGCCCTGCCATTCTCGTAGGACCTGAGAGGACAAGTCAGTCGTAAGATCCCGTGGAACCCCTCAGGGAGATTGAAAGGAGACAGACGAGAACAGCCCAGGAGTACAGCAACCTCAGCATCACCCAGAAGGGCTCTGATTATCTCAAACAATTGAAGGGGAGCTGATCTTCAACTAGTATTGGGGGCATACTCCAGAGATCCTTTCCCTACTCTCCTCCCGCCCCATCCTGCAGCTCCCCTGGAATAGGAGGGAGCACTCTGGCCATTCCTGGAAGTCCTGCCTATCAGCTGGAATGGGTCTCCAGTGAGGCCACCCACCCCTTTTAAGAAGGGGAAACTTAACTTTTCTCAAGTGAGCCACTTCCTTATTTATTTGATTTAAATAAATACCTGCTATTAAAAAAAAAAAAGAAATACTTTAAAACCATGTTGTTTTCTCTTTTTAATTTTACTCTTTAAATGATCTTTGCAAAAACCTTAGATATGAGATATGTAAGACATCTCTCACAGAACAGGAGGGTCCACTCTTAAAATCTTATAAAATTTTTTTGATCGGCCCTCCATAGAAGGAATTGTCCACTGCCTATTTGACCTGTATGGATCCTAGAGCTAAGCCAGTTGTTTGAAGGCCAGTAATGGGCAAGACCCTATAACACAGTGCCAGTCAGAGCAGTAATTTACCTGTGCTGAACCTCAGGAGCCAAGAGAATTCACCAATATGATGATAGACTCTGAATGTAGGTCATGTAGGATATTCTTTGAGGAAGTGCTTAAAATGTCCCCCATCATTCCATAATGCACCCAATGCACGTTACACATGTAGTTTGGTTTTTAAGGCATCAAACATTTCCTGAACCAACATAAAATTAGTTCAAGACTTTGTTGTCGTACCTCTTCCATGAAACAGCTTGACTGTTCCCTATAGCATTAACCATTGAATAATTGCATTTATTGTATAAGGGATAAACTAGTAAAATAAGATCTCAGGGAAAGATTGCTGACCTTAAATTAATGTAATTGTTACCATTAGGGAGACTTTTTTGTATGCATGCCATTTTATTGACTGCATTCTGTATTATTCTTTTGCAAAGTACAGCTTGATAGAGCTTAGGTAAGAAAAACAATATTTACAATCTGGTTTTCATTATGCCTTTAATAAAAAGTAGAAAAATATATATTGGTTGGAGTAGATTTCTCTCTCATAAAAAAAATGTATTATTTTCAGGCAGAATTTCACTAATGGACTTTCATATTTTTGTATGTCTTTTAATATTTATGTTATGGAAGGAGATCTTGTGACTATTCCATAATTTTCTTATTAATAACATGAATGCAAGTAAACTTCATTTAAAAATCAGTGTCTGTCTACTCAGAAAAAAAGAGAAATAGTAGTACTTTTCTCATCACTTATGATCCAGTGTCCATTTCTCTTGCTTAAAAGATAAATGGTATGCATCCACATGGAGACTCTATGGCAGAGGTTTAGCTCATACAGGTTACATGCAGCATCAAATGCTGATGGCCTGGTAGCTGATCACTTGGTTTATTGTGTGACAATGCCCCTTTGAGCTTGGGCTCTCAGTGCCATAATCGATGCTTGGATCTAGCCTTTTCCTCCATTCTAATTTACTAAAGGTCTTCAAAGATAGCCCAAAAAGGAGACCTTTGTGACATTGATTTGGCATAAGTCGTGCATTTACCCTGATCCAGAAAAAGTATTCAGTACGTTTTCAACTCCAAAGGTCTTCTTTCTCCTTTTCTAATGTTTATTGCTGTTGTTTGTTTTGTTTGTGTGTGTGTGTATGTGTGTGTGTGTGTGTGTGTGTGTGTATTTTCCTACCCTTTGTCTCAACACCAGAATTTACTCTTGTCATGTGGACAGCAGCATGATGATGACCTTGAGGGATGTCTAGAGAGCTAGCTTTATAAATACTGCTTTGAGATCCCAGGAGGCAAAAATGTACTGTGATATCTTATAATAAAAACAAACAGAAAATAAGAAAAATCCCACAGCCTTCCCTCCTCTGGAAATCAGTCAATAAATCAATCAGTTAATTGATATCTTACACACACACACACACACTCCCAAACATACCAACATGAGACTTTGATTTCTTCTCAAGTATCCTACTGTAGCTGTGATTCAGTTGGTTATGGTTTGACCATTGGGTGAATAGTGGAAAGAAATTAGAATCATATAATCCTTTTTCAGAAGAAGAAAAAAAAAGTGCTAAATGATAAAACAAATCTCCCTTCAGTCTGGCCAGGGCTGAGCAGCATGTTCCATGCATTTTGCATGAAGTGTTTTTGGCCCTGTGCCTTCCAGATCTCTTGCTTTCATGAGCTAAAGGTTTAGAATTACCTTGAAAGCCATGAGTAATCCTCCCAAAAGGGGAGTCTAGGCCTCCATTACTCCCAATGGAACCATGCATTGCCCCTGGCTAATAACGCTTTGTAGTCATTGCCTGGATTTAGGCTCCATTCCTGTTTCTTCCCTTTTATTTCTTGTTATGAATTTAGCTTAATCTGGGGTGGTGGTAGAGAATTGCATTGGAGGGACTCAAAAAAAAAAAAAAAGACTTATGGGTTCAGGTGCATGTCTGATTGGTTTTAGGAAAAGCATTGCTTGTTGAGACAATGCACTGGGTTTCTTTTTTTTTTTTTTTTTTTTTTTTTGCCTTTTATGATAGAGAGCTAGGAACCTGGTGACTGTGCTTCCGGGCATGCCTGGGTAGCTAATTTGAGTTTCCAGAGTTCAAGAACAGCCAGTGTAAGTTCCAGGTTCCATTGTTTCCTATGGAAAACCAGATGTGAAGCCTCACCAGAATGCATTCTGTTTCACTCCCCACTCCACCTTGCCAGGAGCTCTTATATTTCTGTATTAATAGCCCGGGTTTTGCGCCTAGCAGCAGCTGCTGGTAACATCTGCCAGATAATTACCGAGCGGAATCAGAATTCACCTGCCTTAACCTAACGTGTTGGGATGAATTCCTGATCAAGGAAGAAAAGATTGATTGCAGTTACATTTCCCCATGCTTGTTAATAATCATTGCTATAGACACCAGTAGAGAGCAGATGCTTTTCTGGGGGAGGTGTAGATGGGGAGGGAGCTGGAAAGGGGGGAAAACAACCAGGAGCACCCACTTTTAACTACATATGTATGCATCGCATATTCAGCACAAGACACTGACATTTGTTAACACCATTGTAAAAAGATGCCGCAGCGTATGCTTCCCATTCCAGATTTTCTGCAGCACCTGCTGACGATTGAGCCCCTTTCTATGTGTGAGTATTGGTGATTCAAAACGCTCATTATGGCTGTGTGTTACAACTTGTCTGTGAAAACCGTTTCATGCTTTTGTACCATCCCGATGCAGGGATAGAGCCAGGCATAGATTCAGGGTATACATTTTGGCTTTTTTTTTTTTTTTTTTCATTTTATATTAGGACATAAATTACAACAGAGCTGTGGTTTGTTACAGTTTCACATTGCACTGGTGCTTGTAAACCTGTTTGAAAATCACATTTTCCAACTACTGAAGATGTTAAGCTCCTTTGTCAGGAGTGATCCTGCTGCATGTGCAGGCACAGGCTCTGGGTTAGGAGCTGCATCACATGTCGGCATCTTTTTTTCCTTCCACTCCAGGTCTAACCAAAGATTAGTTTACATGTAGGAATTTTTAACATAGCTCTCAAATTCGCAGTTTCCGTGTTATTTGCACAGTTCCTAATTTAGTTTCGGTGATTTGCTCTGTATGTGCCATTGCATTATGGGATGCTTGTTCTGGTGGCCAGGCTGTGTATATCGGGCTAAATATTTATGAAAACTACCCTTTTTAACCTTTCTCACTGTTACCTAAAATATGAGAAAAATGTTTGTAAAGCTCCCCATCCCTCGCCCTTTGAAAACCATCTTTGAACAAGTATAGACGAAAATTCATTTCAATATTGTTTAGTTTAGAGATATCTTTTCCTTCGCAAACCAGTTAAAAATTAAATACTTTGCACTGATTCTCATTACTTCACCATTGTGTCCAACCCCCGCCCCCTTTTCCTGCCTGTTTTCTAAATGTTTTAGTTATATGTGATTGATTATATGGAATCTTCAAAAACCATACCAGTTTTCTTCAATAGACTTTGTGGGTTTGGGATGTTATGTTTATCTTTATTTTTTATGTAAAATACAATCAGGGTTCTTTTCCAGTACTAAGTGTTTTGAATTTCTGACTTTTTTTTTTTTTTGAAGGGCTAAATGTAAGTTTACTGTTGAGTGTATTTTAATCCACAGAGGAGGTGGTGTTTTTATAGACTAAGTTGGGTCAGACTAGCCTTTCACCCAGGCTAGTCCTCAGCCCAGTGACCTGTGCTTTCTGCTCGAGGTTTTCATCCTCCAGGTAAAAGTGTCAGGAAGAGATTTCCAGGGGCCCCTGGACTGTGACCAGCTGTGAGGAGGCTCGCTGATACCTTGCTAGCACGCTGCCTTACATGGGTATTATGCCTCTAGTTTACAGGAGTCTCGTAAAAGGGTGTCCTTTCTGTGATGGAGAATACGGGGTTGGAGAGTGGTATGATTTACGCTCCCATCACGCTCCGGACAAGCAGCAGCACAGCGTCTCCCGACTCCAGATCTCGGTGACCTCACAGAGTGAGGTCACTTTTTATAGAATAACCGCTATGTCTGAAATTATATACCTTCCTCCGCAGTAATTATGACATTGATGTAATTCGTCTTTTATTGCAACATGAAAGACAGTGCTTTCATCCTGCACTCTGGTGCTGAGATTTTATATGCACTGCCGTTATGGGTGGGTTATGGCGAGCTAGTTTAACCGTCTTTATGATTTTTATATATTCTTTTAGTTGGGCAAACATGCTGAACTGGCTTCATATGCAGTATTTCTCTTGCCTTTTCATTAATGTGATGATCTTGGAACAGCCTACTTAAGGCTATCAGCTACAAAGACTTCTAGGACAGCAGTCAACTTGACTTTTCAAATGTTATTTTCTGAGTTATAGTTGTGGCCAGCATCTGACACTGTTGTGCTTTCCACATTATGGGCTTTCACCCAGGACTTGTTGAACTAGGAAGTGATTGTTCAAATGTACACAGGAGCTGGGACCGGTTTGGCTCAGTGGATAGAGCATCGGCCTGCGGACTGAAAGGTCCCGGGTTCGATTCCGGGCAAGGGCATGTACCTTGGTTGCGGGCACATCCCAGGTGGAGGGTGTGCAAGAGGCAGCTGATCAATGATTCTCTCTCATCGATGTTTCTAACTCTCTATTCCTCTCTCTTCCGCTCTGTGAAAAATCAATAAAATATATATTTTTTAAAAATGTATACACGAGGCTTTCCTCGGAAATCACAATGAGCTCATAAGGAGTTGCTACAAATTAGAAAGAGCGTCTTTCCATAAAGCTACAATCTTAACTTTAGACTGGGAGAGTTCATTACTTAACAGAGCTAATATTTACCTGTTGATAATGCTTGTTAATACCCATAATTAATTCTGTCTTGTGTGAGACTACAAAGTTATTTACATAAAATAATATAAAAACTCAGTGTTTTAATAGTGTATGGCTAATTTGTTTCTGCTGAAGATACCAGGAGTCTTTGGGTGAAATCAATGTTATTACAGATAATCATCATCTTAAGAATTTATAGATCTTTCTAATTCCAAAATGTTGTTTTAGCCTTCTGATTTGGGAATATTAATAATGTTGCTATTTCCTCACCAATATGATTTCTTGGAAAGCACCTAATTTATCAGCAGATTTTGAGATTTAATTTCTGTTATTTTTACATATAGGATACTTTGTCTTTTTCGATGTTCAAATTCTCTGCTGAGTAAGCTGATTAAATGAGTTGTGTGATAAAGCAGGAATAAAGAGGCAGTATAATTTATTTCTGTATTTTGGAAGCTTTTCTTAACAGTTAGCCAAAACATTTCTTCCCTTTGCTTTCATGGGTTATGTTCTGTTGCAGAATTACTTATGTGCCTGCAGAACATTTGGAAGAGTTTAGAAGAAGCTTGGGACAACAATCTGGAGGAATAATGGCCCTGGATATTTTTTCTCCATACACTGGCAGGTAAATGAAACAGTAAATCTGCCACAATGATGAATGATATAGGTGGTTATACAATTTTGAATCTAGAGTCAGGAAGGGCTAGCAATGAAAGAGGATTCTTTTCCTCCTTCAACATTAAGAAAATTTTCCTTTCCCTGCTGTGCTTAGGAAATGATGACATACTTTGGAAAAATATATGAAAATTCAAATCAAGCAATTAAAATAATCTCTAATTATTCCACTGAATATGGCACTTTTAACATATTGAGTTTAGAGACATCACCTTGGTTATGAATACTGTTTCATCAGTTGCTTGGAAGCTACAATTTGTGTAGTATTTTATCATGCTTTTCTCTATTTTGTTTGTATTTTTAAATAGCTTCAGACACTTTACTCCTTTTATTTTTTAACATTCATACAGATTGAGAAACACATTTAATGGTTATTTTTTATTCTTGGAGAATGTTAAGCTGAACATCTTGGTATATATGCATGTTAGGAAACAGTGTATTCCTTTTATTTACTTTTTACTCTTCACCAGAGGTTATATTTGTATTAATTTTAGAGAGCAAGGTCTGCATTGTGCTGAGTAGGAATCATTGTACTGAAAGAGAAGCATTGATGTGAAAAACATCAATCGGTTGCCTTCCATATGTGCCTTGAGCAGGGATTGAACACACAACCTGGGTATGTGCCCCGGCAGGGAAGTGATGAAATGATGCTCTAACCAACTGAGCCACACCAGGCAGGGCAAATGTATGCCTTTGCAACGCTCTTGGGACACAATGTATGAAGAACCTCTAAATAATACAGAGAAATGGTGTATTTTTCTCCCCCTGTAGGAAAGGCAGGAACTAGGTTTTGATGCTGCTGCTGAGTTCAGCACAGGGAGAGGAAGAACGTCAATGCTTTTCCAGGAAGAACGTGCTATGTTACACTCCCGGCCGTGGGCTGGTTTCTTCGGTTGCATTGGCAGCTGAAGACCAGGTTTCTCGTTAATCATGCTGCAGAGCAGAAGTGGCTTTGTGTGCATGCTGAGGTCTTCTCCGAAGAGCTCTTTGGTTTCTCTGGGAAGTCAGAGCATCCCAGAACACTTGGAGGTCCAGTGACTCTGCAGGCATCACAATCTAACATTATTTCCCCTTCAAATTGCGCATGACCATAATAATAAGAAAGTGCTGAAGGGGAGATATGTGTTTAATAAAGGGAAGGAATGCCTGGCCCTGGGGACCTCAGATATTTTATGGGAAAAGTGATATTCACTCCACCCTGTCTATTCGGAGCTCAGCCACACTCCACTCTGAATTCCCCATCGGGGTTCAAGCTATCTTCCTGGTGCTTTTTGCCAGGACGCTAAAAGCAATCACTCCCATATCCCTCTGAAATATCATTCCGAATGGCTTAATTAAAGAATATGCCAAGGTAGCATGGTATTCCTTTTAAACACTGAGGCCTTGAATGCACTCAAAATGTTCGAGAGTACCACTGTGTTCAGCACTGCACTTCCCCGGCACAGGAAGCAGAGTGGCCTGCATTGTGCAGCGCTGTCCATGGCTGCCTCCCTGCAGAGAAAGTATATTTCCTATTCATGTAAAGGTGCTCAGCACAAAACGGTCTGCATTGTACAGCGTAGGAATCAGCACCAGAGTAAGGTGGAGTGACTTGGCCACGTTCTCAGCATTAACACGTGGCAGAGCCAAGGTTGGAATGTGCGTAGGTAGGCTCCAGGTTTGGAACCTTTGGGTCCAAAGAAAGAATTGCCTAACCCGAGATACAACTGTGGGCAGCATAGCATGGAGGTTCAGAGCTCAGGTTTTATGGTAAAACGGCATTTAAAGCTCAGTGCTTCTACTTTCCTGTGGGACCTCATGCCAATGTCTGGCACCTACATACGCAGGTAAAGGTATTTATATTAGAGGCCCTGTGTATGGGTGGGGTCATACATACTGAATGGCCAGATTATTATGCGTTCAGAGATCATAATAATCTGGCCACTCAATGTATACTTTCGATTTTTTCGTTTCTGTAAAAGTCAATTGAAAATCACTTTTGAATCAGAATGTTATAGCCTCACCTTTCAACTAAACATGGTGAGCATGTTTCTCTAAAAATCCAATTTTTACTAACAGCCTAGGACACACCATGCTCTGTTACTCTTACATGTTGCTTGTCTAAACATATTTTGTTATATGCCTGACATTTGGCAAATCGAAACTCCTACAGAAAGTGAGAAGTGACTCTGAACTCAGGTGCATTGCAGGCTGCTTCCTGTGTGAAGTGTCCTGGGCCTGGCCCCTCTGATGGGCTGAGGCTAGACCATAAGCACTTCCATCTTTCTTCAACCATAGAAGGGAGCAAATCAGGCCATTCCTAGGAAGCAGAGGCGCTGAACTCCTGAGTGCTGACTGATAAGTTCTTTTAGGGTAGGAATTGTCAACCAAGGCTGTGCAAGGTCACAGCCCATATGGTGCTTCAGTCTTCCTGCACGTGGTGTATAGTTAAGAAATACTTGTTGAATAGTTATTTTCTTTAAATTCTGGATTTATCCCCTTCTCATTTTAGTCCTTTATTCTACCATGTATCATCAGGAAAGAGAGTAGATAAGATTCTTAGTATTCACCTGTATCTTCAGAATAAGTTATAGATTGATCCTTTTTTTTTTTTTTTTTTTTTACAATTACTTTTTTATTGAATTTACTAGAGGCCTGGTGCACAAAATTTGTACACTCCGGGGGCAGGGCACAAAATTTGTGCACAAAATTTGTACACTCCCTGAGCCCAGCCTGAACTTTCTCACAGTCCAGGAGCCCTCTGGGAATGTCTGACTACCTAAGCAGGCAGTCGGACATCCTTAGTACTTCTGCAGTGGTGGGAGAGGCTCCCATTCAGCTCAGCAGCCATGAGCCAAGCTTCTGGAACTCTTATTACCAGAGGGCAGCTCCTGCATTGAGCAGCTGCCCCTGGTGGTCAGTGCGTGTCATAGCGACTGGTTCTTCAGCTATTAGGTCTATTTGCATATTAGCCTTTTATTATATAGGATGTAGGTGACATTGGTTATTAAAATTATACAGGTTTCAGGTACATAATCCTACAGGGCATCTTTTTTGTATTGTGTGTTTACCACCCCAAGGCAAGTCTCCTTCCATCACTATATATAGATTGATTATAATATAAAGTGTGGGGTTTTTTTTAAATTTAATTTGGTTTTATTTTTCCCTGTAGTGTAAAATGTTGTACACTTATTGGTCAATTATGATGAAAATAGAAAGCAGTTCTGCCTTTTTTAGCCAAATCAATAAAGGACAGTCTTGCATGGGATTACTGGGATTTTTGGGTACTCACTGTATAATTCTTTAACAGAGACATTCCAGAATTACCAGAGCGAGAAGAAGGAGAGGGAGAAGAAAGTGAACTTCAAAATGCAGCGTACAGCAATTGGAATCAGCCCAGGCGGTAAGGACTGTTTCTGTCTTCAGCCTACTCAGTGTTTAAAAATAGGGAGGCGTGTTTTCAAGTGCTGTATGATAACTTGATACTGTGACACTGGGCAAGTTGTTTAATATTCTTATGTATGTGTACAGTGGAGAAGAGAATATGTATCACACAGAACTAGAACTAACATGCCACAAAAGTGTTTGGCATATATAAGGGGTGAAATAAAATTAGAGAACATTATTCATAGGTGGTTGGAATGGGTATTTTCTGTAGGGTTTAATCTTAAATATACCATCAAATGTTAATTTAAATTTTTCTTGCATTTGTACAAACTATAAATTCAAAACGCGTGTTTCAGTAAACATCTTGTTATCCCAGGCTGCTGTTATCCAAACCCGTGTTTTGTCTGTAATCAATTTAATGCATAACAACAAAAAAATTACTTTCCTAAATATGATCTGATACATCACCATGCATCACTATGCCACATTTTTGTGTTCATGCTAAGTAAACTCAAATTCAGTTTAATAGAAATTTGAGTTCTGATTATAGAACCAGGCAAGAAGCATATGATTTTGTGACTAACAGGGAAGCTACAATTTTTTTTTAGGTAGGCAGCATATAGATACACACAAAGTAATTAAAGAAACATGTAAGGTATTTTACATTAAGTATAAAATATGGGTAATCATGGGACACTCCCTCATAAAGTTGACCATTACATTGTGCCTTTCCCTTAATAAATACTTAATCTGTATTTTCCAGTGTAAATACTTACTTTACAATAATAATACTTATTTTACAAGGAAGAATATTATCTGCTCTTTAGAGGTAGGTATAATACAGTTTCATCATTTTCTTTATTCACAAATGAATATGAAGCAGCAGCCATCCCATTTAAACATTTTCTAGGTTGACTCACATTTAAAGTCTAAAAAAACTTAGGTTGCTTTCACACAAAAAAATTGTAAGCATTTCCAGCCTTTCTAAATGATTTCTTGATCTGAATTCTTGAAAAGCTGTTTAGCCCATTTAAAAAAGTCACGGTCTCTCTACAGTACCCATAATGAGAATAAAATATATTCTAGATTTGTGGCAAAAATATGAATTATAAGATATTAAGTTTCTTATTTGAGGATGGAAGCAAAACAAAGTAGATTAAATTATTTTGTAATTGGTGATCATAATGACAAACTTGGATTTGGTTGAAGCACAGTAATCACAGAGAAATAAGAAGTTCGGTTGGACAGTTTTAATAACATTGTGGGAGGAAATGTAGATTTTAGAAGGCACTGTGCAAACTGTTTGGAGTAATCGGAGCTATATTTGAATTCTAACTTTGTCACTTTCTAAGACAAGATTCTAAATCTCTGCTAGGTCTCAGTTACTTCATTTGTAAAATGGGATTAATGAGAGAACCTTTTACATTTTGGGGACAATTCAGTGTGATCATTCATTTAAAATTCTTAGCAGAATGAGTTTCAGTTGTTGGCCTTGTCAACAGTCACCATGTCATTATCACTGACAACTAAGCAAATAGAAAGTATTGAACACAAGAATCATTATGAAATATTCTTGTTTTTCTCATTATGAAATATTCTTATGAGAAAGAATTAATCTAACTTCTGGACGGGAATGTTTTTCAATTTTTGGCCTAATTTTTTTTTTTTAACCTTTTCATCAGCCTAAGAGAAGTCTCTAAAAGTGGTAGCTACCTTATAGAGAATGTCTGGAGCTTCCACAATTCTTAAAGAAGATACTCTTCTATGTTCTTTATACAAGCATTAGGTACTTCGGGTTTGGGGGGAGTTCATGAAATATTATGTTCATACACTGCTATGAGGAAAGTTACCAAAATAATCAGAACTTCTACCGTGTTTCCCCGAAAATAAGACATCCTCCGAAAATAAGACCTAGCGCATGGAAAGATAAGCCATCCCCTGAAAATAAGACCTAGCACGACTTTGGGAGAAAAAAATTAATATAAGGCACTGTCTTATTTTCGGGGAAACAGGGTATTAAATGGTGAATGAATGTTATGAATATGTTTTATAACATTGGAAACCTGCTGGGTCATTTATTCATGCAATCAAAAATTGTCCTTTGTGTGGAAATAGAGAATACTATTTCTATAGCCAAGTGTACATTTTAAAATTATAAATAAGCTGTGTTCCTATTTTATTTGGCATGTGATTTTCATTGTCTGTATCAGTTTCCATCTTGTTTACATTTCTCTCTCAATCCAGTGTTTTGGAAATCTTTCATGTTGATTCTTGAAACCTAACTCATTCAGTTTAGTTGCCATGCATTTCAATATGACTATGCCATGGTTCATTCCCAGATTGATATTTGAATAGTTAATAGTTATTTACTACTATAATAATTCTTTACAGTGACTATATCAATTTCCTTATAATTATGTATGAGGATTTATCTAGGTACATACCCCAAAGTGAAATTGCAGGCTTACAGATTTAAATGTATTATATGCTTTCCTAGGAATTGTCAACTTTTTTACAAGATGGCTCTATCATATTTCCCTTCTTTTTCCAACTTAAGAGTGTTCCCTTTTCCTCACATCCTTACTTACTTCATCTTCTGGTCATTTAAAAAAAGTTTTTGTCAATCTGATGGTTAGAAAACGGTGCCTTGTCTTGATAAACATGTAGGTATAATGGGATTGAGGTGGTGGAGCTCACATTTACCCATGTGTCATAGGGATTGAATTTTACATATTGCTTAATTACATCATGTCAGGAATCATAATCATAGTAAGAGAAATAGACTTTCTGGTTGTTCAACGTGTGTCAAGCTTTGTTTCATATTTTATATGTTTTCATCAATTTGGTAATCACAGCAACAATCTCATGAAGAGACTCTTACTGGCTCCCTTTCACAGATGAGGAAAGCTAGAGAGAGGCTAAGTAAGTTGCAGAGGGCCCACAGTTGTTAGTAGCAAAAAAGCAGGACTTGAACCCAGATAATAATGCTGAGCACATGATAAGCCCTCAATAAGTGTTTGCCACTGATGTTATTTTTATTATCAGGAAAGTATAAAAAAAATCACTTTTTAATTTACACCCACTACAGAGAACCCTAAGAGATATTTTCTTTCATTCTTCCTCTTTTTTTCTCTATTTCATTTTTTTTAAGAGAAGAGTTAAGGAGGCCCACACATGTCTGGATTCCTAGATATTAAATACGGTGACTAAATTTGCTGATTTCCCTACTTTGCCATTTTACTTTAGCAACTGCTTTAAAGAGACAAGGAAGTGTGTTGGTTTTTGTCTTTCACAGAATCCCTAGACTGAAAGGAGTGATGAAGAGCATGTTAAATAGTTTAAACTATTCCACAGATTTTATGAGTCAAAGATCATGGTGAGAGCTTTGAAATTAAACAGGTAGAGTCTCTGCTGGAGTGGAGGGGGAAAGGGAGAGTGGCGGGAGTTGCTTTTATGGAAGTGGCAGTGATATCAGTCAGATCAGGTAGGATCTTGTCTGTCACTGTTAGTTACCAGCTCTGTCCTGGAAAGAAAGACTTGTACCCATGTCAGCTTCCAACAGAGTGGTGCAGGAATGTTCTCTCTCTTGATAGCTTTGCTGAGCTTAGAACTGTCTTTTCAGGGGTAGCTGAATTTCTTGATGACTAAGTGTCTACAATAATAGGTTCTTGAAACATGGTACCTTGGTCTGTGCTCCAGCCTGGAGTGTATACGTTTGATATTTACTTTAAAAAAGTCAGCTTCAGAAATGCATTAGTATTTATCAGACCCCATAGAACACGTAATTGGCCAAGTATTTTAAATGATCTTGTCTTACTACTGGCAAAAGTTTAATAAATTGAGCAAGTAATATTTGCAAAATTAAAATATAAAGATATTTTATTTTATTGAATTTAAAAAGTTATTTTTTAACCATTTGAATCATTTTTATAACTGCGGATTAGTGACATCAAGTATGTTCCTACTGCTGTGTAGCCATTAACACCATCCATCTGTGGAACTATTTTCAGCGTAAAATTCAAACTCTGTTCTCATTTAATAATTCCCCATTTACTCCTCCCCCACCTTCTAGCAGCTACCCTTCTTCTTAGGTCCCTATGGATGTGGCTATACGAGGTAAATCACATAAGTGGAATCATATAGTATTTGTGCTTTATTTCACTTAGCTGTCTTATTTCACTTAGTGTGATATGCTCAAGATTTATTTATGTTGTAGGATATGTCAGAATTTCCTTCCTTTTAAAGACTGAATTAGTTACAGTTATTTGTATATACCATTTTTCTTATTTATTCATCTTAACATGGATACTTGGGTTGCTTCTACCTTTTCACTTTTGTGAATAAAACTTCCATAGAAGTGCTCGTACAAATAGTTCTTTAAGAGCATGCTTTGAATTAATTTGGGTATATACCAAGAAGTGGAATTGCTGGATCATATGGAAGCTTTATTTTTAACTTTTGAGGAATGTCCATACCATTTTTACTGGATCATGTAACTTTATTTTTAAATTTTTGAGGAATGTCCATACTATTTTCCCAGTGGCTACAAGCTTTTACATTCCCGCCAGCAGTGCATAAGGGTACAAATTTCTTCAGTTTCTCTATTTCCTTGACAACACAAATTTTCTTTTGTTTTTCTTTACAGTAGCCTTACTAGTTGATATGAGATGGTGTCTCAATGTAGTTTTGATTTGCATTTTCCCAATGATTAGAAATGTTAAGCATCCTTTCATGTACTTATGGGCCATTTTTATATCCTCTTTAGAGGAAGTCTGTTCAAGACCTTTGCCCATTTTTTAATCAGGTTATTTTTGTTATTGAGTTTTTTGGGTTCTCTATATATTCTGGATATTAATCCCTTATTACATATGAAATTTGCAAATATTTTCTCCTATTGTATGGGTTGCCATTTTACTCTAAGTATCTTTAGACAATCAAAAGTTTTTAATTTTGTTGAAGTCTGGTTTGGCTATTCTTTTTGTTGTCTTTGCTTTTGGTGTCATTTCTGAAAATTTAAAAAAAAAATTTGCCAAATCCAGTGTTATGAACTTGCCCCCTCTGTTTTCTTATTTTTATTTTATTTCTTTTTTGTGTATTAGCCTTTTATTTATTTTTTACAGGGTTGAACTTTGGAGAGAACCAAGCAAGTCCTTGGGCATCAGCATTGTTGGTGGACGAGGAATGGGGAGTCGACTAAGCAACGGTGAAGTGATGAGGGGCATTTTCATCAAACATGTTCTTGAAGACAGTCCAGCTGGAAAAAATGGAACCTTGAAACCTGGAGATAGAATAGTCGAGGTACCCTCCACTGAGCTTTCTGAGCTAAAATTGTCCCCCTCTTCCATGCTCTTGACCAAGGAAATCATCACCATTATACTATTGCTTGACCAAACATTAGAGAAAAATGTGTATGCAGTTAATGCATTTATTATTTGTTTCTTTCCACCCATAATTGCTCCCTTCAAAATATGGTGACAGATTATATATCTTGATGTACAAACTGATGTTTGAAGGTACAACCTACCAGTTTTAAAAATATTGGCCCTGAAATAAAATAATTAAGTTCTGGTTAAAAGAGCAAAGCAAATCACTTGGAGAAATAATTCTTTAATAGTATATATACACACACACAAAATATGTTCATCATAATTAAGTTTCCAATGAGATTTTATTTCTAAAAGTACTTTAGAGTTATTTCATTCTAAACTTTATTGGATGAAATTTTTTTCCAAGTGAGTCTTTTTTTGTGCTAAGACCTTGATTACCTTGCATATTAATGCCCGCATCCTAGTCTAAGCATAGATTCTCCTCCTCCTCAGTGCTTTCCATTTGTCCTTCAGGGCTGTGTGTGTGCCCACACATGTGTGTGCCCATGCATGTGTGTGCTCCCATGCATGTGTGTACACATATAAGTGTATTTTGTTATATACGAGAGAGAAGCATTTGGTCAAATTGTACCTAATTCTTTAATTCAAATCCAAGTTTAATATTTTACATAGACTCTTCCCTCAGGAGTCACTCACTCGTTTGCTTAACAAAATATTCCTGGAACAGCTGTTGCATTCCAGGCTGTAGCAGGCTCTGGGCAGCCCACAGTACACAGGGCACTGTGCCTGCCTGCCTGCCAGCTGGGACAGGCCTGACAAGTCACTGCAGAGCAGTGTGATAAATTTTTTGAGGAGGAAAAGTATGGTTTTAGTGAAGAGGATAGAGGAAGAGCTACCTGCCCCAGATTTGCTGAGTTGTTAGGATTTACAGAGTAAACTAAAAGAGACAATTTCCAAATGGAAACAGATTGCTTCGCTCTTATAATGACCATTATATTTACTTTATGCAAATGATTGACCCTCATTTTCAAAGTCCATACAGCTTACACATTATAATGCCTTAATTGTTTAAAAGAAGATTATATGTTAACCATTATTTTAAAAATAACATTTGGGGGATTTTTTTTGTTCATTCTATGATTGATTGATTGAATGATTGATTATTACTGGGAGAAAGCAAGGGCTATGTATGTGGGGGTTTTTTTCCCCCCTCCTCTGACCACTTACAAGGAAGAATGTTGGGTTTTCGCTTTTTTCCTGTGAATGTACTTTCACTAGATGGCATCTTAGCCTTCTTCTAAAGAACTCTTTTTAGTTGGAATACTATCTAAAATTTCCATTTTTAGATTATCACAAAGCAGTTTATATTATGAATACTTCATTATTAAATATCTTTCACATAAATAAAAAAATAAGAAATATTTATAATTATTTCTAGAAAGGATTGATCTTCATTTGCACCAAAATATTGTTTCAATGTATTAAGAATGTTAAAGTATTCCTTTAGAATTGAAAATGATTTTTGTGTGCGTGGGAAAATACTGAATGCTGTTTAGCAGTGGTTTGTTGAGGGCTGTTATGTTTTGGTTCTTTTCTCATAAACAAGATAGTGTTAAGCTTCTGAAATCCTAGGGATTCTGTAACATGTTTCTACTAAGAGTTTCTGAAAATGTATGTAGATTAGATGAGCAAATACCTGCAAAAGATTTCTTAGTAGAGTTCTTTGAACATGAGCAAAGATACTAAATGTCCAGTTAAACTTTCCCACTAATGGGATGTATAGTACTCACCAATACTAACTTTTATTCTATAGAAAGTTAGCAGTCATTTTCAATACCCACTGAAAGAGATATTAAGTATAAAGAGATATTCTAAGTATCCATCTGAGGGAGGTTTTCAATTAAATATATGTATGTGTGTTCTAAATATGATAATGTTCTATGCAGAGATCTAATAATTTTATTTTCCAGAATTATGTCCACTCTGATTTTGCTATTTTGTTGTATAAACCATATTGTGGTCATTGGAAATGATAAAACTATATGGTATCCTATAGTTTTCTAACAGGATTAGCATTTGGCCTTTCAAACTGTTTTCCTCCCTCACAAACCATGGTCAACAAAAGGTTGGAAAATAACTTTCATTTCCAAGCTATTTGTATAAGAATTACTAACAAGTAAGCACCATTTCTTGGCTTCTAGCTCCTGTCGTGTCTGCTGCAAAGATTCTTTTGCAAATCTAACCTCACCATAACCTGTAACTTCTGAACGCAAGAATTTTGTTTTTAACTTCAAGCATCCCTGTACAGAGAAAAATACACAATGCATCAGCCACCCACTCCCCAAACCACTCTCTAATGAATTTGGAAAATATTTGTACAGTGACTTTCATGATGAAATTAGGACTACTCGGCAGTTCCCTTATATTATTTCTTCCATTATGCTGGTTTCTTAAAGGAGCAGCCTAGCAATGTAAGGAAAGCAGAAGCAGAGCCTTGATTCTAATTGATGGTTATTTCAGTTGATTATTGAAGACAGAGATCTGTGTCCAAAACAAGGGCCCACAAGTCTGGTGAGCAGATGATAAGTTCGGAAGCCTCACAGACAGCCTCAATTATTTTTTTATTCTGACCCTGATTTCCCAGGAGTCTCCCCCAGGATCCTCAGAACTCCAGACCCACAAAGTGTTCTCTTGTTCTCTAGCTTCTTGAAATGTTAAGCTGAGGCCTTCCATTGCAGGTGGATGGGCTGGACCTCAGAGATGCAAGCCATGAGCAAGCTGTGGAAGCCATTCGGAAAGCAGGCAACCCCGTAGTCTTTATGGTACAGAGCATTATAAGCAGACCAAGGGTAAGCAAACACAGAGGGCAAGGGAGGCACATCCAAGCAGTGTTCACCTTGGAATCCAGGGTGCCCAGGGCCAAGTTGTCTCAGGAAGCAAAGAACCCGAGTCTTGAAATCTTAGGAAACGTGTTAAAAGATTGTTTTTTGCTTGTCCTTTTAATTGAGTTGCTGTGGAAATGCCTTCTACCTTGTTTACTAAGTACTTGAAGTCTGTTTTCAACACACAGGAAGTAGGATTCACTGGTGGCCTATGATATCTAGGTGGGCAATTGCGAATTTCATTCTAGCCACAGAGTATTTATAAGAGGAAGTGGTGGAGTCTTTTACAGGTTAGCAGTCTGGGACCTCTCGGGAAGTCCCTTAGAAGCCAGCGAGATTACATTTTCTTTATAAATTTATTTCCTTAGAATTTTTAATTTATGTGATCCTGTGGTCACCTGTGAATGATCTTTACTGTATTTGTCTATTCCACTGAACATTAAATTTCCACATGGTGGATTTTGTTTAAACTGTATGTTTTTATACCAGTGACTTCCTAACCACTACCCCCAGCCCCAGTCACTGTATAGCTCTTCATTGCTGTATGGTGGAAAGACACGTACCAACTCACTTCACCACCAGTCATCACGGGTAAAATGGCTTCCCGAGTATCTTTTAAAAGCATACGTGCATTTAGTGGCAGTTGTTGATGGACACGACACTATGTGAGGCTTGGTGTATTTGATAGGCCCTCGTGTTGCTGAAGAGGAAAACCATGCCAAGCGTTTGAAACTATTTTTCGATGCCTTCTTTATGCCTCAGTAAAAAGAAAACTATTTTAATGTTCAGCGATTCTTAACTATATGTGGACTGCAGCCCCCTTAGCAAGTTCTTCAGAAGCATACATGGTCACTGAAGGGCTTGCACACCAATTACAGGAGTTGCCTAGATGTAAGTAAGGATCCCTGACAGGCTGGTTCTCTTTGAAATACTTTTGTTAGCTTTTGGGATTGGCTGTCTTTAAAGGGAAAATGTCAATATGTGTGAGGAGAGGTAAAAGAATGATGTAAAACTTAAAATGGGGGATTTTTATAGAAAATGCATTGAACTTTTAAAATTCAGGATTTAAGATATCAATGCCCAAATGATGGTGGAGATGCAGCACACAGTTCTGTGGTGAGTTCTGTCCAGACTCTGAGCCGGGAAGACAGTGACTGGATCTGTCCCCGGTCCTTCCCTGTGTTGCTGAGACAGGTGTAGCTGCTCTGGGTGTACTGTAAGGAATGAGTTTCGTAGTTCTTCGTGGAAGCCTTTATCTTCACATCTGCAGTTTTTAATTACTCGGTTGTTTATTGTTTGGTAATAATTATTCATTCAGATAAGAAAATCTGCCAAATGGAGGGCCGCATCATACCGCATTCTCTTCACATGCTATTCAGTTTGTTTAAATAACTATACATCTTCCTGCATTTGTTTCCATTTGTTGTGTTAAACATAGACACTGCATGGTAATGTTGGTAAATGGCTATTTAAGTTAAAGCTTTTTTTTTTTTTTATGTGTGGGTGAGTTTTATTCCTTTTTTTGTTGTTTCACTTTTAATTTCAAACTTTTTTTATCATTTAGGACAATACTCTAAACTGCTGAATAGGATTGTCCATATTACTTTTTTAAAACTTAAACTGCAAACATTTCTTTCAATGCCAGTCACATTTGCTAATGAGCTGGCAACTGTGTGTGTGTGTGTGTGTGTGTGTGTTTTTCTTTCATGCACCTGAAAAATATTCTTGTTTCATTATATGTGGTATAATGATGCCTGATTTTATAGCAATTATTCCAGAATAAATTTTGGATAGAATGACATATTTACTCAAAAAGGGTTCAGGACATGCTACCCCAAAATATGGCATGTTGGCCCTTAAAAAAAAAAAAAAAAATATATATATATATATATATATATATATATATATATATATGTATATATATATATATATATAGTATTGATTTTTTACAGAGAGGAAGGGAGAGGGATAGATAGTTAGAAACATGGATGAGAGAGAAACATTGATCAGCTGCCTCCTGCACGCCCCCCATTGGGGATGTGCCCGCAACCAAGGTACGTGCCCTTGACCAGAATCGAACCCGGGACCCTTCAGTCCGCAGGCCGACACTCTATCCATTGAGCCAAACTGGCTTCGGCAGCTCTTAAATATTTTAAGCTAAAGGAATTTGAGAAAAGGCGGTTGGTTGCTGGAATGACTCTGGTTTCCCTTCTTCCCCTGAAGCAGCTTGTCAGGTCCTCAGTGGGCGGCGCCCTTCCTGCCTGGGAAGAGGAGCATCCTTGTCTCCCAGGCGGAAGGGAACTGAGAGGAACTGAATGAACTGATGTTGACCTCCCGCTCCCCCAGTTCACCCCACTGAGCTCATATTCTTTTGTCCGATGACACTTTTCCTCACCACCCACTCTTCATCCATCCTACTATACCCTTTCTCAGGTCTTTATTTCCTTCTGAAGGGTCCATGTCCCTTAAAACTTATAATCAGTGTGTATATACTTTTCTCTTGTGGATCTGTTTCTTATTACAGAGATCCAGCTGGAAACCTAAGTGGGGTACAGTCATCTTTTTTTTCCCCTTCTCTACATGTGCATGTTGCTTTGGGAAATTAGAGTTAACTTTGTATTTGAAGTGAGCTATACCTTGTATGCAATGATTTACTTCCCTATGGAAAGAAATCGAGTCTCCCATAATCTCAAGGAAAAAAATCACAAACACCTGAGTCTCTTAACAGCAAATGTGGTATTTGTGGGTGGAGTGGGGCTTTAAGGAAATCTTATCCAGAGGCTGAAAAGCCAGTCTGTGGCTCTCAGGCTGTAAGAACAAGACTTCCCAGGCCCAGCCCCGCTCAGCCCTCCGGCGTGCTCTTCACAGGATTCCGTCCGGCTGCACCGTCACAGGAAATGGTGGGCCCGGGAACCTGGGCCAGAGAACGGTTCTGCCTTCCCCATGCCGCTTCTTAGTTAATAACATTCCTATTTTTATCAGCCCTTGGAGCTATCAACAGAAGTTTCATCATCGATTTATTAATAAACAAATAGAGTCTGTTTTTATAAATCTTTCCTTAATAGTAGACTCACCCACTTCCTTTGCTGTGCTCATTCTGTACTTTTATATTCTAATCTTGGGGCCAAATTCTAATCCTATAAGAACTACATATGAAAAAAAAAAAAGAAGAAGAACCCAAAACAACACAAAAAAAACTGGAGTCTCCTTACATACTGTATTTCTTGCCATTGTGGTTTTATTTTATGTTATCCTAAAGGAAACACAACCAAATAATCCCGTGTGTGGGGACTGCAAATAATCTAGGCCTTCCGCAGCATTGGGTTTTCTGCCTGGGAAGCATTTCTGATCTCTGCCTAGTCCTTTCTCCCACCATGACACTTGGTCACGTTCCTGGGCATTTGTGACCTTCTCGTTTGTAAAGCAGCAGTTGGCATTTTCAGCTGAAAAGCAGAGCACAAGTCGAGATGAGCAGAAATGTCACAGTGCCCGTCTCCTGTTCCTGTCTCCTCTCTGTAGGAAAAACGTTGCTGGAGAGCAGATTGGGGGGTGAGGTGGCACACGCGTGAGCACAGGCGCTGGGGGCGGGCTTCTCCCCAGAGAGTGCTCCCGGGCAGGCCGCTGTCACATGACTGCCTCTCTGGCTCCGCACGCTTGCCAGGAGAGCTTTTTTTATAGAGAGAAGCAACACAAACATTTCACTGGAGCCAGAATGAATTTTAAATGTCTGCAGTTTCTCCTGAAAGATGTAGTCAATAAAAGAAAAAGATAGTGGGTATGAAGAGAAGAATTTATTGTGTTAAGGAAATTACTTTAAAAAAAAAAAAAACTATGAAAAATGCTAAATTCTATCTGGCAGTCATCCTGCCTTTAATGTGTATATTCAAAGGCAATAGTTCTAGCGTGGTATATCACAGGCAAGCCACAAAACCTAGGAGAAACACTCTAAGGCTGCTCTTGCAATGGTACTCAGAGCCTCATAAATGCCCCAGGAATGTGGGAACTTTTATAGGGATTTTAAAAATATATATCAGTGTTTCTATCTTCACCAAAAAAAAGTAGGCAGAAATAAGAACACCACCATATGTTGGTTGACTTTTAAAAAATGGTTGATTTCAGTTTTTAATTAAAAAATACTATTGTTCTTATGCAAACTTAACATCTAGTCAAAGTATGAAAAATTTCTTTATTGGGAAATGAGATGAAAGACTAATGAAGGTTATCCCTGAACTAGCAGACAAATGTTTAATTTGCATTCTGGCAAAGTTAAACCATTTGTTTTACCAAAAAAAGCATAATTTGCTTTTAAATGTAAATTTTGAAAACTGATATGATTTCAATTTTGAAAGATACTTACTGATACACAAAGACATATATTATATATTATACTAGAGGCCCCATGCACGGAGATCTGTGCAAGAATGGGCCTTCCTTTCCCTAGCTGCCAGCACCTCCTTTGCTCCGACTGGAGCCGCCTTTTCACTGCCCAGAGGCCCAGAGCAGCTGGGATGGTGTGGTTCGCCCCTGGCTGCTTGGCACCTGTGTATGCAAATTAACCCACCATCTTTGTTGGGTTAATTTGCATACTCCTGATTGGGTGGTGGGCATCGTGAAGGTACGGTCAATTTGCATCTTATTCTTTTATTAGTGTAGATAAAGTGGGAAGATATATCTGTAACTGTCTGGTAGTGAAGTCATTCAGTAAAAACAAAAGAAACTTGGGATCCTTTGGACCAGTGTTTAGGCAAACTTATTAGTCAACAGAGCCAAATATCAACAGTACAAGGATTGAAATTTTTTTTGAGAGCCAAATTTTTTAAACTTCTTCTAATGCCACTTCTTCAAAATAGACTCGCCCAGGCCATGGTGTTTTGTGGAAGGGCCACACTCAAGGGGCCAAAGAGCCACATGTGCATCATGAGCCGCAGTTTGCTGACCACGGCATTGGACAGACTCATCCCCTGCAGGGTTTGTGGCCTCAGATTGAGATCAAAGTGTGGATTCTGATCACCAGAGATAAACCTTTTGCTCCAGACTGTTTCATAAGATGTTGTTATTAATACCAGATCTGATAGGATCTAGTTTTGCACAGTTATTTAAATCAATAAGTACTTTGTTCTTAAAACTGAGTTGTTTGGGATCCATTTCCTTGGGCTCAGTGCCTCTTATGTTTCCTTTTAGAAATCCCCCTTGCCTTCCTTGACGCACAGCCTATACCCTCAGTACAACTTCAGCAGCACTAACCCATTTGCTGATTCCCTGCAGTTCCTCGCTGACAAGGTTGGATAATGCCCATTGTCTTGCCCTTGCCTTTTGCACATGTTTTGTTCTGTGTTACTGCTGTGCCTTTGTCCCAGTTCACTGTTTACTAGATTTGGGCCAGTGAGAAATAAAACAAAACACAACAACTATGTGTTTGGAGTGGGCATGTAAATCCTTTCTTAAGCGCATTTTCTCGCCAGAACATTTTTTATAGCTGAATCAGATGGTCCTTCTGAAGAGGAAGGGGTAATTGTGAGTTCAGTGCCTTTTCTGTATTTTGCTGTGCATTAAATTTTCTGATACTTAAATCTTTGTTCGTTGTCAGATATATGGACTACTGCCACATAATTTCTTTAAAACTGTGTATCGGTTTAAAACTTTTAACAGACCTAAACAAGGTGGTCCTAAAAGCTGTCCGAGGAGTTAACCACTCCACGGAAAATGAGTCTGTGAAATAGTCATACAGTGCATCCATGTCAGTGCCTGACTCAGGAAATGTGTAGCTGTTGCAATGCTTGTAAATCTATACTTGGGATATCCTCTTAACTGATGGAATTATAAATCTAAAACTAAAACAAAAAAAAATTGCAAGGCTAAAGATACTATAATGTGATTGTGAAAAGGAAGAAAGCTGTGAACAGTTTCTCTCAGGAAGCATTTTAAGACTATTCATTGGAATTTCATGGTATGGTAACGAGAAAAACCAAACAAAGGCTATGTCTCTGAAGGAATATGTTTTCTGTTACCGTAGGAATTGCAGAATTCAAGTAGAGTTGTCTTCCATTGTTCCCCAACTAACCCTTTTGCTCCCACACCATTTAAGGTTTGTCCTCGTGTGAAGTTTTCATGAGTACGTGGTGTGCTTGCTGTGTGTGTACATTACACTGTGTGCGTACATGGCATGGAGTGATTTCAAGTGCCGTGTTTGCATGTTTACCATTGAAAACTAATCCATCTTTGTTGAGCTGCTACATTTTTATTAACAGATTTCTAAGAAGTGTCAGCGACAAGCTACTAGACCATCTCAGTGAGAATGAATGTGTTAGAGGCAGTGGAATAGAACACCTGGTTGCCTTTAGTTAACATAGGCGTGGATTCCTTTTATGATTCCTCAGCTATTGTAGGGGCACCTTTCAATTTATACTCTCAGCATGGAAACATGCCTACGATCCTAAACAGTTTGTGGGCAAGCAGGCTGTGTTTATTTGTTTTTAAGTAAAATAACAACTTAGAACAATTATGCAGTAAGTAATACTTATAAAATGTACACCCAATGATTTATTAAAATATGGGAAAGTTAAATTGATTTTATTCTATTTTTAAAAGTTAAATGAGCTTAATTCATGTTTGCTAACATTTTCCACTGTTAGAAAGAAGTAATTTTTTCAATTTTAATTAGAAAAATTTTAAGTTACATATCCCCCACCAACTTAGTATGTTTAATGAACCTTTATGGGGTCACGTTAGGTTTTTAGTTTGTTCATTTTTTATTTATTTATTTATTTATTTTTATTTTTTTAAATATATTTTATTGATTTTTTTACAGAGAGGAAGGGAGAGAGATAGAGAGCTAGAAACGTCGATGAGAGAGAAACATTGACCAGCTGCCTCTACCTGCGATGTGCCCGCAACCAATGTACATGCCCTTGACCAGAATCGAACCTGGGATCTTTCAGTCCACAGACCAGTGCTCTACCACTGAGCCAAACCGGTTTCGGCAGTTTTTCACTTTTTATTTGTACTTTGTTAATTTGAGAGTTTTGTCCCAGCATTTGGGAAGGTAACAAGGGGGTTATTTGCACTAGTAACTCTTATCTGTTTGGGCAATTGTGTGTAAACTGAATATTTTAATACAGCACATTCTGTAATTTGTAAAATCAATTGGCTTGTAAGTCTCTCAGAAAAGCAGTAGTAATTCATGTTTATTATGATCATTGTGTGCTAGTTTAGAATCCTGAAGGGCTTTATGAATCATTAAAGAAAGGTTATATTCAGTGCCATATAATTTTATTATTAGGTATATTTTGTGGTATTCTGATTCTGACACTAATTAATAATCCCTAAGTATTTGTGCCTATCATTTTGTGTGTTCTGTAAGAATTTTTTTTTTAATCACAGCCTTTTTTCCAAATATACACATGTGAAATAAAACAAGGATGTTAGAGGGATTTTTGTGTAGAATGAAAGGTAAAAATAAAGAAGGATAGGAAAGTAGAGATTCAGAGCATCAGGGATAGTGCTATACCACCGTTGGAACATTAGCCAGGTATCTCTGAGCCTTGAATTAGGTACTTAACTGTCTTACCATGGAAATTGAACGAGACAGCCTGCATTATGGAAAGTACATTGAATTGGGTTAAGAATTAAGCAAAAAGATCTCTAGTGCTACTTTGTGATTTCAATCAAGATATTTCACTTTTCATGGTCTCAGGTTATTATAATAATCCACAAAAGGAATTCATTGAGTTAAGGTCCTTCTAAACTCTAATATTTTGTTTGATTATCTGCAACTTGATGATACCAAGTCCTTTCTTTGTATCAGGACCTCTGTGGGCAGCAGGTGTACCCTTCTTTGGGTTTATATGCAGTTTTTTCCCATGTTTTCTCATTTACCTTTTGAGCTACTTAGGCAAGGGAATGATGGTGCCATCCCTCAGACCCACCTCTGTGTCCTCCATGCTAACAAGCTGGTTCCCTGGGAGATGAACCTGCATGCTTAACATTTTCAGGGATGCATTGAGTCACTTGGAGAGAGGATTCGGGTAGCAATAAACATTATTTATATGTAGCCTCACTAACAGGCTTTGAACATCTTTTTTTTAATTTTATTAATTTGTGGCTATTTTCTAGACACCCCCCCCCCAATCTTGCCCAGATCCCTGGACTTTTATTAAAACTTTTGAATGAAAGTTCTTTTCCAGAAGGGGAAATTCTATAATTTTTCACCTTAAGTTATTTAAGTTATTGAATAGTTATTATCACCTTAAAATGCCAAATAACAGTTTAATGAATTCGTTTCTGCACATACCACTTCTTTTGTATGAAGTTTACCTGAATCCTGTCTACCAATTTGTAAATATATCTATTTTCCCCCATTATTTATGTATCATATCTTTTTAAAGCCATTTTTTTTTTACATTATTTTCCTTTGATTGTTTTCCCTTTGATGTGCGCATACCCACAGCATTCCTCTTGTACCTACAGGCACCCAGTCAGTCAGAAACGGAGCCAGAGAAGGCTCTGTTGTGCCATGTGCCTCTTCCCCCTCCTTCCGAGTTTGCAGAAATGAACAGAGATCACGTCCAGTCATCTGCAAGCAGGGTCTCCGAAGAAGGGGACAAAGAGGATGAGTTTGGCTACAGCTGGAGTAAGTTGTCTTTTCTAATGCATTTAATTGTCAGAGGTACTAAAATAGCTCTGTGTTTCTCAAGGCTGATGCCCTGTATGAATAAGAATGTTTCAGCTTTGGATATAAATACTGAAGTTTTGTGTAGGAACAAAAAAACAACAACTACAACAACAAAACACTGTTTGTTTTTGCTTGAATACAGCATGCATTCCCCAGGCATGAAATCATTTTCTTCCCTTCCTTCCAGTCTGCATTCCAGTGAAAGCCCACTTTGCCATTTACATGAGAACTAAAGAGGGCGGGGCACTCTCTCAGAAGCTAGGACTGGGCCAGCTTCCTGTGGTCTTGAACAAGTAGTCTTCCCCCTCTGGGCCCCAGAGACCTCCCATTGTTGCTGTTCTGCCTTGAATTTTGGTATTTTTTCTATTAGGGTGGTAATACAGTATAATTGTTGAGGTAACAACTTTGGGCATTTGGCAGTTATTTAACCACCTCTAAGTATTAGCTTAGTGGTCTGTCCCTCTTTTTAAAATTCAGTGTTTACTTCCAGTTGCTAACATTAAATTAGATAATGTCTGAGGAATGCTGACCACAATTCCTGATGTGCAGGAAGCATCAAAGGCAGCTGTTGTTAGGATCATGGGGGTGTCTCTTGTTTTCTAGGGAGATAAACCATCTTACAGGGCAATATTAAAAATTCAGCCAAAAGTTATAACTGTGTCAGTACTTTAAAAAGTTTCTTTTAAAAAGTGTAATTATTTCCTTTAAGATAAATGGCATGCTTTTCAGAAGTAAAGAATGTAAAAGGTGTGTTGCTAGATTCTAGGATTCAGGAAATGGCAGTTTGTGAAATTGATCCAATTAAGAATCAATTTAGAATACATGCCATCAGCGATGTAGTAACATTTTCTAAAGTTTACAGTTCTCAGTTTATTTTCAATGAAATTAGAGTATAATACTAACCCACCAGAATATACTCTGAGGAAAACATTAAATGGAATATTTCACTTACCTATTGTCGTGTCACAAGCTACCCAAAACTTCATGGCTTAAGAAGGAGTTGTGGTTGAGTGGGTTCACTCGGAAGGAGCCTCTCGCATGGCTCCCACACAGCCTGACAATTAGTGCTGCTCCCGGCTGATTCCTCCACTGTGCCTGTGCCTGGGGCTCTACACTTGGCCTTGCCTTCTCAGTTTAAAGAATAAATTCTAACCATTGAACATGTGGGATGGGAGATACGGATGGTCTAATCTACTTCGGACAAGTATCCAAAAGCTGGGACAGGTACATCGAATTGTCCTGACCTGATGGCTCTGTGCAATATTGAGCCCATTCCCTTTATTCTGGATCTATGGACCGAGCAACTGTGCAACATGATGTGACACACAGTGTAGATTTTCCTGTGGGAGAAAAGCTTCCACTGACCAATCAAGATGAATAATAGGCCCACCCTGGACAGTAGCTCAGTTGGTTAGATCATTGTCCTGATACATCAAGGTTGCGGGTTTGATCTCTGGTCAGGGCACAGGAAGCAAACCAAAGAATGCTTATATAGTCCACAACAAATCTTTCTCTTTCTCTCTCTAAAAAATCAATAAAAATATAAATTAAAAATAAATGGTCTGGTCAGCATGGTTCAGTGGTTGAGCGTCAACCTATGAACCAAGAGGTCACAGTTCAAATTCTGGTCAGGGCACATGCCTGGGTTATGGGCTTGATCCCCAGTGTGCAGCATGCAGGCGGCAGCCAATCAATTATTCTTTCTCATTGCTATCTCTCTCTCTCTCCCTCTCCCTTCTCAGAATATATAATATATATATGGATCGGTCCATAGATCCAGTTGAATACTCAGGTGTTCTGTTCTCCTGAAAATGATAAATTAAATTTCTGTTTTAATCACAAGCTGAGAGTTTGTTAATGTGATCACTCTTGGACCTGATTACCCAGGTACACTGAATAATCAGACATTATACTCTCTGTACCCTCAATGCAAAGAAATCCCTTAAAGTTTGGGTAGTCCAGGAAACCCAGGTGGCCAGTCTATTTCGCTTTTCTTAACTGCAAAGCATAATTTTGGTACAAATAATGCCCTTTTGAGGTTATACTAAGTAGCATTTGACTATGAGTTAACTCTCAATACCTATACTCTTCTTGTTGTTACGTGTAGAAAATATCAGAGAACGTTATGGGACTCTGACCGGCGAACTGCATATGATTGAACTGGAGAAAGGTCGGAGTGGTTTGGGTCTAAGTCTTGCTGGGAACAAAGACCGATCCCGGATGAGTGTCTTCATAGTGGGGATTGATCCAAATGGAGCAGCTGGGAAAGATGGTCGGTTGCAGATTGGAGATGAGCTTCTAGAGGTAATTTCTTGTGGAAAATGCTGACTTTACTTTTGCAGAATCGGAGTAGAGGAATCATTAGTTTCTAGAAAATTCACCTGGGCCTCATAGAGTGAGGGAGAAAACTATTGCTTGCCTAATAAAATAGATGCATTACAGCAAATTTGGCACTAAAACAAATCTCTACTAAGTAGCGTCCATGTTCCCATTAACTTTAATTTAAAGGTCATGACTATGTAGCACCAGAAAAAAATTTTGCCTCAGGACAGTAATAAAGATTAAACTTCAGAAACTTTTGTGTGTGTGTGCTGCATTTTTATTAAGAGCTTTTGAAAAGCCAAATGACCAATCACTCCCCATGATGAGATTGGCCCACTGGACATTCTGAAAGTTGTATTGCTAATATTATAGTACAAGTGACAGAAGTTGGGTGCCCTGGGGTCAAGGTTAAGTCTAAATAACTAAAACAGTAACTCAGCCCTCCAAACAAAATAAACTTGTGGACCATACTTGATAGGTTTGAACTGTATCTGCTTGTTTTGTTTGCCATTGCCTCCTGTAGGCTGGGATCCATGTTTTTATATTACCTTAATGCTCTTCCCGTATTGGTGTATTTCTCTATTGGTTAGAAAGGCTCAGTCGCAATGGCTAAATGCCTAGAACAGCAGTCACCAACCGGTGGTCTGTGGACACTGGTGGTCCGTGAGGTCTGAAAGGTTGGAGACAGCTGGACTAGAAGACCAGTTTTCATCAGGTGCAGTGCTGCATAGACACATGGACTGCCAAATCCTGACTCTATCAGCATTGCTTCTCTTAGGGGCCCATGCCCAAGTCTTGAGCTTTGAGAGAAATTAGAAAATATGAGAGTATAGGGCTTCTCTGGATGCACTGTGCAGGTCACATGTGCTCCCACAGAGCCCCTGCTTTGTACAAAGTGCACTGAAGCCCCATGCCCGCCAGGAAATTCAGTGTCTGCTCTCCTTTAGTCAGTCCAAGTGCTGTCTCCTTAGCTTTTGGAGCTCAGACCATATGACACCATTTTAATGTTGGCTTCTAAATGAACTTTCCTTTTTCACCATCAAAGTCAGGTTCATGTTCTGGAAAGGATGGATATATATATATATATATATATATATATATATATATATATATATATATATATATACATACATACACACACACACACACACACACACACACACACATATATATATTAGAGGCCCAAGGCACGAAATTTATGCAAGAGCCTTGACCCCGGTCCCTGCCCACTGCCATCACGGTCCCCGCCCATTGCGACTTTGTCTGGAAGAAAGGATGTCCGGTCTAATTAGTATATTATGTTATTATCATTATTATTATTATTGTTATATATGAAACATTATTTTAAAATAAGAAAAATATTTCGTTAGCTAGATCAGATGATAAAAATGTACAAAATTTAAATTCCAGGCTCAATTAATGATATTTATTTCCCATAGATCAATGGGCAAATTTTATATGGAAGAAGTCATCAGAATGCTTCCTCAATCATTAAATGTGCCCCTTCCAAAGTGAAAATAATTTTTATCAGGTAAGCATTTTCTTTTTCTGGTCTTCTAACTAATGTTCATTAGCCTTTCAATTCTTTTATTTTGAATGAAAATAAAGCATTTATAAATGTCTCAGTGTTGCAGTTCCAGGTCTTTGGGGTTATAGAGTTTTCTCTGTTAAATCTTTTAGAGTCTTAAAGTAAAATGGTGAAATAATATGAAGCATTATGATGTGATAGGTCAGTGCATTTCCTTTTAGGAATAAAGATGCAGTGAGTCAGATGGCTGTGTGTCCTGGAAATCCAGTAGAATCTCTGCCTTCTACCTCAGAGAATCTTCAAACTAAGGAGGTATGTAGCTCGTGTTTGTGTCTCTGGGAAGATTTGATTGATATGCCACTTCTTAATTCAGCTAACAATTATAGAACCCTTACAAGGCTATCAAAGATAAATAAGTCATAGCCATGGCCCCAAGGAGGTTATCGCCCAGTATAAGAAGCACTCAAGTAAGTAAGCTCACCACTAACATGAAGGCTATTAGTAAAGTTCCTTTAGGGAATAATGAAGGTAGAAGAGAAGGTGCCAGTTCCACCCTAGAGAGAGAGAATAGGATTTTATAGAGGAGGAAACATATAGGTTGGAAGTAGGAGACTTGGGGGCACAAAGAAACAGAGTTGAGGAATTGTGTGGAAGATCTAGCAAATGCAGACAGTTGAAAATTGCAGAGCATAATGCACAGCGTGAGGCAGGGAATGGGGAGCTGGCAAGGCAGGCTCACTGGCAAGGGAAGGAGAAAGGTCAGATCTTGGGATTTTGATGAAGATTTTGTCTTGGAGGCCATGTTGTTGGGAACTCAAAGAATCAGAACTGTAATATTTGAAGACATCTCTAGAAATGGTGCAGAGAAAAATTGGAGGTTGCTGGGAAGAAACATCAAGTAAAGGGGAATAAGACAATTATCGGAGAAGTTCAGGAGAAAGATAATTAAGGTCCTAACTGATGTAAAAAATAAATTTAAAAAAATGCAAATGGTGACATCAGATATTTAGGACCCAAATTGACATTACCTCATCACCAACTAAATGTACTCATTAAGGAAAAATGAGTGGTTGAGAATTTACTTTTCCAACAAATAGTTATTGGTGTCTGCCTGATTGGATCAGGTACTGTTCTTTGGACAGGGAATAGACTGGCGGGTAAAACAGGTAAGATGTATAAGGCTTCCAGATGTCTGACTTGGGATCTTGATGGATGGATGACTTTTACAAAAATATGTAAATAAAAAGAGGAATAATATTTGTAAAACTAGAAGACATGTATTTTGGCAGCCTAAGAGTGAAGTATAGTTTACATTGGGACATTTGGTCTAGAATGTAAAGATGAATTCTCTTAGATGCAGATTTGGTGTGAAAGCTGAGGCACTTGACTACAGAGAACATTTAGAGAGAACTGGCCAAGATCAGGATTATTAGTAACAATCAGGAAGAAGGCTGTTATTCTTGGTCAGAGATGATGAAGTAGAGCCAGATAGCTATGCTGCGTAGCAGCTGATGAGACCACATTTCAAGAAGAGCAGGCCCTGGCCAGTGTGGCTCAGTTAGTTGGGCATTGACCTGTGTACCAAAAGTTTCCTGGTTCAACTCCAGATCAGGGCCCATGCCTTCGTTTGCAAGCTCCTAGTACATGAGGCAGCCAATGTTGTACTCTCACATGAAAGTTTATCTTTTTTTTCCTCGCTCCCTAAAAATCAATTTAAAAATATTTTTTAAAAGCCATGGATCATCATTGTCCCTATAGTTAAAGCTGATATATATATAAAAGCCTAATATGCTAAGTGTCTGACCGATTGGTCCACTGGTCAACTACTCAACCAGTCACTATGATGTGCACTGACCACCAGGGGGCAGATGCTCTGACTGCTAAGTTAGCTTACTGCTGGGGTCCGGCTGATAGAAACTGGGTGATACAGGCTGGACACTTCCTGGAGCCTTCCCATGGTCCCTCCCCAGCCTTTAAATTATTTCTTCTAATTAATTTTCTTTCAGTGTGCACAAATTCATGCACTGAGCCTCTAGTATATAAATAACAACCCACCCAAACATTAAAAAAAAAAAAAAAATAGACGGGTATATTCTACAACCTTGAATATTGCAAAGAGGTGAGAAAATGATTAAAGAATGCCCACTGGGGTTGGCAGTTAGGAGATTATTAGTGATTTCTGAGAAAGCAAATGATGGGTAAGAAGTTAAAACAAAGAAGGCAGTGGCTAGGAGGTGACAAAAAAAAAGAGTTTTGGGTGGAAGTTCTGTTTTTATTTGGAAAAGCTTTGGCTACATGTTTCTGATGAATAGAAGGAAGTGATAGAGATAAAAAATAGAGAGAAAATTAGAGTAGCCATGAGGGTCTTCAGTGAGAAAAGGTGTGTGAAAGGAATGCTATTCCCTCAGTAAACATATAAGCATTTGGATTTATCTGTGCGTAAGACAAGTGAACTATTGTGCCCTTCTGGTGAACTGAATCAAGTAGTTTTCCATGATTGTCAAAGGGAACATTTTATTTTCATATGGGTTGTACCAAGCATGTCTCTTAGTGAAATGGAATATTTAACAATTTTCAGGTAGAACATTTAATAGCTCCTAAATTCACTTGATGGCTAACACAGTAAAGAACAGTGAATGGTACCTCCTCGGTCTGTGTTTGTGTTTCAATGAGTTTCACTGTTTTGTAGCTGGGATGCTACTAGATTTCATTATAGTGTAAATCAAGGCAGCTTGGAAAACCACAGTGTCTATGCTCTAAAATAACTGCTGTCTAAACACCCCTCATTAATATTTTGGAGAGAATATACTGTTTTCTGCAAATAGTAATAATAAATTGCAATATATAAAATAATGTTTTATCTAAGTGGCTCTTATATTTGAACAAACAAAAATACATGTCACTCCATTGCCCATTTTGCTGTTTCTATCAGGCTGAACCAAGTGTTGCCACTTCCGATGCAGCTGTGGACTTCAGTTCATTTACAAATGTGCAACATCTGGAGCTTCCCAAGGTAAATCTGCTTTGAATTGGAGTAAAATGATATTTGCATTGCTGTCCTCGTCCCCTCGTTCTCAAAGTGTGGTCTCCACCAGCAACACCCCTCAGCATTACCTAGGATCTTGTTAGCAATGCAGGTGCTTGGGGCCACTCAGACCTACTGAGTAACGGGGTGGCCCGCAGTCTGTGTTCAGCAAGCCTTCTCCGTGATGGCAATGAGTGTTGGAGGGGGAGAACCACTGTGCTAATTTATTGATATTTGAGTAGGGACCCTCCTTTCCCTCCTTTATGGTGCCCCAAGGGATGAGATTTTGTGGTTCCTCCTTTGATCTATTTACCAGGGATCTGCCAAGAGGGAGATTAAAGAATAAAGAAACAGAAATGATTGTTTCTTTTCCTTCATAAAGCTGAAAGCTCAAATTGTAGACGTTTCGCCGATAGATATTGATGAGGAATTTGCTTTTGAGATCAGAACCTTACGTTCAAATGACCACTTTAAAGAAGTAGTTTTCTGAATAGAAACCTGTACGGGCTGTTAGAGGCTGCAGGGCCGTGCTGGTCTGCAGGTGGACAGAGGGTGAACAAGAATGCAGGCAGAAAGAGCACTGGAGAGCTGAGGGAGAAGAGGACTGAGGGAGGAGGAGTGGGGGATAGGAGGGTTCTTACATGAGATGCTGCCACGCTCCAGGTGAGAGGCAGAGCAGCAGGATGCCGAGGCTGAGCGTTAGAAGCAGTGCCGCAGGGTTGAGTCCCCACTTCAGCTGGTATACACTTGACCCATTGTGTGATCTTCATTGGCTTCAGTCTTCCTATCTGTAAATTGGAGAGGACAATATGATTTTTGATATAGGTAATTGTAAAGATTAAATGAGTTGTTTATCAAGTGGCTAGCATAATGCCTGCCACATGGTCAGACCTTGTTGAACATTTAGGAGAAAAAAAAAATGCTGTGACTTTATTAGTTGCTTTTTTACGGTAGATAAATCTGCATATACATGTAAGAGAAGTACTTCTTAATGGGCAATTCATGTTATAGGTTAGAGAGAAAAGAACATAAATCATTAAGGCCTTTTCCTCTTCTACCAAAAAAGTACATACACTTTCAGAATCCCTCATTCTATTTCCATGTAATAGAGCTAATACTTTCCTCTTTTCCCTGCTGATTTCAGGGTTGTGTTACTTTTCCCAGGTCCCAAATGAATATGTTCTTTGTAAGCGTCCTCTACTTCATCAAACTGACTTGAATCAAAAGCCCATGGAGATTAGTTTAAGCATTCATCTCTCCTTGCCTTTGCTTATATCAGGCTGTCCTTCTGTTTTTTTTAAAGCTTATCCAAATCCTGACATAACTCAAGACTTAACATAATCTCACCTCTGTTTATTTAGAAACATTTCTTCAATATTCTGGCCTATATAATGCTTACTATTAATGTCTTCATTTAGTTGTCATGTAATCAGGAACATATCTCTTTATGCTAAACTCTCAGGTGAGTGTATTATCTGTACATTTAAATTGCATGTTGAGAGAAGTAATAACTCTTACACTTCCTCTCCCATTATCTTATGTGGAATTGTGTTCCATAGTTCATACTAAGCATTAGGGAGGGAAGAGTGAATGTATGCTTACACACAGTATGTGCACAAGGGGGAAAATGTTAAGATTGGGAGGGTCAGAAAGGAGAGAATAATTGTTGTATGAAAATTTGAACTCATGTAACAGGTCATTGTGAGTTCTGTTTTGACTCCTTAGAAATTCCCTTGACAGGTCTGTTATCTTTCTCTTTTTTATTCTTTTTTTTTAATTGGGAAAATAAAAGTATAAACTAAAAGCTCATTATGTATATTTGATTTATAAAGAACACCCAGTGGCTGCCTGAAATGCTAATTCAGTTTAACAGACATATTTTTTTGTTAAAGACTTCTTTTTAGCACAGTTTGCTGTAGGGAAATACATATACATTAAAGCAGGTAACAACATTACATGATTGCCAGAGATCTGTTTCATTTCCACTTAATTTTATACTGTGACTGGAAGCTCAGTGCATGAAATTTGTGCACAGATAGGGTCCCTAGTGGCTGCTGGCTGCCAGCTATGCCCTTCCTTCCCCGGCTGCCTGCCTCCACTGCTGGCCGGGGTCTCCTTTCCCCCGGTCGAACTCCCTATCAAACTCCTGGTCGAGGGGACAATTTGCATATTAGGCTTTTATAATATTATATAGGATGACAGTCTTCAAATACAATTAAGAGTTTTTTCTTCTAAATTTTAGGGTCTCTTGCAACTTTAAAACAGTCCTCCTGATAATGAGAGTAGTTTGTTTATTTTATTTTTACTTTTAATTTCTGTTTACTTTTTTTAGCTCTTTAATTATACAACTGTTCCTCCATAAATACATTTCCTTAATTTTTTTTCACATTTCCCTTATGGTGATGTTTTATATATTTTATTTTTTGGTGATGTTTTAATAACTAGCTCAAAACAAAGATTCTAAGATCTATTTTTATTAAGGACTCTGTGTGCTGTGGCTGAAGTGAGGGGGCAAGTTGAGCAATTAGAAAATAAATTGCACACTCACACCCCATTATCCTTACTTACATATAGACATTACTGTCTATAGATATGTATGTATTTGTTTTTATAGTATATTCTAAGTGGGATTGCAGCATATTTATACTAAAACAGACTCCATCAGCCTTAAGAAAAGGATTTGTGGCCTCAGGACAGTTGACCTTGTGGCTCAGCAATGTCATCAGATCCCATTCCTGCTGCTTCTGCATAGCTATACACAATGGCACCTTGACACCAAGACTGGTTTTGTTCATAGTTTAGAGTGGCTGCGAACCATAATAGGGGTCAAGGGCCACTTCATTCTCATATAGTAGTGGTTGGGAGATAGAGCGACTGTCTCAAAATCTAAGCAAAACTCCTAAAATTCATCCTAATTGAACCAGTTCAGATCATATACCTTCTCCTGCAGCTGACTTCAGTCATTCAGACTCTAACTGTGGACCTTCTTCTCTGTTGCTACATGGGAAATTCCCTCCAAAGTTAATGATTAAAACATTTATTATTCTCACTGTTTCTGTGGGTCAGGAATTCGGGAGCAGTTTAGCTGGATGGTCTGGTTCAGACTCACTTGCACAGTTGTCAGAAAACTCTCAGCTAGGGCTGCAACTCGTTTGAAGATTTGGTTGGGGCTGGAGGAGCCACAGCCAACCAAGATGGTTTACTTACAGGGCTGCTAGCAAGACACCTTACTTCCTCTGCATGGAGCTGCTTTAGTGCCCTCATGGCATGATCCCAAGCATGGCAAATGACCCAAGAAAAAGAGCATGGAGGAAGCTCAGGTGCCCTTTCTGACAAACTTGTGGAATTGCACATTATCACTTCTCTTTATTTTGTTTATTACCATCACATCACCACATCCCTTCTTGAAGGGAAGAGTATCAAAGGATTGTGTACATATTTGAACACCATCACTGAAAACAGAGGCAGAGAGGGGGCAGGGGGAGCTATTTGAGGCTGCAGAGGGAGCGGGACTCGATAGTCTAATGAAAGAGTTTGTATATGAGTTTGTACAAAGGAGTAAGATGAGAATGAGTGTTAAACAGCCAGCAAATGCCTGCTGTAAAAATAAAGAACTTTCTTGACTACAATAGAAAATAATATAACAAATACTCTGTGTCTCACTATGGAGTATATCTACTGTATATCTCACTATAGATATAGAGTATTTCTTATTCAAACAAGTGTTTCTTTGTAATAATAGGAAAGCTCATTACTGTGGAAAATCCCAAATAGAGGGTAACCAAATGATTTACGCTTTGCCTTGGCATTGGGATTTGCCAGTGTGGTAGCACACCGACCTTCCCACTCCTCAATCCTGATTCTTTGCTGGATCAGAGTTTGGGGTTTCAGATTACTAGCATGTTAGGAGAATTCATCTGAAATAACTTTGGTTTTGTCCTGTAGATTTATTAGCAGAAGGAATGTGTGTCAGAACAACACTGTATATCAAGCTTTCAAGCCCTTTCTTACTGCACTTGTTCCTCACAGCAGCCTTGGGAAAATGTTATTTTTCCTTTTTTGTTTGTTCTTAGATAAGAAAATTGAAGTTAGAGATATTAAGTGGCATATCCAGATTTCTACAGCTAGGCAGGAAGTAAATAGGACCGAGTTCTGTTCACCCTAAAAGTGCAGTTTTGTCTTATATCCATGGCAGATTGCCTGGAGGAGAGCAGTGGTGGACATATTTACAGGGAGAGCCTGCAGGTTGGCAGGTGTTGAGTATCTTCCTCAGAAAAGCCACATGCTGGCAATATTTAAAACTAGGGAACCTTGCCTGGATGACATGGTCATGATCCGAAAGGCCTGATAACAAGCTTGGGCTCTTGTACACCTTTCAGAAGGAACATAGCGAGATTCTCTTTTCTCTTTTTTGCTTTACATTTCCCTGGATGGAGACTGTAGTGGAAGAGGAGCCCAACTCAAACCAGAATGAAAATGTTAAATCCTGTTTTAGTTTTGTTAGCATTAATATTAAAGGTAGACAGTCTTATGGAACATCTGGTTTTGATAAGAGCAAATGTGGAAAATACAAAGTAGGTGTGGCTGTCTAGCCTTGCCAGGTGTACAGGGCAGGTCCTTGGGCTCAGAGTTGAGAGTATTTTCACTCTGCACCAGATCAAAACACAGGTCCCTAGAGAAACGGCGCTGGGTCCAGAGCCCCAGAAGGGACATAGCTTGCAGCAGTCATGGCAGCCTGCCTGCTAAAGAAAGAGGCGCAGAGGGGGTGAAGGAGCCAGGCTCTGGTGTTATTTGCAAGCCTATGTCGGAAGGAGGAAGCAGGGGTGTACTTTGATTCAGCCAGCCAGTTAGAAAATTCTCAAATATCATATACTCTTTGAATTATGGAATGCATTTTTCTTCCCAAGATATTTTGCTATAGTTACTAGAAATATGTTGCTGAATGCATATGCTAAAAATATTGGAGGTAGTAGACATTTGGGAGAAGTGAAAATACCGGGTTAGGCCAAAGTAGGTTTACAGTTGTGGGTATGGAAAAAACAGTTTATTCCCGTATTATTATGGATTAATTATTGTATAATTTCCCATAGTAACAACTGTAAACCTACTTTTGCTCCACCCTGAGGAGAATTTATTCCCATTTAAAAAACTTGAAAGATTGCTTAAGAAATGAAGAAATTTCTAATAGTAAGTGTAAGAACAGTTTGAGTTTCTTTTTTTAGCCCCTGGGCAGACGATGATGTTCAGAAATTATGACCACATACCTTTCCGTCTGAATAAAGTTGATGTTTCAGATTTTCTGAGCGGTCCTGTTTGTATTTCTCTAGGATCAAGGGGGTCTAGGCATTGCTATCAGTGAAGAAGACACGCTCAGAGGAGTCATCATAAAGAGTCTGACAGAGCACGGGGTCGCGGCCAAGGTGAGGCCTCCCTCTTTCCACATCAGAAAGTGGTGGAGGAGAGTTACTTCTGCAGAATCATTCAAACCTGCCATGCTTCCATTTAGGATGGGCGGCTCAAAGTTGGTGATCAGATCTTGGCTATCGATGATGAAGTTGTTGTTGGCTATCCTGTTGAAAAGGTATTTTTTTTTCCTTAAACAAAAACTGAATGTGCTGTGAACCCATCCTTAAGCATGGCCACGGTATGTGTGTGTGCATGGGGCCCTGTGTTGGTCTGTGTGGTTGGCCACAGGAAATTAGAGCTATGTGGTTATAATAGACAGATAGCCTTAAGGAAGAGAAGAGATTATTTGGAAATTCTTCAATTTTTGTTTTCTATTTTTCAGTGAAGGCAATGTTGAGCTATTTTCTGTTGCCTGTAAATTCAGTGGTTAGTGGACATTTTTTATAAATACCATTTCCATTTTCTCTTGGGAAAAGTTAGACTTCTAAACAAGGGTCAACTTAAGACCAAGGGAACATTTTTTATGAATGTTAGGTCCCATAACTAGCCACTATGCATATTGCTTTATGAGCAGGTTTTAGGACTCAGCCATTAAATATGAGATAAAGCCAGCTGAAGTTAGTCCAAAAGGTATGTATAACTTTCATTGGGATTAACATTTATTTGTACCTGCGTTTCCTCTTCCTCAGAAGTGTTCATAATCCTTAGGAATCTCATGCAGAATTGCTAGGAGCAGGACTCTTGAGAGTTGAGTGTTTCCATTTCTACATTGGCCAGCAAGAAGCTGAAACCACTTGTTTCATTTTGTTTTAATTATAGAGGTTGATCCCTTAACTCACATAACTCCATTTGACCTGATTTTTCTGTTGCATAGTTTTTGTTATCCTGCTTTTTTTGTTTTCAAATCTTTAGTGAGAGTATTACAGATGTCCCTTCCTTCCCCCCATTCCTTCCCTCCACCTAGTTCCCATCCTGATTCCACTTTTCAGATGTTTGTATAGGCTGCTTCAGAGTCTCTGTAGAGCCAGGAGTGGTAAAATAATATATATATATATATATGGTTGTAGTGATCCAAAGAAATGGACATACCTAATTGGAAATATACAAAGTTAAAAGCCCTATACTTACATAAGGAAGAGTAGAGTCAGAACTGGACTTATAATAGAAGGTACCTGTGGCCTCAATATTAGACAATTAAGGAAACTAAAATGAAACTATAATCATTCTTTCTTGGCCCATCAAATCTTGACAAGGAAAGAATTTGCCTCTGACTTTTCTCTCCACCATAGATGGTTTTAGATTTCAACTATAACAGTGACTTAATTGTATTCGTCTACTAATTTGTCTTTAAATTTTGTATCTCCTTCATACCACCCCCCTGCCAGTTTATTAGCCTATTGAAAACAACAAAGACGACAGTGAAACTTACCATTCGGGCTGAGAATCCAGATTCCCAGGCTGTTGCTTCAGCAGCTGGTACAAGCAATGGTGAAACAAAGAACAGTTCCCAGTCTCCGACGGTCCCACCACCTGGCTCCCTGGAACCAGAGCCTGTCCAAAGTAAGGGCTGGTCTTGTGAGTCCTGCACACCTGGCACCCTGGGCACACTCAGGCCCAGCAGCTGTCTCCACGTGGGAGCCAGCTGCCTGCCTGGAGATCAGTGTTGAAAGGCTGTAGTTAGGACATCCAGCACCCTTTGGTGAAAGCTATATAAAGGGCAGGAGTACTGACCAGTAGATGGGTGATGTGTGTGCTGTGCATTAACTGGCCTTAGGAAACCCATCCACTGCTCTTAGTGTCAGCCTCTTCATCTCTAAAACAGAGGAGTGGTACCCTTTGTTCCCCAAGGACCTTTGGCTAAGAGTACCTTGACTCTAGGTGTCTTACTAATGAATTAAAAACATCATTTCGTACATTTCCTTTTTTTTTTTTTTAATCCACACCTGAGGAGTGAGGATATTTTTTCCATCGATTTTTAGAAAGCATGGAAGAGAGGAGGGGGGAGAGAGAGAGAAACATCAACATAAGAAAGGTACATCGATCGGTTGCCTCTCACTCGTTCCCAGACCAAATGTGACACATGCCCTTGACCAGGAATTGAACCTGCGATTCAGTCCTTGGGTTGACGAACTAACCGATCTAACCGTTGAGCAAAACAAGCCAGGGGTGTACATTGTCTTTTTTATACTGAGCAGGATTAACGTCTCTAAGCCTCAGTGTTTGAAATGGACACGCTGTATAATGGATATAGTGATGCCACGTGATCAGAGGAACCAAAGTTGCCTGGCACCATGGGAAACTCTTAAAAATGCTAGTCGTTGCCACAGGTGTTTGTAGTGAACCTGAGCTCTGTCATTTGGGTCTAACAGTCGATCCTGTCAAGTGAAATAGTTGTATGTGGCTAATGGGACAACATTTTTCTCATTAAAATGCCAGTCTATTGTATTGGGACAAACTATTCCTTCCTGTTATTTTTTTTAAGAAAAAGTACGCTAGTGATTACTAAAACAATAAGTTTCAAGCTTTGCAGCACTAAAAAAAACACATTGACTTTTTCTGAAATTGGTGGGGGGGGGAAATTGGCTTCTAAATTGCAATATTCAGTTCTTTGGATAGTTTTTTTTTTTTTAAGGAAATAGCAGTTTGTTATACATATCTAATGAAAGTGATTATTTAGAAAGACAGGGTATTGCAATGAATTATTTAAAGATTGAATGGAAGTTTTCTTATTTTTTATTTTATGTTGATCCCTAAATAGCATTGTCTATAAAAATATGAACTGCTAAATTAAAACATAGCTAAAAGAAAACATCTTACACCTGCTCATACCATTTCAGGAGCAAGAAAATAGTCTGTCCCCGATTTCCTAAAGAGAGCATCTTGTCTATAAAGCTGCTTTACCAAGTGTCCCAGCTTTCCCCAAATATGCTGTTTGCTGGCTGCTCTTTGGTGTATCATTAAACACAGGGAGTGAAGACTAGAATAAAATGAGGTGTGAACGTATGTTCACCTTGGTTTTGATGATCTATTCTTGTCTATCCAAGTGTGAGCATACTAGCAGCCCTGTGCATGAATCCGTGCACCACTAGCTCCCAGTGGCTAGCTATAGCCCTCCTGTAGCTCTCTGCCTACTGCCCACCCTCCTATAGCTCCCTCTGCCCCCTGCCCTCCCTCATAGCTTGAGGCCCTGCCCCCCTTGTAGCTCTCAGGCCCACTGCCCCACCCTCCTGTAGCTCCCTCTGGCCCCTCCCTCCCTCTGGCCCCCTTGTAGCTCTCCACCACCCACTGGTAGCTCTCTGCTGATCTATGATCCACCCTCTTGCTGATCTATGATCAGGTTATTACACAGTCGATCGTTGCACTTCAGGTCATAATGACCATTTGCATATTATATCTTTTTTATATAGGATATGTTTTATAAACTCATATCCTATATAAAAAAGGATATGAGTTTTATAAACTCATATCCTTTTTTATATAGGATATGAGTTTATAAAACATCCAGTGCGATGCAGGAAAGATGCTGTGAGTGTGTCTCACCAGACATTTTATAAGCTCAGGTATTAAGTTCAGCTGCGTAATGCTCAGACTGGTTGCAGAAGAAGAGAGACTCTGGGAGAAAAAGAAAAGGAAACAGAGAGAAGCCCTGAAAAACAGGCGCCGTAACGAAAATTGTTCACGTCCCTTGTGCCCTGTGGCCTCCCCGCACTGTGTTTTGGGTCCTGCCACACACCTCAGTTCTGAGCTCTACCAACCATGATTCCATAGGAAGTTTGTTTGGCTCCAGTGGAATGTGGGATATTGGAGTGAATTTGAAGCCTTCTTTGCCCCCAGTCTTGGGCCCATTTTTCTCTCCTCATTCTCCCAAAGACAGACCAGGGTGGTGAGTGTACTGCATATGCCTTCTAATCAGTCTGTATCTCATTTCATGCTTAGGTACAAGCAGGTCGTCAACGCCGGCCATCTTTGCTTCTGACCCTGCGACCTGCCCCATCATCCCGGGCTGCGAAACAACCATCGAGATTTCCAAAGGGCGAACAGGGCTGGGCCTGAGCATCGTCGGGGGGGCCGACACTCTGCTGGTGAGGACACACCCGGGGATGCTCTGAGACACAGGCAGCCCTTCAGCCATCCCTGAGAGCACTATCGGGGAGCTCTCTATCAATTTTATTAAATTACATATAAAGGCTTAGAAAAATGTATCATTCCTTGTTATTTCCATTTGTAGGGGAAATATTTAATTGAGTGGGGATTGGGGTTTTTATTTTTAGTAGGCCAATCTGACTTGAGTGAGATTCTATTATACTTGTGGTAGTGACTGTCAGGTTCAAAATACTTCTGTGAGCTCACCAGTCCTTGCTGTATTTTCACTTACTTTTTACTGGACATGGTTGGGTTAGACACATACTGAGAGGAATCTATACATTATTCATAGGCACATTTTTCTTTTTTCTTTTACTTATTTAAATCCTCACCCAAGGATATGCCTTTTTTTATTGATTTTAGTAAGAGAAGAAAGGAGAGAAAGACAGATGTGAGAAACATCTACTGTGTTTCCCTGAAAATAAGACATCCTCTGAAAATAAGGTTTCCTTCTGAGTGAAATATAAGGCATCCTCCCCAAAATAAGGCCCCCTAGGCTAAACGTGAGAGATTTGGTTCACTGATTCTGAAAGAAATAGAGTCACAAGAAATTCACCAGGAAATTAAGGAATTGGATTGTTATGATGATGTTCCAGATGATGACATGATTGTCATTGAATAAATGAGTAAATTCTTGATACTGTAGGATTCACAGTTTGTCTGGTTTGTGTTGACAACTGCTGTACTACCGTACTGTATACAGGTAATAAATTTCCTTTATTTTCATTTAACAATAAATGTGTTCTGTATTCTTCTTCATGGAAAAATAAGACATCCCCTGAAAATAAGACCTAACGCATCTTTGGGAGCAAAAATTAATATAAGACACTGTCTTATTTTCGGGGAAACAGGGTATCAGTTGCCTCCCATACTCTCCCAACTTGGGATCAAAACTGCAACATAGGTATATCTCCTGACCAGGAATCGAACCCGAAACACTGTTGATGTATGAGACAATGCCCAACCAACTGAGCCTCCTGGCCAGGGCTAGGCAAATTTTTCTAAATGTCAGAAATGCTTGGGAAATCCAACCATTGCATGTATGGACAGGAGAAATGATGTATATCTATTTATGCATGTGTGTGTGTATTCATATATTTAACCGTTTTTTCTTTAAGCTTCCCGATCAAAAGAAGTTTAATCTTCTTTGAGCCTTTTTAGCAAAAACGTTGTTGTTCTACTCTTCTTTGAATTTTGATGTGTGATTCACATATGGACCCAGTGATGTGTCCATATGTCTTATCACTGTCTGTAAAAATGCGGTGTGTCTTGACCCCATTTCTGCTCACCATCCCTAGGGAGAATGGGATGAAACATGGGTGTGTCTTGTCTGGGTCCTTAGGGTGCCATTATTATCCATGAAGTGTATGAGGAAGGAGCAGCATGTAAAGATGGAAGACTGTGGGCTGGAGATCAGATTTTAGAGGTACAGCTGCTGTGTGTTTGACCTTTACAGTTAACAAGGAAAAGGCTACTCTGGGGAGGGTGGCCTTTGTGTGTCTGTTTCTCTTTTCCTTCTTCCCTTTATCCCCTCACTATCCCTCTACGACCTTTCCTCCCTCCTCTCCTCTCACCCCTCTTCCTTAATTTTCCTTAACTCGCCGGGTTCCTCAGAGACCATGTCCCATTTCTGTACAGGTGAATGGCACTGACTTGAGAAAGGCCACCCATGATGAAGCCATCAGTGTCCTGAGACAGACGCCACAAAGAGTGCGCCTAACACTCTACAGAGACGAGGCCCCGTACAAAGAGGAGGACATGTGTGACACACTCACCATTGAGCTGCAGAAGAAGCCAGGCAAAGGCCTGGGATTGAGTATTGTTGGTAAAAGGTGAGAGAAGGGAAAACATAGTGACCTGTCAGAAATGATGCAGTCTAAGGTATTTTAAAGAGAACTGCCACAAGTAGAGTCTTTATCAACAGCTAGTGTTCTGTAAGAATGGAACATCCAAAGACATAGGTTTTGAATTTTTTCAGTGAGTATTCGGAGGGCTTTTGAAAGTATTTAACAAAAAGCTATTTGTTTTTTGGGGGTTTTTTTGAGTACCTACTATGTGCCGGGAAATATATTAGATTCTGGAGAACAGAGTTAAGTAAGACATGGTACCTGATCTCAGAAAATTCACAGTTTGGTAAGTGAGGATTAAATACAGTCTTGCAAAAAAGGAATCTATTGATGAGTGACAGAAATGCATTGTGGGGATCCATGGAAGCAGAGGCGAAATGGACCAAATGACTCTAAAGGAAGTAGATTAGGAAACTTCTTTAGAGAGAGGTGCCTGCGCTGAAGCTAGAAGTGGTCAATGATAGTTGGTTTCTGAAAGGGGATGGAGGATATTCCAGGGAGAGGGTCAGTATGAACAAGAGCATGCCACCAAAAGGGAGCAGATAGTAACTTTAGAGGCTGTGTTGGTAGATTGGTGCATATACATAATTTATTTAAATATTCATATATAAGAAATATTAACAAATATATAGGACAGTAAGTTCCAACACCTTTATTCTGAAGATGGGAAAGCAGATGATCAGATGGTGAAATGGCTTGAAGCCACGATCTTGGCAAGAGCAAGTGGTGCAGTTCACCTTTCAGTTGCCTTTGCATCTCAACAAGAAGTTCTTGGTTTATTTATAATTTTTTAAATGAAATATTGGAATAAGTTAGTATTTGTTCATTTTGCATAAATCTCTCTTGATTGAATGTTCTATCTATAATTTAAAATAAAAGGCAACACAGCAAGGGTACGTAAGTTTGGGGTAACAAATGGTCTTAGTTTGAGATACACAATTATTATTCGTTTTTAATAATGTTAATAATGTTGATAACAGCAGCATATTTTTATAGGCACAAGTCTACATCTGTTTAAAGCTTCATTATGGTGTAGAAAGGATAATAGATTTAATACCTAAGGACTGATTCTTATATCTCATATTTTGCCATTTGGTAGCTGTGTGATCCATACAATGAGTATTGTAGTAGCCACTTCTACACATAGTATATAATTGTTGAATAAATATGCTTATGCAAGACATATTTAATCTATGAAGTGTGTGTGTGTGTGTGTGTGTGTGTGTATGCATGCCTAAGTGACCAAATAACCAATCGACTGGTTGCTATGATGCACACTGACCACCAGGAGGCAGATGCTCAATGCAAGAGCTGCTCCCTGGTGGTAAGTGCTCCTACAGCCAACCTCCCATGTCTGGCCAACCTCCCTCAGTCCCTCGCCACGGCCAGCCAACGTCCTGTAATCCCTCACCCCAGCTGCCCAACCAACCTTTCATGATCCCTCTCTCCTCATCCCCTTAGCCCCTCACCAACCTCCCACAGTCCCTTCCCTGGCTGGCCGGCTACCCTCCCCCCCCCAATTGGCCCTCATCTCCATCAAGGCCAAGGGACTACATTCATGCACAAATTTGTGCACCAGGCCTTTAATATATAGCATATATTATAAGACATCAACTATTATTTATCGTAAAAATTAATTCTGATAATATTGCCTCAGTGTCAACTTGAAAAAAAAAAAAACTTGTAAAAGTAAAATTTTCAGTTAAATAATTTCAGCCTTTTATTAAATAAGCATTGCATTACAATTGAGAAAAAGTAATGTTGAAAATCAAAATTATGTTTGCAGAAATGACACTGGCGTCTTTGTATCAGACATTGTCAAAGGAGGAATTGCAGATGCTGATGGAAGACTGATGCAGGGAGACCAGATACTGATGGTGAACGGAGAGGATGTCCGTAATGCTACACAGGAAGCCGTTGCCGCTTTGCTAAAGGTAAAAATCAAAGGCTCAGAATAATTGTATGCCATGATATAGAAGAAGGGAAATTTAACCGTGAGCTAGCTCAGTGCAACAAGTACTGACTCCTCGTTCTTTAAAATGTTCTCACAAATAAGAGATGAGTAAGAAACTATATTTCCATAATAATCTTCCATACACAAAATCTTCATGCACATGAGATTTGTTGCAGTGTTTTTGCTAATAATAGAAAAACTGGAAGCTATACAGTTGACAAGACTATGGCAAACATATCTGTTTAAAAGTCATGTTCAGAATAACTGTATTAATTAACATGAAAAAATATAGTAGAGAAGGTGAAACAAATTTTATTTACAGTGTAGAAATATCTATGTAAAATAAAATCTTATAACAAGTCTTTTAACAATAATTATAGTTGATTATTGGAACTATAGAATCCTTGTTTCTTATTTTCATCATTTTCAAAATTTTTATAGAAGAGGAATTGCTTTTATAATAGAAAATTTGACTTAAACAATTTTTTTAAATTTTTTTATTGATTTCAGAGAGGAAGGGAGAGAGAGAAACATCAATAATAAAAGAGAATCTTTGATTCGCTGCCTTCTGCATGCCCCCTACTGGGGATCAAGCCTGCTACCTGGGCATGTGCCTCGCTGCCTTCTGCATGCCCCCTCCTGGGGAATTAAGCCTGCTACCTGGGCATGTGCCTTTGGCTGGAATCAAACCTGGGACCCTTCAATCCGAATGCTACTGCTCTACCCACTGAGCAAAATCGGCTAGGGCTAAAACATTTTTATAATAATAGATTCCCTTGACATTTAAATGAGATAAGTTGCAAGTAGATGAAAGAGGTATAATTTCTCACACTGAATAATTAATGCATGGAATTTGTTAACCCCTGCAGCTATCTAAGCTGGAAGTATAAGTAGGTTCAAGAAGAGTTTGATAAGTTCCTGCCCCTATCCCCAAAATACCAAACAAACAGAAAAACAACTTATGAATAGTGCATGCAGGTCAGGTTTTGACTTTTCAAAATTTGATTTGTGATCAATACATTTACGAGTGAAACATCTCTTGTAACCCCTGTCAGAGAAGCAGCATGACAATACCTATGGAAGTACTAATTTGTGCTAGACACTGTCCTAAGTTATCACAACACTCTAGAATGGTCTCCATTTTTAAATTGTAGAATAGAGATTTATCAAACTAGACATCTGTTAGGGTCTCACGGCCAGTAAATCACATAGTCTGATTTAAAACAGCGTGTCTGACTGCAGAAGCCCAGCCGTCCCACACTCGCTTGTGCTGCCTCCACACCAGACTGTGGAGCATTTCTTGCAGCCTCTGATGTAATGCTTTCCCATAAAGGGCCACCGGGAAACGGTCTTCAGTCCTTGTTTTGTGTTTATGGTAGCATGGCTAATTTAAGCATTGTTTATTCAGGAACAGTGGAACAATAAAAGAGTTCAGCCATTTATCTGCGTATCTCGGCTATTAAGAGCAAAACAAGTTGCTTTATTGTTTGTTTTGTTTTTAGAACCCGAGTTATTTAGTTCATTTAGGCTATCTAAATCAGTGTGCTTCCTGAGATAATTGCACAGTTCTCAGTGTAAATTATGAGGTCATAAGACAGACATTTGGTGTGGCTGTTGCTGCTTGTTGTTACTACTTTGACTAATTCTATTTTTTAAAAAGAGCCTTTCTACAAAGCATTGAAGGTATCCCTGCCTATGGAAATATCAAAAGGAACTTGCCTCAGTCTTAAAGAATAAAAAGTGCTCCTAAAGGCGACTGTAGCACTTTATTTAAACATTTCCATAACTCCCTGCTCCTCCAGTGTTCCCTAGGCACAGTGACCTTGGAAGTGGGAAGAATCAAATCTGGACCTTTCCATTCAGAGAGGAGGCCCTCTCAGAGCAGCCAGGTAGGTAGCTCTGGGATGCACCTGGGCAATGCAGGCCACACACCAAACAGAACTCTAAGATGGTCTTGCCTGCGGGCTGGTTCAGGGTCATGGACACAGGCCTGGCTCTCCGCAGCTGGGCACAGTGAGGCACAGAGTTTGAGGTAGGGAAGAACAAGACTGAAGGACAGGTTAGCAAGATGTAGCTCTTGAGTAGTGTGTAAGTGTCCTAAGGAACTTTATTTTCTTTTTTCCATAATCTCAAAAGTTAACCAATTAATATAGAAAAACCTATCAAGATAATATATTTTTAAAGAATTTTATAATTAACATTGATCCATCAGTACTCAGCTGAAAAGAATCCCAGGTTAGTGAACTGCAGATGCACCTCGCACATGTAAAACACGGTGTTCCACTGGTCAGGTCTCCTGTCAGGCTCCTCTCCTCAGTCCTGTCTTCTGATGATAGAAGCCCATTTTCGTCAACTTGTCCATGCAGACCCTTTGTTCACCCCTCACTGACGCCCATCAGTGTCCTGTTGAGTGGTCCCAATTCTGTCTTTAAGCCGCATCCGTGTACAGCATCAGTTTAAACTTAGGAGGATTAGCTCGAATGAGATTGTGAAAACCCACTAAAACTTTAAGTAGACTGGAGTCGTTTTCATCCATCCTTTGAGCTTCAGTTTATTTAGGTCAGTATGCAAAGTCTTCCTTAGAAAAGAATATAAAATCAGTAGGAACTGCTTAAAATGCCCACAAGTTATCAAATGCCAGTGTTATTGCACAGGTGTTTCTCTCGGGATGTATTAAAAGACTCGATTCTGAAATAAGTGGCCTGGAGGGCTATTGTTCTCTCACACTCTCTAAAGTAACTGTTTTTGTGTGTGTAGCTGAGCGAATGCAGCCTGTCGTCCTTCACTTTCCCGCTCTCTGGGTCCAGTGCCTCTGAGTCGCTGGAAAGCAGCTCAAAGAAGAACGCATGTAAGATCGGTTACGTGTTTAAGCATGATGTACTGGTTTGAATTTGACAGATTGTCCTTCCTGCTTTAATTTACCTCTGAGCTCTCTTTCGCCCAAATCTTTCCACGTACTATTCCAGGTGGGAAGATGTGTGTTGGCAAAAACTCAGAACAACGTGAAGCCGTGCCTACAGCAGCTTTTCCGGTTTTATATTTACCCTACAAGACATACCAAACATTAGAATCGCATGCTGGGTTTTTTTTTTTGTGTGTATGTTCTTTTTCATACTGAGCCTATTGGTATATTGGATTTTTATTTCCGTCCCCTGTTTTATGTAACACCAATTCATCAGAAGATGCCATTAAGAGAAGCCTTCTTTTTCCACGAGGACTGCAGAATTTTTGATTGAGAAAATTAATGTGATCCTCCTGTGTTTTAATTACATGAAATCATGATGCAGAGGGTTTTTGGCGTGGAGCATCAGTTGAACGTTGTTCAAATTGGAGAAAATAACCAGATGGCATTCTCTGTTTGCAATATGACTAATATTCTAGAAACTCAGGCATTTCCGTCCGCGAATTCTTTTTGATGCACCCATGACTTTATTCCTCTCAGCTGTGCGCATGTGTCTTTCTGTCCAAAACACATTCTGTCCTTGCCTCACTCAGAGGGGATTATTCAGTTATTTAACTCGTGCTTGAAATAAGAAGGAAGAAATGGGACGGCGTGTGCATTTTTCCAACTGGAGGAATAAGGAGTTCTTGTGTGAGACAGACTTAATCATGGTTTCTAGGAACTCCAGAGCCCTTTTAAAAAATAATAAAAATAAGGGTGTATCATGTAGTCCTATCCAGCTCCAGACATTGACTGAACTTTAAAAATGCTTTAATAACCATATTTTGTCTCTTTCACCTTTATAGTGGCATCAGAAATACAGGGATTAAGAACAGTTGAAATAAAAAAGGTAACTGGGGGTGCTGGGAGGGAGGGTGGTGGAAGAAAACAGTGCAAACCCTGTTGACTTCACAAGCACCTGCATAGGTGTTTTCCTAGAAGCTACCTTGCTTTTTATCCAGTTGACAGTTACATACGACACACAGGAGAAATAGCCAGTCAGTCTTTGCTGGCTTTTCTCATTATAGTTCTTTGTTTGAAGAGTCATTGTTGGCACAAGCTGTATTGTCAGAAACAGCATCAGTACAGCCCCGGCTTCACACTGATGAGTAGGTTGTTGCCTTCAGCAGTTAGTTCCTATTTCCAGAAACAGATTCCCTTGACTGCTGTGCACCAGAGAGAAGATAAAAGCAGCTACATTTATTGAGCCTTTTCTGTGTGCTGAACACTCTTGTAGATGCTCTGTGCACCCCGTCACCCTCTCATTTAACGTGCACTGCAGCGCTTTGTGAGTGAATGTCTAGGATTCATTGAGAGAAGTGGACTTGTTCCAGGTCCCAGTGTCTGTACGTGGGGGTTCCTGGCTTTGAGCACGGGTCTCTCTGGTTGGAAAAAGTGTGCCCTTTTCACTTCATCAGCTTACCTACTCTTTGTCAGTTCATAACATGATTTTCACATCACGGGCATGATTTCTTTCGCAGATGCTTTTTTTCCCCTAACTAAACCACACTCAGTACCTGTGTCAAATAAAGTAATGCAATTATTTTTTTTGAGCTTCATTTTTCACCCTTACACCTAGAGGATCAGTGACCTATAGAATATGGTGCCAAAGAAATCAAAAGTTAATTAAAAATATTACATTGACCAAATTAACTCTCTCTATTCCATGGCAGGGGCCTACTGATTCACTGGGGATCAGCATTGCCGGAGGAGTGGGCAGCCCACTTGGTGACGTTCCTATATTTATTGCAATGATGCACCCGAATGGGGTGGCAGCTCAGACCCAGAAACTCAGAGTAAGTTGAGCTAATGGCCTTGGCCGAAGTTTTGATAAACCTTTTGAATCTGCCATAGGTTGCAGGCAGTTTTAAATGTCCATATCTGCTTTGAAATCAACGAACCTAACCACGGCAGGGCTTCTTTGAGGAGTAAAAGATGCAGAAAAGTAAAAGGAGAATGTGCTATTGTATGCATATTTTCAAGCAAATTTAATCAGAAGATTTGCTATTGTTTCTTAATTTTTTTCTTGCTTGAAACTCCTTAGAAGATGTCAAAAGAAAATAGGGAGTGTTTCAGCTTACCAGTATGAGATGAAAATGTCTTCCTTACACATTTCATTGGTTTAAATGCTGATTTAACTTTATGAAGTTAAAAATGATCATGCTGCATTGGATTATCAGTTTTGCAAAAGTTCAATATACAAGCATGGACAAAAATAAGTTTACAGTTGTAATAAAAGTGTGTAATACAATAATTCAGAAATAATAATACCAGAATATACTCTTGTGTTTCAAGAAGTCACAAACTGCAAGCCTCCTGTAAACATGCCATAAGTTGTCAAACTGTACAAAACCTGCTTCAAAGTTAAGGGATTATCCAAACATAGAGCACTATGATGGAATTTATGTGAACAGTTCAGTTGTGAAATCATTGAATATTCCATTCATGTCTATAAAGTAAAATCTGTGTGGCCTCGTGTCAAAATGGTCTGCAAACATAGCCACCTCTGAGTTTAAATGTCTAAATGGGGGGTGGTCCAGTCTTCTTTGACATCTAAATATAGGAACAACACTTAAACATTGATTGTTACATGCAGTACAAGGGTCAGAAAACCCTTCTGTGATGGGCCAGTGACCCTTTTAGGGCTTGTGGACATGAGGGTCTGTCACAACTTCTTAGCTCTGCCCCATGAGTCACCCAGGTAAGTATGGCAGACTTTGTTCACCAAAATAAGCAGTGGGTCAGACCTTTGGGTCACAATTTGCCCACCCCTGACTTACATAGTCATTGTAATGTGTATAATAATAATATCCGGAGAAATTCTGGTTTCCAAAGAGCATCAGATATCTTGTTTTGTTTTTTTTTTTTTGTTCGTTTGTTTTTGTTTTTTTAATAGGAAGCAATGTTTTACCCAGGAGAAACAAAGAGAAGTGTGATTTTCCCCCTCCCCCCAGAGACTATAGCACTCAGTCATCATGTGTAATTTTGTCTTATGGTTGCAGCTGCTTGGAATTAGTGGTTTCTTTGGGTAGATTCCCATTGCTGGTAGCAGTGTATGTGTGTGTGTAGGGTAGGGAAGGAAAGGATTGCTCAGGCCTCAGTGTCCCTCTCTCTCTGGCTGCTTTTGCAGATGGCTGTTTCTTACTCTTGCAGGTTGGGGATAGGATTGTCACTATTGGTGGCACCTCCACTGAGGGGATGACTCACACCCAAGCAGTTAACTTGCTGAAAAATGCTTCTGGCTCCATTGAAATGCAGGTAAGATTTTTCTCCCCAGCACTACTCAGAATATGGGGAGTGTGAGGACACATGAGCTTTCATGTTAAACCAGTAAAAACGCTTAAATCTCCTGCTCTTATTTAATTCACCATTTCCCTTGAACAAAAATGATTACATTGAGAGTTCTAAGAGAGTAGGTTAGAAATACATTCTGGCACATTTATCCTGATGCATTTGTTGTTTCACACATTATATCCAAGAGGGAAAAATGCAAGGTCTTAGCAAGAAATGGTCAATTGTCAGAATGGTGTAAGTGGCTTATAATTTAAAGATCTTTTAAAATTAATTGCATGTGAGACCATGTTTGAAACCATCAAGGATCTTGATAGAATTGTAGTAGTAAAATATTTTTATTGTCCATGAAAGAAGCCTCTGAACCTTGTGAAATTTCTTTCTCTTTGGCTGTATGTTATATTAACAAATGAGTAAGTGTCCAATAAGATACATGTTTTAGTCGAAATACTGCTTTTGAAGAAAGATTACTAATCCTTGGCCATATGAACTTGTGTGTTCTCTTTTTCCTCCTCTTCCGCACAGGTGGTGGCTGGAGGAGACGTGAGTGTGGTCACAGGGCACCAGCAGGAGCCTGCCAGTTCCAGTCTTCCTTTGACTGGGTTGACATCCAGCAGTATATTTCAGGATGATCTAGGGTGAGCTCATATATATTATGGTCTGTATGTCCCTACCGCTCACATAAAGGTGAAATAAAAGGAGATAAGGGATAAAATATAAAAATCAAGTGTTTCTAAAATTTTAAGTAATTATGGCATGAATTTATTTTATCAAAGATAGATAAATATGTCACTGTGCATCTTACATTGTCAGCTCTGAGTTTTGGGAGAGAACATTTTAGTCTTGATGTCACTACCCTGTATGACATGGAACAAGCCAGACTTGTCCTTTTAAAAAATCCAACATTGCCTACTCAGTTATCTTTTTGATTAAAAAAATTTAGTTATTCACCACCTGAGGACAAAAAAAATTAGAACAAAGAAAGAGGAGAAGAACGGAGCATATTAGCATCTATACTAATGAGAGAGAAATATGCAAATTGACCATACCTTTGTGATGCCCACTAGACAATTAGGAGTGAATATGCAAATTAAACCAACAAAGATGGCAGGTTAATCTGCATACACAGGCGCCTAGCAGTGGGGCCAGGATGCTCTGGGCCTCTGGGCAGCATGGGAAGGTAGAAAGGCAGCTCTGGGCTTGAGCAAAGGTGGGAAGGCAGTGCAGGCAGCCAGGGGAAGGAAGGCCCATTCTTGCACAAATCTTTGTGCATTGGGCCTGTAGTTTTTAAATAATTTGATTCAGTTTTTACATTATTGATCATTGATTTTTCTTTCAGAGCTTGGGAATACTGGTGTTTATGACTTATTCCAAGATGGTCCCCTACACTTTAGCCCTCTCATTTCATTCTATTTTATATATTTTTATTGATTTCAGAGAGGAAGGGAGAGGGAGAGAGAGAGAAACATCAATGATGAGAGAGACTCACTCATTGGCTGCCTCCAGCATGCCCCCTACTGGGGATGGAGCCTGCAACACAGGCATGTGCCCTTGACTGGAACTGAACCTGTGACCCTTGAGTCCACAGACCAATGCTCTATCCACTGAGCCAAACGGGCTAGGGCAGCTCTCTCACTTTAACTAAACTGGAAAAAGAATGAGCTTCTCCATGCAATGAGCTATGAATATGTTAATTTAAGAGAACTGATAATGAGTAATAGAGTTAGGGTGTTAAATAGAATTTCATTGGATTATGTAAATTTAAAATGCTGAGCCCAGCACACACTGACTGACAATTCAAGCATGCTCGAAACACCGGAAATGTCCTCACCATCAGAAACAGAATGATGCTAGTTTTTTATAATCCTTAACTTGCAGATGCACAGTAATATGTAAATTCTTAGAATCCAAACACTTTTTTTCCCCTTCCTTTTACTATAGACCTCCTCAGTGCAAGTCTATTACCCTGGACCGAGGACCAGATGGCCTGGGCTTCAGTATAGTAGGAGGATACGGCAGCCCTCATGGAGACTTACCCATTTACGTTAAAACAGTATTTTCGAAGGTAAGATGGCAAATTTTAACCACCCTCTCCCCCCACCAAACATTCATTAATCATGGTCAGCAGCTGGCTTATTAGTTTATGGCCTGAGGTAACACCAACTGGTTAGCAGTTGATCATTTTCTTTTGGAACTTCCTACAGGAATGGATCATTAAATATTTTTGTACAATTTGAGGTTTAGTTATGTTTTAAGGAAAATAGGCTCAAACTGAAATTTCATGGGAATTCTTGACAATATACATGAAAATATTAATGACTGTTGGACAGTAATGTCTGATTTTTTTTTTCTTTTGAAAACAAGTGGCATATGACTGAATGTCTTTGGAAAATAGGGCACTTTAAATATCTATGCTCTATTATGCTGGCATTTTTCTTTTTTTGGCATTTTTTTTGTTGTGAACTATAAAACAGGAACAGAGAAGTATATAAAATTGATATGCATATTAGTTGGGCATTTATTTTGCAGTTTAATGTCATTGAATAAAATAGAAAAATAATAACAAATATTTTGAAGAGTATCCAGAAGCTCTCACTTGCAATAAATCAGAATTTTCAATTAAGAAATTTATTTTTTAAATAAAGAAAAATCATTAGTATATAGTTGAAGTATATAGAAATCTGTTCTCTGTTAAGAATGTTTAGAATAAGAAAGAATAAAGTTACTGTAGCATCAGTGAAGTATTAAAACAATTTAAATCCATATGATTATTTGTTTTATGTTGTTGAGGCATTTTTGAGGAGCTACTAAATTGGAGCAAAATTTTCTGTAGGAGAAAATCTAGAATCTGAACTCTTTACAGCAAAGGAACACCATTTGGGCTTGAGATTAGTGCTGTGGTCTATAAAGTGCCTACTGATTGAGGTTTCATTCTATTATTTTTGAAAAATAATTATTTTAACCTGTTTAAAGTGCTGTATATAAGGCAATCAAGCTATAGACTTAATTTATGAGATTTTTTAAAGCCACCGGTAAGTCCAAGAATACAAGTATCTTTGCCAGTGAATGGAAGAGTCACACAGTCCTTTTCCTCTGGCTGGGAGCAGTTTATTTAAGGCATGCTAGTTAGAACATATTTTAAGAATTTCATCATTATGGATTCTCATTAACTTCTCAGTATTTTAATCTTCCATTTAATTGCATAAATGCCTCCCATAAGCATGCCTTAAGATGTGGTTCTTTTTTAAACAGCAATGTCTGTGTTTAGTCTTAATCATTAGGCCCACAAAGAATATGAGCACTCCACCTCCCCTTGGGAAATAAAGAACCAGCGAGCATGAGCTGCCTTTTTGAAACCACAGAGAGAATTTATGTTAGAATTGGCAGGATGTGTGCCTTGCCCTGCCCTTGTCAACGTGCACGTGGACTTCATGCTCCTGCAAACCTTTGGCTTTCACAGCCCTCCTGCCCTTGTCCTATTTTTAAAAACTGCTCTTGTTCCCACCTAATCCTTTGTTTTCTTTCTGCAGGATTAAAAAAAAAAAAAAAATCCTAGATTCTGTGAAATCATTTCTACTAGGCAAATTCCCAAATACTCTTTATTAATTTGGGTTCCTACCAACAAACCATTCAGCCAATCTCTTGACTGCTAAATGCTCTCTCAAATAGGCATTCCATTGCTAGAACCATTGAGGAGAATGGTTTTGTGTGTGCTCATGATTGTGTCTCATGTGTGCTCCTTTGTGTGTGCTCATGATTGCTGAGGGGCGGTGGGGCAGCCCAGGAGCATGGAGATCCCAGCGGACCTGCAGGTCCACTCCCGTTCTTGCCCAGGTCTTGTTCACTGTGAGCCTGTGTGGCAGCCCTATTTGAGAAGTCCACAAGCCTGCTTTGCATTTGCAGGGAGCAGCCTCCGAAGATGGGCGTCTGAAAAGGGGTGACCAGATCATCGCTGTCAACGGGCAGAGTCTGGAGGGGGTGACCCACGAAGAAGCCGTGGCCATCCTGAAGCGGACGAAAGGCACCGTCACCCTGACGGTCCTCTCCTAAGCGGCCGCGAGAGCTGAGCCAGCACAACCCCCACTCCCACCCCACCCTGGGGGAGGGCGGACCTGGCCCTGCGGGAGCCTTTCCCCCGCGCTGGGTTCCTCCTCTCCAAGGCTGTATGTAGGGAAGGCGCCATTCACGGGTGTCGCTCGCATGGGCCAGTGATTTCCTCACTGACAGCCTAGCCTCATGTCCTCTCCCTCCTTACCTATGGTGACCGTAAACTCACAGGTAGGACTGTCTGCATAGTGAAATCACTCATTCTTCCTGAAGACACCTGGCACTGTAGAGTGACACAGGCAAGAAGTATTACATGCTAAACTGGTTAGTAGAGGAAGAAAAAAAAAATAATTCTAAAGCTAGCCATGAGAAATGGCTTTAGTCAGGGTGAACATGAAAATATGAAATAAAGAAGGAAATGTCAAGTTTTGTAAAAATGCCTCGTTTTGTCAATCTACCCCTCTCCCTATTTCTAAAAAAAAAAAAAAATCAGTTTTTTTCCTATTACAATTTTTAAATAATACTCAATATTTAAAATATTTGAATATTATTTTAAAAAATTGCATCTCCCACCTTAAATATACACATATATTGTTCCCTCTGAAAGTGGGTTTCTGAGATGGAGGAAAGAGCAGATATCTAAAGCAGTGTCCCTACGTTTGAGGCACATCTTCATGGTCGTTTTCGTTTCCGACCTGTTATAAAAGGTCCCTGTGATTCCACAAGTGAGAGCATGGTGCCGCCCGCACTGCCTGTCATTTTTCTGGAAAGCAGCTGTGCTAACTGAAGGGGAACGTGGAAGGTGCTCAGCACCCCAGCGCTGGCTCTAACGGATGCAAACACTAAAAGCGTGTTCGCGCACTCCGCAGTTGCTTTTCAGTTAGTATCATCTTAATGAGAGAGAAGAAAGCAATGCGTTTGTAATTATTTTGGTTGTATGCCATTAGAAAATCGATAGAAAAATTAAAGGGGATTAACATAACTTTACCCCATTGCTTTATATTAACATCTTATAATACAATGGTTTCAGACTAAGGGAAACAGATGGAGCTGTTTATTGAGACAACTGGTGAGGAATTATCATGTGTTCATTCCCGTTTTAGAGCGTGAAACTCCTACATTAGAATATATAAAGTCACTTTAAATATTATCTATATTTGTAACAGAGGTAGTGTACAGATATTTTATTGCAGCATTTTTGTGTGAATGCAGAATTGGAGTGAATAAAGAAGAAGTTTCATGGTGCACAAATAAAGAAGCAGGCATATTTTTTTGTTTGTTCTTTTTACTGGGGAAAAGTCTTCTTGTTCAAGGTTATAATTTAAAATTGCTTTTTGTCATTGTCTAACTGAACATGTGGCATCCATAGTTACGATTAGGGGAACTTTGGATGGCGGTATTATGAAAAGCTTGATATTCTTTACATCCAGAACTGTTACTGATGCTGAAGACAGACTCCTCATGGAGCAGAGGAAGATAAGCAGCATTAGAGAGAGAGACATCTGCCTGTGCGTGATATTCAGAGGTGCTATTAATGCAGTAATATTTTAAGTTCTACAGGGGAGTCCAAGCTGAAGACTGTTCAGGTGGAAAAGTCATAATGAAAATTATATTAATAAGCATGAAATGTCTGCTTTGAACACTGAACAAGGATGGGGAACTTGTGTTGTATTGATTCTGCCCTTAATTAGCTAATGAGCATGTGCATTTCCTCTAATTCATCTCATCTGTAAAATGATAGCCTATTTTATCTCAAAGCATGTAACTAGTTCTAAAATATAAGAATTCTGTGATTCTTAGTTACATAAAATGAATGGACATCTCTACACATGGGCACTTTGGGAGCTGTTCTCCTTATTAACCAATCATTGTAAACAGAGGTCCTCGATGGAACAAAATTCATTTTAGTGTCTCGGTGACACATCTAGTCATCCCTTAATGGTCCTCGCTCATGAATGTATGTCAGGTGGGCCACTGGGAGCTGAGCTACTCTCCTTTGTAAGTTTTAACTGGTAAAGACTTTAATGAAGGACACTATGTTAGATTCTAGGGAGACAAGTTGACAAACCAAAGTGAGTGTGAGTAAATGTGTGGGAGTAACCTAAGGAGAACAGCTCAGCTACCAGCCTGATGCCTACCCCCAAATTCATGTTCATCAGGAGTCCCGGACTGTGACTTCACCTGGAAATAGAGTCTTTGCAGGTGTAATAGTTAAATTAAGGTGAAGTCCTACTGGATTACAATGGGCCTTACGTCCTTTGTAGCAGACCGTGTAAAGATGAGGGGGAAAGAGAACTCCTGGGACCACAGCGGTTGGAGGAAATGAGAGGAGTTTGCTTCAGAGGGAGCTTTTCACCTTGGTTCAGACTTCTGGCCTCCAGCACTGTGAAAGAATGCACTTCTGCTGTCATACTTTGTCTAGTTGGTGGTGGTTTTGTTTTGGAAACTAGTAGAGTATTTTATATATTTTTAAATCCTCAGCTACTGTCTGCGTCTGTCTTGTAGGAGAGGCTCTATACATTTTTGTTGAACATATGAATGACTGAATTACAGATCGTGATTCATTTCACGGTGTTACCTTGTTTTAGTTAGCTAGCTCCAAACTCCATACTAAATGTTAAAAGAAACAAAAAAGAAAGAACAGTGAGAATGTAGGGATATGAAAACACCTGGGGAAAACTCCCCTTCTGGATTTCCATTAATTAACAAATTGAAGCACATGAAAGGAAGAAAGGGAGGGGAGGAAGGAAGGGAGAAAGAAAAATAGTAAGAGGAAAATAAGATAGATTCATCAGCTTTGGAAAGAAGTGACAAAGGCTTGTGCTTTCTATATCACTTTTTCTGGAAATATAAGAGTTCTGTGCAGTGAAGGAAGAAAGTGTTTGCGTGTAGAGATTGAAGGCATGAATTTTATAGTGTTAATGCCACGCACAACTCAAGACAGTGGATTGACCGTAATTGCTTCAATATAATTGCTTATGACATTAAATCATAGTGGAGAATACCCCACATTTCTGATGTTCTTTGTGACCCCTCCAAATGGGTGGTGGTGGTGGTGGTGGTGGTGATGGGTCCACCTTCAGCACTGGCCAATATGTAACAGCAGGAGTAGCAATGAGGTATAGCCAGTGAGTGAAATTCGTACATCAGAACAGTGATTGAGATGGAAGCATAAAAACATAAAAATTCATGAAAGATGAAACAAGCTCATAGAGGGGTATTTGTTATTGTTTCCTTACTTGGTTGGTTTGTTTTTATGAATCTCGATTAAGCAGATCTTGATAGATTTGAAGAAGCAAAGGGACCTTTCCCTGCTGCCTCTGATCTGGTCCGGGAACTTGTTGTCTGAAGATGAATGCTCCCCAGGGTTGAGAGTCTTTCTCTAGGTCTCCTGTGGGGGTGAATGGAGGAGTGGGAAGGGTGCCTGCAATGAGATGGGAGTAAAGTGGCTTGCTGCTTTCTCCTTTCTATGTGTCTAGGTGTGGGAATGTCAAAACCATCATCCCCTGCTCTCAGCAGCCCTGGTGGTGGTTCATGTCAGCCACCGCTACTCTGGAATGCACTGATTTGTGCAGAGATGTTCCTCAACATTGTCTACGAGGGATGAATGTTTAAGGGGATATTTTTGTAAGCTGGGATTTGCCTCTTTTATCTAAAGAGGAAAGAAAGAAATGTTGGCAAGAAAATTTCTAAATGAAAGAGCATGAAAATTAAGCATAGCAAATTGTTCTTAGAGTGATTATATATATAATCACTAGTGATGAGAGAAAATAATTGATCAGCTGCCTCCTCCAAGCCCCCACTTGGGGATTGAGCCCAAAACCCAGTCCGGGCACCAAACCATGACCTCCTGGTTCATAGGTCGGCACTCCATTCAATCATTGAGCCACATTGGCTGGGCCTTGGAGTGATTTTTATATACTTGGCACTGTAGCTTCTTTCTCCCTTCAAGATACAGATATTCCATAATTGCCTATTTTTATGTAAATTAGAAAGTAAGTATATTACTTGTCTAAGAATTGTATGTATCCCTCCAGCAAAGAATTCAGTCTTAGGCCCGTTACAAGAATGCTATCTAGAAGGAGTAACGTCTGTGATTGTGAGCTCGGGATCTCTCACTGAAAATGTTTCTTGAAGTTGCAGAAGTACTGCCATCCTGTGTGCTCAGGCTGCCTCAGGAGGGAGCTTCCATGCTCCTTTAGCACCAGAGTTTGTTCAGAAGGTTGTGTCATTTGTGAGTACGATGTGACCCTTTCCTCTCCACTCCCCCATTCTCCACCTCCTGTGTGGATTTTCAGAAATAAACATTACCCTTGGTAAACATACTTTTTTCTCTCTCCTTTTTGTTATCAATGTACTAGAAATTAAGATTTTTCACTTGCGTCTACTTTGAAATATTTGGCGTTCAAAGTTCCACTCTCTTAAATTTAATTAGCTGAAAGGTACATCATCCCATGCAGTAGAACTTAGAGTTACCTTGCTTTGGAAAGTTAGACCACTGTCTATCAAACATTAATAACATGTACAAGACAAGCTATCGAGAAATGGTTGCAGTTGTGGTACGTATTATATCCTAGAAGACATATGATACTATAAATTCAATAATTTTATTTCATAGCCTTCAATTTTCATTATTATATGATCATGTTTTTTTCTTCTGAAGTTGGATACAGATCAACTTATACCAGAATTTGATTTGTAATTCTTCATAGTGCTTCCCATGTCCTCATATAATGCTGTTATTATTAAATATTTTCCTTTAAAGGGGACTGATTTTTAACTTAAATGTGCTTCTCACTACCTTGAATGAGAAAGCAATACATTTGACAGAAATCAATACATTAACTCTGAGCAAAAGCCATGTTCTTAAATTCTACGAAGAGACTTTACTATTATAGAAAGGGAGAGGGGCGCATGTTAGAATGGTGGTGGTGACTCAATAGAGATTCTCACCTGGACTTCGGGAGCTGCAATAACACACCTTCTTCAGTATGTGGTTCAGT